CATTGCGCGCCAACCCAAGGAGTCAAGACGAGTGAGCTCGTTGTTGTTCCGCGCCGAGATTTCGACTAGCTTTGATAGGAGCGCTTTTCAGGACAAGGCAACATCCCGAAATAGCCTGGGTGGTAGCTTCTCTGCGAGTTTCAATGCAAGTCAGCGAAGTCGACATTCGCTAGGCCACGATCGCACAAGCTTTGGTGGCCTTTCACAGTCACGCAACCGAGCTTCTACTCCTGGGAGCGTTACGTCGCGGATGAGCCTAGGTGCTGTCTCAATTGATGACACTTTTGACGATGCCATGGACGAGGATACTTTTGATACTATTGAGGACTACGACGAGCTTGACGATCTTTTTGCACCGCCCGATGCCAAAGGGGGACCTCGACCTGGTGATGGGCTTCACAAGGAATTGGTCGTTAGTGCAATTGCCGAGATCCCAGTCACTCAGTATCTCAAGAGTGGATTATTTGCTCTTGGAAATCCGTCGGCTCCTCAGGTTTGTTACCGTATAACCGATTTAGAAAAAATACATCACTGACATGCACACAGAGTGAAACACAGCCCGAGGTGCTTACACTTAATGCGCCCTTTAACTCAGCAACACTGCATGAACGGAAGCTGTACATGTACATATCACACCCATCGTTACAGCATCCTCTTGAGTGCGAACTGGCAGTAACGCGGAAGCGGCTATCCCCTTCGGCATCAGCAACGCAATCGGGCTCCAACAGCGCTGCTCCCCGGTACGCCTGCGTTCCTAGGTTCGTCAGTAGCCGGGAACTTGAGGGTACATTGGACCTGATCAAGCTACGTGACGGACATGTTGAGCGCGTTGTCCAGCTCACTTCAACCGATCCTCAGAAAGCTTGCCTATCGTTGACTGCGGGATGGGGTACGCATCTACCAATGAAGTTCAGTTTAGGTTCCTTGAAGTTGCATGACCCCTATGCAATACTACATCTTGGGCAGAACAGGGCAATTGCAGGGTCCAAGCGAACCATAACTGCCAGCCAACCTTTACAACGGCTGTTACCTGCTGGTGCAAGCGGAAGGCTCGATATCGTCGACAGCCAATACTCCAGACACCGGATGTCTCTGCATCTGTCGCCTTCGGATGGACATGTAGCAGAACTCTTCCGAGTCTTGTTGACAGTCCTCCCAAATTACACTGGTGACTTCATTCTGGAGATATGGTGGCATATTCGCAAGTCACAATCAGAGGAGGGGGCTGAAAAGACAACAGCAGACTGGATGGCCTTTGTAGCAACTTTGTTCACACTTGTTGTTCCCTTTATCGAGGAGAAGAAGAGTAAAATCAAGACTCGTTCAAAGTCGATCCAACGCAGAAGCTTGGGTCGACCTTCAAGCCAAGCCAAGCCGGACGAACTGATAGACGACGCAGACTCTGCGTGGCGTCTCATGTGCAGTCGTCAGACTTCAAGAGCCCATGCGAGGAGCTGGGAATCATCTCCTTGGACTTGGGCTTTGCGTTTGAGCCCCATGCCAACTACCACCATGAGCCCATCGTCAAAAACGAACTCTTCGCAAGAGCAGTTGCCATCAATTGCACAGCAGGTCAAGGTTAAGGATGACACAATCCCCACTTGTCTTGAGATTGCACGGCGATATCTTCAATCACCAATCGGCAAAGCGACAAGCGACCACTGGAGACGGATGTCCCCTTCCGAAAAGCAAGATCTCCGCATTTCATCTCTTTCTGAGATCGTCGTTTCTCTACATCTCTTCCGAGAAGAGCGCAAACTGGACACGTTGTGTCAAGATTTTACTGGCGTTCAGCCTGGCAACCTTGCACCCATACTAGCACAGATTAGCTATTGGCTGCGTTGGGATGCTTGGGACTGGAGACAAGGAAGCTTCTTTGACCTCGATGGAGGCTCAAACCATGACTGGACTTACGAAGAGTCCATGCTCTCAAGCAAAGTGCGCCTGCACGGCCAGCCGTGGGATGCACCGCCGTCTATCTTGGGTTGGCTCACAACTGTCACAGGATCCCAGCACTACGCTCCGTTTCCCACATTGGCGACACTTATTCGAAAGTCTAAGGCCTCGCCACACTCATCCATAAATATCGATGAGATTATAGCAGGTGTCACACCCAGAACAGTGGCACTACATAATTTCTTCCGCGATATCGACCCTGCTTCAAGTCCTAGACGAGTCGTTGAGCTGATACAGAGATGTGAAATCAACTCTGATATGCTGGCTACATTGCCAGAAGCTGCCAAGGCACCGCTCATGGAAGCAATCACAAGATGCCAGGCGAACCCACCTACAACATGGTCAAGCTCACTTTTGAAGCTTGTACAGCGTGAAGACCTTGATCTCCGTCATAACTCAACTAGAGATTTCTTTAACGAAAGCCATCTCAATACGTCTGGTGGTACTCTTCACGCAGCTGGCATCACGCGCGATGTCCATACCATATGCCAGGCCGCTGACCGTATGGAGCCTATGCAGTCGACAGCCGAAGTTGATCGCCACTACATTACACGACTGATTTTCCGCGAAGACAGACGATTCATGGAAGCCTATACGCTACTGGAACCATTGCGGCAGACTGTGGCCGAGTACAAAGCCGATAACAGGCAAGACGATGCTGCAATGCTCGAGGGGCAAAAGGCGCTCATGCAATGGGTCATGATTCGTACCTTCTCCCTGCCTGTGGGAAGCTCCATGATCAAGTTTAGTAGCAAGAAGCCTCTACTAACAGAGAAGTATCCCCTCTATGGCTTCTCCACCTCCTGTCTCATGAAGCCCATGGGTAACGTTGTAACAGCTGAACGGCAAAATTACTCTGAAGAAAAGTACTTCTGGGCTTTCTTCAACGCAGGTGCTGCAGCTGGACTCGGTATCTCGCGAGATGCCCAAGGCATTGATACTTCGTGGATCATGTACAACAAGCCTGCTGAATTGACTAACAAACATGCTGGGCTCTTGCTTGGGTTAGGCTTGAATGGACATTTGAGAACAATTGCCAAATGGTTGTCGTTCAAGTACCTGACCCCCAAACACACCATGACATCGGTTGGACTACTCCTAGGATTGGCTGCTTCGTTCATGGGCACAATGGACACACTCGTCACACGACTGCTGTCTGTACATGTCACTAGAATGTTGCCAGCGGGAGCAGCAGAACTGAACTTGTCCCCGTATACGCAGACTACGGGTCTGATGGGTATCGGCTTGCTCTATTACAACACTCAGCACCGCCGTATGAGTGAGGTTATGCTTTCGGAGATTGAGCATGTGGAGGTACCAGATCCCTCCGAACCGCCAGACTCTCTGCGTGATGAAGCCTATAGGTTGTCTGCTGGCTTTGCACTCGGCTTCATCAATCTGGGCAAGGGAAAAGATCTCCGAGGTCTTCACGATATGCGCATTGTTGAGCGCCTCATGACTGTCGCTGTCTCACCCAAGCCCGTGAATGTCGTGCATATCCTCGACCAAGCGACCGCAGGAGCAGTCATCGCCGTCGCCCTGATCTTCATGAAAACCCACGACCAAAGCGTAGCCCGCAAGATCGATATTCCAGACACACTGCCACAATTCGATTATGTCCGCCCCGACATTTTCCTGCTCCGCACATTGGCCAAACACCTCATCATGTGGGATAACATTGAAGCATCGGATTCGTGGATCATCAGAAATCTTCCCTTTGAGTACCGAGAGGCCTTTGATCTCAAGGGAATCACACGCCTACGAAGCGAACAGATGCCGTTTTACAACATTCTTGCCGGTCTGTTGTGGAGTGTCAGTCTCAAACACGCTGGTACTGGAGATACACAAGTACGCGATTTCCTGATCAAATATCTGGATCAATTCATTCGAATCAACAAGCTGCCAGCCGTGCGGTACGATTCAAAGCTATCAAAGAACACAGTCCGGAACTGCCAGGATCTCATAGCCCTAGCAGCCGCAACCGTCATGGCCGGCACAGGTGACCTAGACGTTTTCCGTCGTCTTCGCGGTCTACACGGTCGAATCGGACCAGACATCCCCTACGGCTCCCACCTCGCAGCCCACATGGCCTTCGGCACCCTCTTCATCGCTGGCGGCACACAAACCTTCAGCCGCAGCAACAAAGCCATTGCCAGCCTCATCTGTGCCTTCTACCCCATCTTCCCCTCAGACGTCCAAGACTCAAAAGCCCACCTCCAAGCCTTCCGCCACTTCTGGGTCCTAGCCGCCGAACCCCGCTGCCTCGTCGTCCGCGACGTAGACACCGGCCGCGCAATCTCAATGCCCATCAACATCCACTTCAAATCCCGTCTCCCCGACGGCTCGAAGACGAAGAACCTTGTTGCCCCTTGTCTCTTACCTGAGCTACCCCTGATCAGTAAGTTGGAAACGGCAGACCAGAGCTACTGGCCTACGACTCTCGACTTCTTGAACAATGTAACGCATCTGGCGGCTTTTGAACACAATCAAACTCTGCATGTGCGGAGGCGCTCCGCGCATGATACGTATGCTACAGCATTTAGTTCTACGCTTGTAGCACTCAACGATGCGCAGTCTTCGCGGACATCACAACTTCTCTTCCACTGGCTCTTTACGCTCCCGTCTTTATCGAACTTCGTCAGTGCCTCTGACGCTGGTCTTATTTTGCCGCTGGATCAGCATTCCAAATCTTGGTTGGATCCTGGGGCTACGGTTGTGGAGTCGCGACTGGTGCTTGCGCGGCTTGCGGGGAGTGAGAAGGTGGAGGAGTTGAGGGTGCTGAGGGGGGTGTTTGAGTGGGCACTCGCGGCTTGTAGGAGGGATGGCAAGTTGAGGTGGCTTGGGAGAGAGGTTGTAGAACGGATCAAGGCGGGAGTTATGGATCGAGCGAGGCAGATGGGTGGTGGGTGATGAGACTGCGAGATGCACGTGGGACTTGAGATAGGAAAATGAAGATGTACATCTGCAATGACATTTTTGCTTCGTGATGAACCTGGGAGAGAAACATGAATGTTGATTTACATCTTTTTGACAAGTCATATGCTCCCGCTCTCCAGATGAATTTTCCATGCTACACTGAAATCATAACGCTCTATCTGCAAGACCTTTAGAAAGAAAACACAGGAAAATCTTTACTCTTACCATCTACAATGTCAAGGGCGCAATCCATTCACACTTGGGCGGCGTGAGCGGAATATCCTCATCATCGTTGAATCGACCAAGCTGAGCAACACGCTTGTAAATTTCTTCCAGCATCTTTCCTTGCTCACCCTCATATTCTTCTGGCTTGCCTTCCTTGTAGCGGTCCTTGGCATCGATGGGTTTGCCATCGGGCGTGACGCCAGGTACATGTGGACGCCCTGCTGAAGCGGGCTGTGTGGTAGGGGCCTGCTGTTGTGCTGGCTGGCTGGGCGTAGCCATATTAGCAGTAGGTTGGGTGGCAAAGGGTGAAGGTGTGCTAGCCGGGGCTGTAGAATTCTGTGCTGTGGAAAAGGGGTTGGCTGGCTGTGATTGTGTTGCGGCAGGTTGGGTGGACGGAGTGCCAAAAGGCGAGGGTTTGCTTGGCTGGCCAAACGCTGGGGTTTGGGATGCAGCGGCACTGGCAAACGGACTGGGCTGTGCGGGTTTTTGCTGGGTTTGTCCAAACGGACTTGGATTCTGTGATGGCTGGGCTGGTTGGCCAAATGGCGAAGGCTGAGATGTCTGCTGAGCTTGTTGACCAAATGGCGACGGTTGACTTGCTTGCTGCGCTTGTTGGCCAAAAGGTGAGGGACCCGACGGTGCTGCTTGCCCGAAAGGAGACGCGCCAGACTGTGCTGCCTGGCCAAACGGTGATGCACCGGATTGTGCCGCTTGAGCAAAGGGAGAGGTATTAGCGCCGGGTTGCGCAGCCTGACCAAATCCACTTTGTCCAAAGCCTGGTTTACTAAAGGGATTTGGTTTCTGTCCTAGGGCATTTGTCTGCCCGAACCCAGATGTTGCGCCTGGTGTTGATGGCTTTCCGAAAGCAGAGCCTGCACCCAAGCTACTGGCTTGTCCAAATGCGCTTCCTGCACCTGGCATAGATGGTTGCCCAAATCCAGAGGTGCCAAAGGCGGGTTTTCCAAATGCACTGCCACCGCTACCCAAAGCTGAAGGCTGACCGAATGGTGATGGCTTTTGACCAAGTGCAGAGGCGGCACCAAAAGCTGATGATGTTTGGCCTGGGTTGGATGCTTGACCAAACGGCGATGCAGCTTGGCCTGGGGTTGATGCTTGACCGAAAGCTGAGGTAGTTTGACCGGGATTTGAAGGCTGTCCAAAAGCGGATGTGGTTTGCGCTGGGTTTGACGGCTGGCCAAAAGCTGGTTTACCGAAGGCTGGTGTGGAAGTCTGTCCGAACGCCGAGCCTTGAGAAGCTGCTGCTGTCTGGAATGGGTTTCCAGGCGCTTTCATAAATGGATTTGAGGCTGCGGTTGAAGATGGATTTGCAGTGTTGGCTGAGTCACTTGCATTAGCGTTTCCTTTGGCAATGTCAATCCGATTCGGATGAACGTTGGCGCCTTCTTCTATATACCGGATAGCACCAGGTATGTCATCGAGGATTGCTTTCACTTGCTGCTGCATCTTTTCATTGAGAGCAGATTCTTCTTGTTGCTATGGTTGGTCAGTTTCTAAGAATCGGTCTCCATCGGTGAGACTCACCGCTTGGGGCTCATTGCCAGCTGTGCGTAGAGTATAATACCGCAGGCGAAGCTCTTCTGGGCTGATCTCGACTGGTCCCTCGATAAGCTGGCGAGGAGCCTCACGTCCTGGGCCATAGCAAGACAGGGGATAGATTGGCCGTTGGGTGGTGAGATCGTTCTTCATGTCGTCCCGATCTAGATGAAAGCTTGGCGATTTCGCATCACGGTTGCCTGTATTAGGTGAGTTCGAATTCGACAAAGAATCAAAATCACCCAGAGTTGTAGATTAGGGTACTCTGAGCGCTCGACAGGGTCTGGCATACCCCCAAATGTGTTGGAACTGCCATTTTGGCCAGGACGATAGCGATCCCCATTGAAGGCGCCAAAGCGGTTGTTGTTTGAACCGCCAAAGGCACTTCCCCCACGGTTTGCATCTCGCGAACTTCCGGGGTGTTCGTTTTTACAGGAATCTGATTGATGTGAGTCTGGTGTATCAATGCGATGGCTGGTGGTCTACCTCCAAACTTGCATGCGCCTCGCTGATAATACGTGCAGACACCCATGTTACTGAATAGGCAATTCAAGCCTTGCTGAAACTGATGGGTAGGACTTCGAATGGGCTGTGGGGAATCAGTAGGGTCTAGAAAAGATGACGTGACGTTGGAAAGTATGGACAAAAGAAGAAAGCGGTGTCTGAGCGGCTGAACCCGACCGAGGCTGGGGTGAACGGAAACTTCAGAGCGAACGGACGCGACGCGCCAGCCAATCAACGCGAACAACGCAGCGTGCTATCCTTGGTGCGCTGTGGACAGGCGTCCAAAGGCGCCGCACAGATGTCACTGTATATTCGGGAGTTGGTGGTTGTTCTTGCCTGCTAAGAAGCCTCTCGGTCGTCTTTGTCCATATGGAGTAATGTGTGCTTGATAGATGGTAGTTACCAGCGATAAGCGGCTGGCGTAAACAGTACGAAGTAGGATGTGCGAGTTTTTGTTGCAGGAGATGGTACCCACCTTGTTTCAAAGGCAGTCCAGTCAGTGGCACGTCAAGTTGTTCACCCTTTCCAGCGCATGTATCGTGTCGGTGGATTTAGCTACGTGTGATGCTGCTGATGCGATTGGGAGCAGAGCGCGACATGTGTACGCTAGTCCGCATCCAGAGCTAGTGCATCGTCCCGAACATGCGGGCCTTCCACGTACGCCACCATTGAGGGTGTTATGGATTGCAGCCAGGATGCGTTTTGCGCAATGTACATGCAACTGCAACCTCTCGCCCTGCTGTCCCGTTGCCAAATACACCAAGACAATTGCCCGACGCTCGCTCGCTAGCTTTGAGAACCCAACGCCGACCCAGCCTATTCCGAAGCACCGCTTGGCATGACGGGGTAGATGCACGCCTTCTCTATTCTTACCATTGGCATCTTCGTTGCGGGATACTCGACTGCCCGTTGGGACCTTGTGACCCGTGTGTACGAGCTCGCCATATTCGCCTGGGACCACGGTGTCGTGACCAGAACTGCAAAGGGGTTCGCCTTGTTGTCCTTGTTGTTTTTCCTCTTCATACTGCCCGTGGTACGCATCGCGGCTCAGGAGACGGATCTGGTCAGTAGGGCATGTACAAATCTTCACATGGCCGGTCGACTAAATACTTGTAGCATCCCAGACTTGCAGGCACAGGAATTTCTGCGCGTGAGCAGCTCAAACGTCGTGGTTCTTTCTAGCGAGGTAGCAGGATGAGGACATGGTCACGCACAATGGCTTGATGCGCATATTCTGGCCATCAGACGTTCCAAATGACTCTGCGCCAGGGATTCTGGTCGGATTCGAGAACTCCAAGACTGATATTTTCGTGGTAGCCGTTCTGCAGGATGTGGGATTACGCCAAGTGGAAAATGCGCTGCTTGTAGGGACACTGTTGCGACACAGCCCACATGATATCCAAGAACTGCTGCAACGATGCGGGCATTCGGCGCTTCGCGCTGTTGGCTGCGTAAATCCAAAGAGCCCACCAGATCCATATGGTGCCGAACCCCTCACAGTGTACACCAATCCTTCAACCCGCTTTCCACGCATCCACTACCCGGGCGACACGCTCATGGCCATCCAAGTTATCGTATACGACCGACCGCACCCGACGCGCATGCAATATCTCTCGCTGAATCCTATCACCCTCGCACTAGGAGACAAAACACGGGTGGCTGAGTGGGATGGGGTGTTTGCTGACCTCGAGGAGGCAGAGGCAAAGGAGCGGAAGAGGAAGGCACAGCTTGTCGAGCGATTGAAGCTTCACACAGTCACTGCGCATCCGCCTACGCAAAAGGAGCTGGCGTTGCCAATGATCATCGAGCAGGTCAATTGCTCGTACGAGCTCAATGCTCTCCTACAAAAGAATATCGGCATGATTGGCAGGCGCATGAAGCGGGCACTGAGCGTCAGTGAGCGCGTAGCCGAGTCTGCCAACAACCTCTGGGACTCTGCCTGGATGACGCTGGATTACTTATTCAGAGTCTGGGTCTGGCCTATAGCTGCACAGCTCTTCATATTCGGTATCATCACGTACCGCATTCTGGGAGAGGCTGTGATAATGGTGTTGCACTGGCGACCTGGGGCTTCCGACTCACCGGCCCTGAAGGACATATCTGCGATAGCACAGCAAATTGACATTCGACTGCAACAATCGTGTTACTGGCCCATTCAATATCTCACCTTGCGCCGAAGGAAAGCCAATTGGGAGAGCATCACAAACAGCCATCCAGAGTACATTAGATTCTATAACAGTCTGTGGCTAGTCGCAAACGATGTCATCATGGGTATAGCAATGGGAACCTTTATCATCGAGAATGCATCATTCGTGGCAGCACAGGTCGACACTATATTCAGTGCGTGGTCAGTCGAGGGCCTGCGGCGCATGATATCATGGCTCATGGGGTGGCCGGGAGGCTTGAAGCTTAACACTGAGCTGGCAGCGTTCTTGGGCGACCTGTTCCTTTGGGTCATTGACTACTGGGCTAGTAAGTATATACCGCCAGCGTGTAGAGTGTAGCTGACCGAATAACCTACAGACTGTATATCGCTCCTGCGACCCCATCTGCCCGTACTCATCCAGATCATTGGCTACTCCTCCTTTGCCGGCGCCACTGTGCCCATATCGATCTTCTCGGATCTTGTTTCCCTGCTCACCGTGCATATATACTCCTTCTACGTTGCGTCTGCTCGCATCTTCCACTGGCAGCTCACCATCATCATTTCTCTCTTCCACCTCTTCCGTGGCAAGAAGCGCAACATTCTCCGCAACCGAATCGATTCGTGCGACTACGACTTGGACCAGCTACTCCTTGGTACAATCTTGTTCACGCTACAGTTTTTCCTCCTGCCAACTGTCTTCGTCTTCTACCTGACGTTCGCCAGCGCGCGCATCGCTGTCATTGGGCTCAAAGCAAGCCTCGAGATGGGACTTGCGTGTCTCAACCATTTCCCGCTGTTTGCAGTCATGTTGCGGCTCAAAGATCCAGGTCGCTTGCCAGGAGGTATATGCTTCGAGTTGCAGCTCACAGGCAGTATGATGATGGACAAACAAGATGCGCCTGGCTTAGCGCCAACTGCCTACGTGCTGCTCAAGGTAAGTCTACTGTCTACTGTTTTGTCGTCTTCATACTCACAAATGACAGTCTGTACCGCTGTCACTCCGCGCAATGTTCCAACCATACTTTGACCTTGGAGACCGCATACGGAAACATTACTTCTCGCCGAGCGTGTTGCTCTACCTGGTGTCGGGTCAGTTCGTGCCGCCAATCCACCGCCGCAACTTGTACAGCCTTCAGTATAGCATGTTGCCAGCAAAGAGAGCAGGTATAGGTGAGCTGTGGAGGAAGTTGACGGAGCGGGACCGACAGCCCTCGCGTTCATCTAGTAGCTATGCCCCCATGTCGTTTAGAAAAGGTATACCAAATGGTAAAAGTAGAAAATTAATATAGTCACTTTGCACTATTTGCTTCTAAACCTCTCTTATCTACTTACCTATTCGTTGTTTCTGTGCCTTATGTACTATCTTCTTACTTATCCCTCCCGTCTCCGCACTTGGGAGTTGTCACTGTGCAGCGTTGGCGTTTAGTCAACAAAACAATCACAACGTTATCCGCTATAGCAACCACGCATAATGTCTGCAGTTACTTGCATACATTTCACTCCCCTAACCTAAATAAACTCAAAAAAAACCCCTAACAAAAAAAACATCTCACCCCCGCTCTCCCCAGCATCTGCTGACCGACGCCCATTCCTGTATTCGAACGGCACGCCCTCCTAGCGACAGCCCATTTTTTTTTGATTCTATGTAATCACTGACTCTTTTTTTTCTTTTGTTTTGATTTCTCTATCTATGTTTTTTTTTCTCAAGGTATCTTTCTAGAATGACGCATTCGAGTGCGTGTGGTTGACCTTTTTTTTTTGTAGTTGCCCATTACCTGATTTTTTGTTAAGCCAGGAGCCCACCCGTTCCGCCAAGGAGAGAGACGGTGATTTGTTTGATGGGAATGCGGGGGATTGAGGGGGTTATATGGGGATGGGGGAGGGCGTGAGAGGGTAATGAGGTGAGAGGGGGTGAGAGACGCAGGGTGGGCGGACGGGCAAACGGGGGGAGTGAAGGCGGTTTGCATGTGATTGGGGGTTTTCACTTGTAAGGGGGGTATGGATGGGGATGAGGTTTGTTGGGGCGAGGGCGGTAAGGGGTCTGATGTGTTGGAGGTGATGGGGGCACTGATTGACTTGTCTTACTTGGTTGGGTGAGTCTAAGGGGAGAAGGTGGGCGGAATGACTTCAAGTGAGATTATGTATATTCAATAACTGATGCGGGAGTTGTGGCGTGTATGCCATGTAATGTAGGTGCTGTCATAGCATGAGGAAGTTGCGACTGCTTGAGTATGCTGTTGACTCCGCCTGTCACTCTACATCTGATACCATTCAATAAGCCTCAGAGCAATAATCTTTCCTTCAACGATGACGATGAATCCCTGGAGGCCAGTGCCCTTTCAGCGACCCTTGCCAACTAGGAAAGCTTCGATCCGTCTACACTTACAATCATCGTTGGTGGGAAACCACAACAGCTACGCCCTGCTATGTACGTGGAATCGTTCTGAATTATTTCGCAATAATATTTGGAAAATTGGAGGCGAAAGGGGGAGCTCAGTCCACCATCTAGTAGATGAGTGCAATGTGCTCCAGAATACCTCATTCTAATGTGTGAAAAAGGTCGATAGCCCAACGCCTTACGATTCAACAATGAATTGCCTCCAAAAAGCCGCCAATAATATCTCAAAGGAGTGTCTCGTCGACACGTTTGTGGTAACCAATGGAGCGACTGATGGGCTGCTACTCCTTGACTTAGGCTCTGAGTCGAGTATATACCTTTAGAGAAAGGGACAAAGGACAAAGGAAAAGAGACAGAAAGACACAAATCACTAAGTACAAAAGAAAGACGCACGCGAGACTTTTGTGTGAATCACTTCAAACGTCGCCTGTATTTGCAGGATATCAATAGGGACAAAGAGTCCCAACAACCATAAAAGGTCGTTACTATACGTCGCTGAAACAATTTCGCTGAGGCCTCTCAAGCTACGCATAGGCTTTCTCTTTCAAACCAACAGAAGCCACCGCAAGATTGTATGGCAAAAGAAGCAAGGTACCTCCTTACTCCATTAGACAGAATCGACGCTACATGCCAGGGAAACAAACCGGCAAAAGCAGGCTATTCTCAAAAGACCCAAAAACGCCCGGTTCCAATTAATACTACTAGCAAGATACAAACGAGGCGCCATCGTCACCCGGCGGTTGCGGCCAATCTGGCGGTTTGGGGGTTTTACTCGGTGGCTCATCGGGGCGGGGTTTACGGCCCCAAACAACGTAACTGGCAAAGATCAGCTCTGAGCTCGCAGCAAAAAACCGTGCCCATTTGGCAAACTTACACTTTGTAATAGGCATGTATGGTCTTGTCTGTGAGGGCAGTTCGCAGGTGTGCAAGGTAGACCTCGACCTCTGCAGGCGACCATCCCAGAGCAGTGACAAAGAATTCAATTGACCACGCGTGCACACCGGCGCACAAATTCCAGTAAAACCACTTTCCGAGCACCTTCATGCGTTCGTCTTTTGGCCATGAATTGACGGGAATAGCGAATATTTCCTCGTGTACATCGACGAAGCCTGCTTGTTCGTACCATCGCTTGAGTTTGTTGGCGATACGTAGGGGCCGGCCTAGGCGCATGGCTGCATCGTCTTGGGTAGCTGTCCAGTCCAGAAGCGCGTAGTCGGCAGGCATCGTGCCGTCATTGCAGTAGATTTTGGGATAGAGCTCCTGAGATTCCATCCATCCTCCGGGGTTGAGATTGTTGAAGCCCTTTTGGATGATTTCGCGAAAGTCGTGGAAGATGCCGTGCGACATGCGCGTGTGGATGTAATCGTACGGCTGCGTGCAGCGCCACCATTCCGGCCGAGTGATGTCGTCCATGAAGAAGTCGACATTTTCGCAAGAGCTGTACTTGTTAGCGAGGGTTGCTTGGACCGGCATGTGCGGCTTACATCTTGGGCTGGATCGGAGACAAGTCAATGCCTTCCACCTATTCCTTTTGTTAGGTGTGCCGCAGAAGAAAATATGGGGGACGTACCCGGCACTTTGGGAACTCGTTCGCTATCATTCGTTAGCGTTCTTGCTGGCACTACCTCGGCGCTCTACGTACCCATTTCGAAGCACCACTTGCCGGTGCCACAGCCAATGTCGAGCATCCTCTTGGGCCGCTTGAGCTTCAATGGGGCGAGGTAATTCCTCTGGTGAAACAGAGCTGTGATGATGACATGTTGCATGTCCAGGCGCTCTATCTCAGGCTGGGTATCAGCTAGTCAGTAACAGAAAAAAAGTAGTTTGTGTGTGTGCCAGGGCTAGGGCAGCTACACGTACCGCGTCGTTGGGAAAAGGGTAAGCTAGGGTGCGTTAGCTGAGAAGGCCAGTGAAGGAGTCGCGCGGCGATGCTTACCGCCAGCCTGGTATCCGTGGTATGTCCTGCCATACTTCTTGACGTAGTCGAAGATGCTTGGCGTGAGACTTTGAATCTCGCTGTGGCGAGTGAGTTCACCTGGGCGATTTGAGAGCAGCAGAGCATCACACGTACGAGTTGTCGTAACCATCTGACTGGGGATCCGACTACAAGTCCCGATTAGCTGGCAGTGCTTGTCGCGGGCCTGGCGGCGCGGCGGGGGAGGCCGGGTGTTTGACATACATCAGGCTCCAGGGTCGAGTGGGTGATGTCGGTGAGGTCCGTGGCACTGGACAGCGGGCGCAGCGGCCTCTCCTTGCGCAGGTGGTCGGGCACAGAGGTCGCCATGGTGGCGGTTTGCGATGCGCTCCAGGAGCGCTATATGACTCTGGCCGAGTCGTGTCGAGGAGGAGGCGAAACCCAGCGGAGCGGCATGTCGTTCCCAATGCCAGGGCCTTGGGGGCGCCCGTCACGCCGACGGCCACACCAGGACGGGACCATCCTGCGCTAGGCGTGGGCTAGCGAACCCCGCAATTCACCGAACCTCCACCGCCCATCTGCCACCTGTTGGACCGACCCACCATCACCCCCAACCCGCCGAATGACATGCCCACGAGTGCGCCGCACGCTGCCAGCTACCGCCGCCACGGCTTTTGCATTGCGTCGTCTCATCCGTCCGGGCGGGTGACAGCTCGCCAGGCCCTCGGGTGCGCCCTCGTCGACACGCCTTGCATGTCTTCACTGCTCGCTCTGCAAGCCATGTGCCTTGCTCTCTAGCGCTGCTGCAACCGTCTTTCTTTACCGGCCGCCCTGCTTGCTGCATGCCGGCACCTCGACAGTTCCTGCTCCTTCTCCGTGCCCACCATGGTCAGTGTTGCCGTCACGGCCATTCATCCACGTGCGTCATCCAGCGACTCGGCCTCTTCGGCGATGCAGTGACGCGGTTGCGCTCAAACGATCCCCCGTCGGCGCTGCGTCCGGAGCATCGGGTCGACAAAAAGACGGTGCCAAAGCATGTCATCAAGGCTGAGCGCCAAGCGGAACGCGTCACGATAATCAGCTTTTTTTCAGGTCCTTGATACATTCGTGACAGCAATCGGAACTTCAAAACCATGACCCTTCTCACCCAGAGCAGCGTCTTTCCAAACTGCACTGGAATCACCGTGTTTTGAATTGCCAGCAGTTGGGTTCCTGCGCAGGGACAATTGCAGCGAGGCTCCACGTCCAACAACGTTTGTTTGAGTTCAATGCTATGCACCGAGCCTTTAGAGTTTACGCTGCCCACCTCGACAGCCGACCCTGCATGCAGATGCAGCGCCAATGGTACAGAACGTGGCATAAAACACCACGTTAAACATTTGTCATGCTCGCTCGATGACTGAGGGTCCGGCGAGGTCCATGCCTTACATATTCAGAAAAATTTGCCCGTTCTCATTTTCGCTACTATCTTTACCCCAAGCCGCGTCGGTCCCTCGTCGGCATTAAACCTGCATCAACAGAAAACCAAATGGCCGACGGGTTTTCTTGAACGCGTCAAGTCTCTTGAAGAAGCCTTTGAAAATTCTGCAATTACAGACCAGCAGCGGCTTTTTCCTGTCGAAATTTTGCCAGACCTGTTATACTTTGCTCAAAACCCACAGTCCGATAAACAACTTGGGCATCGACTGCCACGGTGCTGCCTGCCATCACGCACGGTCTATTCTAGCATCTTCGAGCAGAACTGAAGGCAACATCCTTTACTTGAGATTCCGGTGTGATAGACGCATGCGTTGATTGAGTCTCACTTGAAATTAAATGGCTTTCAAACATTGGCTATCTTTCATTTCTGATAATTGGGTAACATGGTTTTTCCAGATGGCACCCTTACTTTCACCGTTCACACTCACCTTCAACGTTGTCTCTCAGTGTGTGTCCCATCACTCACTACACTGCAGCTATATTTCTGAGGCGTCAGAGCAGCATTGCTATTGAACTAACTTCTTGGATGGTTCCAAGTGAGATTCTGTTCATCATACACGCCTACCAAGCCTAAGCACTAGTAAAGATGGCTCGAAATGATTTCAAGTCGTTTGCGAAGCGGAATCCAACAAGAGCAGCGAGGTGCAGAGCTACTATGCGCAATGTTGAACGCATCATGGCACATCGAGGCACACGCAAAACTGGACAAAAACCCAAGCCGAAGGCCGCACGCAAGACTACATGTGATACAGCGCATAGACCTATCCGGTAGAACTTTCTATAAGTAGCTTATTGCTTACATCTAACTTCCTGTAGATTTGGTGAGAAGCTCATCACCATCTATGCGGAGGGTCAAGACAATATTCCATTCGTAATCCATGAAGACTTGCTGTGTTCCAGCTCTGGCCACTTCAAGAAGCTCTTCCAAAAAAGCCGTAAAGCCATCAAAGGAGAGTGTTCGATATGCATAGAAGACCTCTCTGGCTTCTTACCAGTCTGCTATTGCAAAAGCTGTGGACAAAACTTCCACACGAAGTGTCTCGACGACTGGCTGCAGCGAAAAGCAACATGTCCAATGTGCCATGTGGACAGGCCGATAGCTACTGACTCAGTGCAGAGCAGAATCTGGGATGCTGCCAATGGTGAGCCTTGGGATGCGTATATGCAATGGTTGTATACCGGAGTTATTCCAGTCCACCTCAAAGACCTTGGCGAAGATAATGGCGCTAAATACTGTCAGCTACTAATGGATTCATATAAGCTCGGCGAAAGACTCGAGGATGAATTATTCCAGAAAGCAGCGCAAAAGGAAATAGTCGAGGACGTCAGGATAGCTTCGTGTGCAATCGGCTATCACAATGTCGGACAGGTATACCAGCTCACGAATGGAGCTTCGACGCTTCGCAAGGTACTGGTTGATATGTACATTTCCCAGGCAGACTCCACTGAGCTGGGTTTGGAATATCCTCAGCAGTTTATCCTGGATATCGCGCGGGCTTTGCTGGCGCGGCAGACGAAACAGAATTTGGGTTCAGAAAAGGTGTTGGCAGGATACAGCTCGGAAAAAGAAGATAACGATACGAGCTCGGAAGATGAAGAGGATGAGAGCTCCGAAGATGGAGATGAACTTGCATATGACGTCAGATATGGAGATGGACTGTATGAACCAGGAGAGACGGTGGTGGAGGAGGAGGAGGAGGAGGAGGAAAGATAAGTTCCACGGGACTTAAGCACATTTGAGCTTGGCCACACGAAAGAGCCTTCGAGGGTTTGAGAACATGGCAGCATAATGCTTGAATACTTAGATCAAGTAGCTTTCTATTCAAACAGACGACACTTATGGAGAAGATGAACAAAAAAGCAATTTGCATTGCCTGAAGATGGGCATCCCACCTAGACGGATCCGCTAATGTACAGGTGCTCATATCAAAGAAGCTGTTGCTCATACGTGGTTTACCGGCCCTTCTTGACCCAGTCCTCCAAGCTTTCCCTGGTATCGGCGAGCTTGCCCTCGACAGCACCAACGGTGCCCTGAGCATGTGCCTTTCCAGTCTCGACAAATTGCAGGATGCGCTTCTTCATGCGCAAGTGTGTGTCTGCAACGACGGGGTATCGCTCCTCGTAGGTCCAAATGAGATCACCCACGTTCTTGGAGGTAATGGGCAGCACCACGTTGGCAGCAGTAATACCCACGGCAAGGGGCACAGAGGCACGGAGTAGTATGTTGCGGTTGCGTGTGACAATGGATCCGGCCATGGAGGCAACGAGCACGTACAGGGCACCGGGCAGGACCTTCTCGCCAGACTCTTTTGGTGGGGCTAACGAACGGATGGTGCTTGTGAAGGAATGCTCTAGGCGGAGCGTCTCGGTAAGAGCGTTATCAACAGCCTTTTCACCGCGGACAGCTTGCTCGTACAGAGCCATGCGTGCACGGCCAATCTGGACAGCCAGCCGGTCGGTAGGAGTCGGGCGGTAGACGGGCTCTTCGGAAGGGGCCGAGCGTGATGGCGCTGGTAGAGAGGGGGCGGTAGGAGCTGTGGCATCAATGGGCAAATCATCGTAGATTGGCTTGCGGTTCTGTACGCTACGTCAGTACCGAAGGTCGCACGTGCCGTCCAGTAGAAATTTTGTCGTAACTCAAAAATTTATACGACACACAGGGCAGCAGCACATACCGAGTAGTCTTCCTGGCGCTCTTCTGCGTATACAGAGCGAGGAGCGAAGATTGCCGTGGCCGAGAGGGCAGCCATGGCGGGAACGACAGCGCGCTGCAAGACATCAGACGGCAGCCGTGGATCATTCAGCAAGTCTACTCACCTGCCGTAACAGCGGTCGGAAAGCCATGTCGGGCGTGGGGCGGGCGCAATGGGTGGGAGACTGGCCGTGATCTAGCTTCTGATGTTGAGCTTCTGAGGATGCGGAGGCGGCCGTGCGAGCGCCGCAAGAATCTCGGCCTGGCCTGGCTATGACATCGTTTGTTTCTCAGGGCCTACCAATCTTCCTTCACTCGTGCCACCGCCCACGATGCTCAAGCGGCTTGCGCGCACAAAGCAGCCAACAGCGCCCTGGATCTGCCATCGCTGTCTCCACCAGTCGCAGCGCCAACGACGCCTCAACTCGACTTTTGCTGCTGCTACCACCGCCCCCTCCAGGCCACGCGACCTTGCGCCGCCACTCCACGGTCTCCCTACCAGTGCAAAGGCAGATGACGACGCCCTCCGCAAGGTTTTTGACAGCGCCTCGTTCTGGGCGGGCTTCAAAAGAACATCGCAAAATGGCCAGCCCGCTGGCATCATCGGCAACAAATACCTGACGCATCCTGAAGGCTTCGTAGACTTTGTCACGATAACCATCCAGCGCTGCAATGCTGTCGTGCAAAAGGTGGCAGCCGCGCAGTCAGTCCAGGATTACAAGCGCATGGTCAAGGACCTCGACAAGCTCAGCGACCTGCTATGTAGGGTCATAGACTTGGCCGACTTTGTGCGAGGAACCCATCCAGATCGCAAGTTCCAGGTCATGGCAGTCAAGGCATACTCGACAGTCTTCCAGTACATGAACCAGTTGAACACAACACCCGTATTATACAACCAGCTGAAGAAAGGCTCAGAGATACCCGAAGTATACGAGGCCTGGAGCGAGGAAGAGCGAATTGTTGCGAGAATACTGATGGAGGACTTTGCACGCTTCGGCATTGGGCTGGATGACAAGACACGAGAGAAGCTGGTGGACCTGAGCGGAGAGATTGCTGAAGTTGGAAACCAGTTTGTCGAGGGCATGGCACCAGAGACACTGACCCTACGGTTCAAATCCACGCGGTTGAAAGGACTGGACCCGAACGTGGCAAAGGCTCTGACCAAGTGGGGAGAGACAAAGATTTCGACAATGCACCACGAAGCGCAATCTGTGCTGCGGTTTGTCGAGGACCCAGAAGTGCGCAGAGAGACATATCAAGCCGTCCGAACAGCAAGCAAGCCGAGCATTGCACGGTTAGAGAAGATGTTGAAGCTGCGCGCCGAACTGGCCCAGACGTCGGGTTATGAGACGTTTGCGCACATGACACTTGAGAACAAGATGGCACGGACACCAGAGGCTGTCAATACTTTCTTGAAAGCATTGTATGAGGACAGTCGACCGGCTGTACTCGCCGACTTAGAGGAATTGATGGAATTGAAACGAGGTGATGCTCACCGGTCCAACTTTCCAGATCGCATCAATGCCTGGGATAAGTTCTACTACACACAGAAGATGCTTGCGACAATGGAGGGTCATTATAGGCAGCGCACCCCGGATTCACTATCTGCATATTTTTCTGTCGGTACCGTCCTGCAGGGAATATCTCGGCTCTTCGACCGTCTCTACGGCGTACGCTTTGTTCCAAAGGAGACTCAGCCGGGGGAGGTGTGGGACGATGGAGTTCGCCGCCTCGATGTCATATCTGATACTGAAGGCCATATTGCGGTACTGTACTGTGACTTGTATTCTCGTCCTGGCAAGACGCCCAACCCAGCGCATTTCACCCTGCGCTGTAGTCGCGAGATTTTACCCTCGGAAATGGAAGAAATGGCACATATGCAGCACCGCTTTTCTTCACCCATTGAAGCCGCAACCGATGGTATGCCAGTGTCTTACAATGCCCAAAGGCAAAGTTACTTCCAACTACCAACTATCGCCCTGATTTGTGACTTCAGCAAAGCGTCTCATTCGCGACCAACGCTCCTCAACATTCACGACGTACGCACTCTGTTCCACGAAATGGGCCACGCTCTCCACTCTATCCTGGGTCGCACAGCTCTCCAAAACGTCTCTGGCACTCGCTGCGCCACCGACATAGCTGAGCTGCCCTCCGTACTAATGGAACACTTTGCTTTTTGCCCACACGTTCTGTCTCTGTATGCCCGCCACTGGGAAACAGACGCTCCGGTCCCTATGGCTGCCCTTGAGTCCCGCCTCGCAATCGACAATCGAAATCAGCACGCCGAACTTGAATCGCAAATCTTACTTTGCATGCTAGACCAAGCTTACCATTCCCCTATCGCTGCAGACCCAAATTTTAACTCGACAAAGGTTTACCACGATGTATACAACAAGTACGCGTCGGTTCCTGAGCCCGCTGGTACAGCTTGGCAGGGTTTCTTTGGCCACTTGTATGGATACGGCGCTACCTACTATTCTTATCTGTTTGACCGCGCACTCGCAGCTAAGATCTGGAAGGATGTGTTTCAGCACAATGGCCCAGAAGGCAGCTTGGATAGAGAAAACGGTGAGTTGTATAAGAATGAGGTGCTTAAATGGGGCGGCGGAAGAGACGGCTGGCAGTGCCTGGCTGGGGTGCTTAAAGATGAAAGGCTAGCCGAGGGGGGCGAGCAGGCTATGCAGGAGGTAGGGAAATGGGGAATCCGGGATACAGGGAAGTAGATGGTACATTGCGAACACCAAACCCTGTGTCGTGTGCATAGACTCGCATCTAGACTTTTGTAGATAAACTCTTGGTCAATAAAGCATCCATGGTTGCGGGTTGCAAGATGTCTTGCAGACTTATTGATTCGCTGATCATACCGGACATGGCTGAGTGGCTGAATCACATCATTGAGACTCCTCCCGAAAGCATGCACTTTCGAAATTCGCATTGCTTGGATACAATTCTGTAATCGCACCCAACCAAGCATGTGGAGTGTGGAGGTGGATCCTTCGCTGTAGGCTGGACCCACGCTAGCCGCTATAGGACGACGCGCTCTTATCGATAAAGTTTTCGAGGTCAGAAAAGTTTTGGTATTCGAGACGCCATCACTATTCCCACGACAGTAATGTCACAAGAAAAGAGCATGGATTCAAAAGTCCAGAACGGAGAGAATGGATCAACAGATCTAAAGAAGGGCAAAAAGAGAAAGAGAGCTCAACCAGCTAAGGATGGCTGGAGTGTTAAAAAAGGCGCCGGCCAACTGACCAAGTTTGATGACTCTGAAGATGATACACCTAATCCCGTTGCGAGTCAAAAGAGCAAGGTTGATGTTGTGGAGAAGACAGAGGTTGCTATGGAAAGACCAACTGGACAGTCTGAGAAGTCTTCCAACCCGGACAAGCCATCTACACAGCCACCAGAACCCACACCCAAGCGTGAGCAACATTCCAAGGCCAGGAACAAGCAACCGCAGCGGTTGCGAAACTCTCAAAAAATCCAGGACATACCACCTTATCTTCTCCAAAAACGCGATGAGCTGCGATCAGTCAGAAAATCGCTTCCCATATGGCCCCAGGCAGACTCCATCCGAGCAGCATTACAAAAGAACAACATCCTCGTCTTAACCGGAGAAACGGGTTCCGGAAAATCGACACAATTACCACAGTTTTTGACCAACGAATCATGGTGTACGGGATGCATAGCGATCACACAGCCTCGAAGAGTTGCAGCGATTTCTCTGGCCCGCCGTGTTGCAGAAGAAATGGGCAGCTTACTTGGTGACAAGGGCCCAGCAGCCAAGGTCGGCTACAGTGTCCGTTTCGACAACGCTGTTGGGAAGCATACAAAAGTCAAGTTTTTGACTGAAGGTATGCTGCTTCAGGAGATGCTCAGGGATCCCAACATGTCGCAGTACAGTGCGATAGTAGTGGATGAGGTGCACGAGAGGAGCGTGAATGTGGATCTGATTCTCGGATTTTTGAGGAATTTAGTTGCTGATGAGGAGAATAACAAGAAAAGAAAGCATCCGCTCAAGGTGGTAGTAATGAGTGCTACAGCGGATGTGGAGAGTCTTGTGAAATTCTTTGGAGGTGATTCGCCTGCAGCAACATCGGACACGACTGTCGATAAAGCAAAGACGGTAAACACTAACAAAGTTTCGACGTGTTATGTACAAGGACGACAATATCCGGTCAAGACGATATATCTGCCACAGCCTACACAGGATTGGATCGAATCTGCCCTGAAACTGGTATTTCAGATTCATTATAAGGAGCCTCTACCCGGCGATATACTAGTTTTCCTAACGGGTCAAGACACTATTGAGTCCCTCGAGAAGCTCATCAACGATTACGCTGAAGGCATGGATGACGAGGTTCCTAAATTACTCGCTCTTCCACTCTTTGCAGCTCTTCCTCAGCACGCTCAACAACGCATCTTCCAGCCAGCTCCTTACCGCACCCGACGCGTCATCCTCGCAACCAACATTGCAGAAACATCCGTCACTGTCCCCGGCATCCGCTTCGTAATCGACTGCGGCAAGTCTAAAATCAAACAATTTCGGAATCGCCTGGGCCTCGAGTCTCTCCTTGTAAAACCAATCTCCAAATCCGCAGCCATCCAACGCAAGGGTCGAGCCGGCCGTGAAGCACCCGGCCAATGCTACCGTCTCTACACCGAAGACACGTACAAGAGCATGGAAGACCGCACGATCCCCGAAATCCTCCGCTGCGATCTCAGCCAAGCCATCCTAACCATGAAAGCCCGTGGCGTCGCCGACGTACTCAGTTTCCCCTTCCTCGACCGACCCCCTCGCGAAGCCCTCGAAAAAGCCTTGCTCCAACTCCTCCACCTACAAGCCCTCACCGAAACCGGAGACATCAGCCCCAACGGCCTCGTCATTGCGAAATTCCCTCTAACACCCACACTGGGTCGTGTCTTAGTCGAAGCCGCGAAACCCGAGCGCGACTGCCTCACCGCAGCCATCGACATCATCTCCGCCTTGAGCGTTGAAACCGTGTTCCTGAACCTCGTCACCGAAGAGCGCAAAGAAGAGGCAGAAGAAGTCCGGAGAGAATTGTATCGTCGCGAGGGCGACCACTTGACCCTTCTCGTAACCGTCCAGCGCTTTGCAGCCGAAGATAAAGCGCAGAGGAAAACCTGGTGCGAGAGCCATTTTGTCTCGTATCGCGCTATGGAGAATGTAATGAAGATACGCACGCAGCTTAGCGAACTGTGTAAGCAGCTTAAGTTGCTGTCGCATGACAGCGTAGAAGCGCATGATGCGGCGCCGTCTGAGGCAAAGAGTCGCGCGATACTTGAGTGTATGTTGCGTGGGTTTATTGCGAATACGGCGCGCTTGATGCCGGATGGGAGTTATAAGACTTTGCTGGGGAATCAGACTGTGGCTATACATCCTAGCTCTGTACTTTTTGGCAAGAAGGTAGAGGCGATTGTGTTCAATGAGTTTGTATTTACGGGGAGGGCGTGGGCGCGGGGGGTGAGTGCTGTGCAGTTGGATTGGGTGGCGGAGGTTATTGATGGGATTATGTAGTTCTTCCCTCATACTCCATATTCCACTTGACTATTTATCTAGCTTCTTTAATCTACACATGTCACATATCCCCAGTACGGTTGTCTATCTCCTTCTTCCCACACCCCCAGCACCGCTTGCCCCCTCCTTATCCGCCAAACTGACCACCTCCCCTATGCCCGCCGCCTCCTGCTCATCCTCCAACGCGCGAATCTCTTCTCTGCAGTCCCACCATTTTTCTTCGGCACGTTCAAATGCCAGTTTCTTAACTTCCTTGGGACTCTTCTCTACGCTCGTGCCCTTGCGCTCCAACTCCTCGAGAATGATATTTTGCCACTGCTCCGATGTGCGGGCATAAAAGTCACGTAGGGACTCAAAGGGACGCGGATGCGGTAAAGTATCTGTGAGTGCGGAGATTTCTTCTTGGGGACCCAGATCTTCCGTTGCAGGTGGGGCAACAGAGTCTGCGATACTTGTGGGAGCTGTAGACGCGGATTTGGCATCATAATCTTCGGCATCTTCGTCTTCGTCTTCGTCTTCCTCGGAGTCGTCTTCCTCGTCCGAGTCGGCTTCGTCTTCGCTCCCTTGCCAGTCTTCGAGGTCGCGCTTGAAGATTTCGGTTACGCCGTCGAGGTGGTTGAGGTTTACGGACCAGAGCTCGTCAAATGTGAATTCGCGGTCGCCTTTTTCGTAGGTGCCGCCGTAGATGTACAACGTGTCTGCTTGAACGGTGAGGGCGGCGTTGAAGCGCGGGTGGGGAAATTCAAAGAGTTTGGGCTTCTCCGGGCGTGTATCTTCTTCCTCGTCTTCCTCTGCAGCTTTGGCGGCTTCGTCCTCAGAGTCTGGGTCTTGGGCGACTCCGGCTTTCATTTCGAGCGCCTTGAGGTTGGCTAGGAGTTCCTCCTCTGCTGCTTTGCCGCGATCTCGTCGGCTAACGTTGGCTTGTTGGGCAGCTTTTTTGTTCGCGTTTTGCTTTGGCCGACGCAGAGTAAGTGGCATGAAGCGGTTTCGCTCTACGTTCCAGATGAAGAGCTGATTGAAGAATTCCGAGTCGATGCCTTCTTCGCTCTCCTCGACATCGTGCACTCCGCCGAACATGACGCCACGACCCTTGTGGTATGCCATCGTGGCACCTGCGCGTGGCGGGTTCGGTGCATTAGCTGGCTTCTTCCGCTTTTCCCATGAAACAGTCGGCAGAGTTGTCGAAGGTTGATCGGCCGGTGGCGGCGTGATGCGCAGAAACCAAGTATCATCGTGCACTTTTGGCTTCAATACCATGCGCGAAGCTGGGCCTCCGCCGCCGCTCTTCTTGCCTTTGCCTTGCTGCTGCTGTTTCCCACCAGCTTGCGTCTTAACACGAGAGTAACCACCGTATATAACGGCGCCTTGATCGTGTGGCAGGAATGTGAAACTTGATCGAGCATCCGGTATCGCGCGAGCAGCCTGGAGCTTTGGTGTGTGCCACGAGAAGTTGACACAATCATAGATCCAGAGGTCGTTTAGGTATTTTGTTGTCGCAGATGTGTCTTGAAACCCTCCCCAAAGGATAATGTACTGCTTGAAGCTAACCATGCGATGACCGCTTCGTGCTGGTGGCGCCGCAGTCTTACTCTTGCCTTCCATGCGCGTCCATTCCCGGTTTGTTGGATCCAATTTCCAGAAGTCATTGTAGTGATAGAAAGTTCCCTGCTTTGGAGAGCTGAATTCGCCACCAAAAAGATAAATGTCTTTTGTGTTGGCTGCACGACACCAAGCATGTCCGGATCGAGGAAGTGGCGAGTTAGGGCTGGTCACTTGCTTCCAGCCATCTTGCTTGATATTGTAGATCATGAGGTCGTTGAAGAACTTTGCTGTGGCTCCATTGAAGTACTCGCCTCCGAATAAGAAAACCTCGTTCTCGTTTGCCGGGTTAGCAAGGAGAGTGCATGACGTTCGAGCGGACGGCGGTTCAGCAGCGATTTCGGTGATGGCATGGTGTTGCTCCTGCTCTTTTGCATATTGTGCGAGGATCGCGTCAAGATCAACATCTTCGGCATCAGAATCGAGTTCCTGTGTCTTGGATGCAAGCTTTTTATCTTTTTTGCCTGCCTTCTTCTCTTGCTTGGCGGCTTTGGCAGCTTTGGCAGCGGCCTTGCCACCGGATGCTTTTTTCTTATCCTTGGCCATTTTTCAATTCGGAGATTAGAGTTGATCAAATGAGGTGTGCTGTGAAATGTTGTCACGCTTGTGGTTTTGTGGGCTGGCGAACCCCCGCGATTTGCCCCTCAGTACGTAGTTGGAAATTTTTGAACCTCAGCTCTAATACTCTGGAGTCGCTCAGCCACTGTGACGATGACAGAAGAAGATAGTAATTACGACTCGATGAATCGTATAACCGAGCTTACTATGCACAAGTGTCTGGGTGCATACTGCCCGATGACATATTGTTTACCCCGCCAATCATTTGGAGCAGGCATTACGGGAACGTTCGGGCTTATCGATAGTAGCACTACATACATTCATTCCCCACCTTTCTCCTCTCCGCATATCCAATTCGCAAGATGATTCAAGCTGCAAAGATTCTCGAGCAGAGGAGCCACCTCCTACCTGGTATAGCTCTCTTCGCCTCTTTTCACCATTCGCTAACAACTGTATATAGGCAAGCTTCGAATTACGGAGCACTTCTTCCAAGTACCCCGTGACTACTGTATGTGGGGTTCAGTTTAACATACCAAGAAACAAAGCATTGGGAATTCTATAAGTAATAAATCTATTGACATTCCGAAAGCAAACCCATCCCTGGGAACAATCCAACTCTTTGCCCGTTCAGCCCTAAAAGCCGAGAAGCCTGCAGACTACACGCCAACGTCGCACCTCGAGAAAGCCAAGACACAGCTTCCATGGCTCATCTACCTACAAGGCGGTCCAGGCTTTGAATGCCAGTCACCCCAAAACGTATCTTGGACGCACACCATACTCGAAAAAGGGTACCAAGTACTCCTCCTCGACCAGCGCGGGACAGGCCTGTCAACCGCCATCAGCCAGTCGAGTCTGCAGCTAAGGGGCGATGAGAAAGTGCAGGCAGATTATATGAAGAGCTTTAGAGCCGACAGCATTGTCAAGGACTGTGAGGCTGTAAGGAAAGCACTGACAGCCGATTATCCTGAAGAGAAGAAGAAATGGAGCATCATGGGCCAGAGCTTTGGCGGTTTCTGCTGCACGACGTATCTCTCGTTTTACCCTGAAGGTGTCAAAGAAGCGTTCCTGTTTGGGGGTCTGCCACCATTAAGAGACAATGCAGACGAAGTTTATGACCGGCTATATGAACGTGTCAAGAGCAGAAACGAAGGGTACTATCAGAAATACCCGGAGGATGTGGAACGAGTCAAACGCATCGTCAAGCTGCTTTCCCGCTTTGGCGATACCACAGTGCGCGTCCAAGGCGGCGAAGGCCACCTCTCTGCACGTCGTTTCCTCCAATTGGGCATCTACTTTGGCAAACACGGCGGTTTCGACGATGTCCACAATTTCGTTCTCCGTGCGGATACTGATCTCACGCAATTCGGTCATTTGACGCGTCCGACTGTGCTCGCACTCGAAGCAGCACAGAGTTGGGACACGAACGTCATTTACGCTCTGCTCCACGAGCCTATATACTGCCAAGGCCAAGCTGCAAATTGGTCCGCTGAACGCATGCTCGAAAAATACCCCCAGTTCTCTCTCTCCCACGTTGACTCGAAAGATCCTATCTACTTTACCGGCGAGATGATTTATCCCTTCATGTTTGACTGCTATCCTGAGCTCAAGAAACTCAAGAAAGTAGGGGAGTTGCTGGCGGCAGAAAAGGACTGGCCAAAACTATACGACGTGGAGCAGCTGATGAAGAACGAGGTACCGACATACGCGGCTGTGTACATGGATGACATGTACGTAGACTTCGACTTGAGTATGGAGACGGCCAGCAAGATCAAAGGCTGCAAGCCCTTTATAACAAACATGATGTACCACAACGGCATCGGCGCAAAGACGGACGAGGTACTCAAGCAAATCTTCTCGTTGAGAGACGATGTCATAGATTAGCTTCTGCAAACGATACCGTAACTCAGCCCCTCCGCTCGTTAGCTTAGTTCAATAGAAAACACATCCAAACCTTACTTCTTCTTGTTCTTCATAATCTCCCGTGCAAGTTCCAGCTGCGCCTGCACATCAAATTTCCAAATCCAATGCAACCGCGTCGAAAAGTTCTCCTCAATCTTATCCAAGTCGTCCCCCAGCAACTCAAAATCATACACCTGCCCCGTCTCATAACTAGTCGTGACAAGCTTCTGCGTCCTCTCCCTCCTTACCTCATCAAACGTCCGAAACGCGCACATTAGCTCCTCCGTGCTGTTTGCATCTTTGATCAGGCCGGCGAGCACATGCGCGTCTTCCATACACATGCCCGCGCCGGCGCCTTGATGCGGTGTCGTTGCGTGCGCGGCATCGCCGAGCAGACAGACGCGACCCTTGGTATATGTTTCGCAAGGCGGGTGCATGAATAAAGCCCAGATATCTGGGTTTTGCATTGCCCCGATGATCTTTTGGACGTGCGGGCCCCATTCTGCAAAGTCGGCCTGCATGTCTTGTTTGGAGGTTGTGACGACCCATTTTTCCGAGTCCCAGGTTTCGCGGGAGTTGAATGCGACGACTGTGAGGGTTAGTGAGGGATTGGTATGTTTGAGAGAGGGGTGGAAAGGTAAAATACCGTTCATGATTTTGCCGTGTGAAATGGGGAATGTAAGGAGATGGCCGTGGTAGCCTAGGAACATTTGACTGTTTCTGGCGGCTTCGTCGCCGAGTAGCTCGACTGCTTCGTCCATGGGGATCAGTCCTCTGTATGCATATTTTCCCGAGAAGACAGCTTCGGAGGCAGGGTTGTCTCTTCCAAGTAGCCATTTTCTCGTCAGAGATTTGATGCCGTCACACCCAATGACGGCAGTATGCTGTGCTGTGGAACCATCTGCAAACTTGAGTACCATATCACCAGACCCATCACCCGCCTCTTCCATGTCAACAAGTCTCTTGTCAAATTTGGCCACATGATCCGGAACATCTTTGACCAACTCATCCAGAAAATGAGCTCTGTATACACCCCCGCGTTCTCCACCGGGGGGCAGAAGTATTTCAAACACCGGATCGCCTACCTTCTTGCCCTCACGCACATAACCATCTTTATCTGCCTTTCTCGCATCTCCCACGCGAACGGTAAACCAGGAATTCGCCTTGGATTCATATGCATTCCCAGTCTTGCATTTCAAAAACGCCTGGTAGATCTTTGGCGACATGTGCTCCATTGCGCGTCCTGCATTGGGCCCAAACGCCACGCCAGCACCAATTTCCCCAAAATGCGATGCGGCTTCATATATAGTGAGGGGAACGTTGTGTTGCAGGAGAGCAATGGCGAGCGCGAGACCAGATATACCACCGCCGACTATAGCCAGGGAGTAAGGTTTCGAAGGTGAGTCTGCAGATGCCATGGTCACGAGATGTATGAAGCCAAGGTCGAGGAATTGCCTTGAGCCAGGTTTTTCACGGTTGACTCACGAGCCGAAAACAAGCAAGGGTAGATGGAGAGAAGCTCAGCATGGTGTTGTCCAAGAGCTTTTTGTGGCAGCCTTTCGGACCGGTGCTTTTGCCGACGGCGGGTAAGAGCAAGGACGTCACTCACACTTTATTTAGTCGTTTGCCGTACTAGCGTCCGCAATTGCATGGGAAAGACGTCTGTACTATGTTTGACTACGGGTGAAATGTCGCGGTGGATAAGAACGCATTATGCAGCACCAGACATAGTACCGAGGTGGAGGTGCCTCGTTCCGATGCGGGGGGAAGATGTATGTGTATGGATATTCATGCCCGCGTGGGGTAGCTGGCGGCTCCGTTTCGGCATTCAGCTGTTGCGATGCTCGCTCTTCCTTGCGCCAGAGGGGCGGGATAACAAGTGTCGTCATAATAGCAGCAAAAACCACGGCTAGTCTACTGCAAACAGCATTGAACGTAGTGCAGGGGGTTTTGAACGGTTAATACATATACCAGTGTCTATTCCTGTCTGCCAAGGTGCGGTGAGTACATGGTTTTAGTGCCAGCAATCATCTGCAGTGTCGTGGTAGGGGCAACGTACAAATAAGCAGTGTACTACGCATTCGGCTAGTCCCTCAGCCAACGACACGACATCGATAACTTACTCTTATCGAAACCCTTGCTGTAAGAAACAGCCACAAGAACTGTCATTTAAATCCTCTGGGAATCCCAGAACCCGTGAGGTCTCTCCACAAAAAGAAACACTCACACCCAATAGCATGTAAGTTTTGCACTATCCGATATGTCTGGTGGGGCCCCGACAATGGTTGCTCGACATATCTCGATGGAGAGACCCTGTCAGCATTGCAAGGGGGATCCCGCTCGACGGCGTTGACACGTAGGAGGCTAGTCTGAGCACTTGGGACGGACGGGGACGGCTAGGCTTGAAAATGGGTATTAACATACAAGTTGGTAGCCTTGAGTTCCTGTTGATCGTCTACTGCAAGCACAAACTCCGATAAACCCCGATCCGCCTATGGCACCATCATATGCTGCACCGCAGCCTCCCAGCGAGGAAGGCGAAAAGCCAGTGACAGTGCTAGTCACTGGATTCGGTGTATGTTTCTATCCATGTTTCCAGCCTCTCATACCTTCTCGTCGGCCACCTTAACCAAATGGTCACGCGGTCACTCTCTATCTGCCACTTTCAACCCACTGGCCTAACAAACTCCCTCAGCCCTTCCTCACCCGCTTCCCCAAAAACTCTTCCTGGGAAATCGCCTCCACCCTCCCCAGCCTGCTTCCCTCTTCCCCCACGAATAAAACCCCAATCCACATCCATGTCCACCACGAACCCATCCGCGTCGCCTACACCGCCGTCCTCAATCTCATCCCCAACCTGCTTCCCCCACGAAATCCCATGTACCCGGTCGCAGACATAATCCTGCACATCGGACTCGCCGCAGGCCGCAATTACTACGCCATCGAGCAAGGCTCGCGGAGCCGCGGGTACGGTAGTATCGCTGATGTTGATCGTCAGCGATTCGACGACGAAAGCGCTGAAAAGCACTTTCCTGCTTCAAAATTTCCAAATACGCTGTCGACGAGTTTCGATACTGCAGATGTGCTGGCGTGTTGGAAAGAGTCCTTAAAGCCTTCTTCTTTTTCTTCGTCTTCTTCCGAAGCGAGTAGCGCGAAACGCCCAGATGTGAGGATTAGTACTGATGCGGGGAATTTCTTGTGTGGGTTTATTTATTATAACAGTCTTGCGCATTACTATAGTATTAAGGAGGATGAGCGGCCCGTTGTCTTTTTGCATGTCCCCGATTTGACGAGTAGTGAGGAGAAGATGAAGGAGGGGTGGGAGGTTACGGTTGCGTTGATTAAGGCGCTGGTGGAGAGCAGGCGTAAGGCCGGGGGTGTTATCGTGGATGGGGAGAAACGGGGCCAAGAGGCGCAGAATGGGACAGATGGAGTGCAGACGGATAACAATTTTGCTTAGATTTTACCGTCTTTTTTTTTCGACTGCAAGGTACAGTTTCCAGAGAGAAGCATTGGGTAACGAGCACCGACGTAGCGAAGACTGCAGTGGGGTTGCAGGTCACAGAATCGGGAATGAATGTTAGTGAAGCTTTGTAGGGATATCTAGCATTTAGACAGTGCAAAAAGAATGGCATCAAGGTAATCGAGGGCTGATCCTAGCTGATACGCTACCACGTGACGATACAAGGCTATATTGAGTAATATGCTCATGCGATATCATACCAGACTCAAATTGAAGTCGCCGTCTAATCAAGAATGATGCGTAGCCAGACAACATCTACATCAAAAAATCAAATGGAAATCGCTTCTGGATTGTGTAGTACTGAAAAATAAAAGGGTAATCGATCTTGAAAGCAATGACGAAAAGATCAGCGCTTTCCCCACAATCCCTGCTGAGTCTCCCTGATTCTTCGCTCTTGTTCCTGGATCATCTCTTCGGTCTGACCGTGGCCATTTCCCCTGCTGTCAATCTCCATCGGGTCGTCGGGCTCATCTGCCGGTTGTGGGATGCGCGCGTGGGGCGCCCCTCGTCGGGGTTCCGCTGATCGCTGACCGTCCATCATACCTGCAGCGCCACCAGCTCGGAGTTGGTTGATAGCGCGGATCGTGTCAATAGCAGCGTGAAGCGTGCGCCTAGCATTAAAGTTCTTTTTGACAGTTGGCAATAGATCCTCTTCACCATCAGCATTGTTCTTGCCGAGCTCGGTGATCCAGGGGTGGGAGAGAGCCTCGTGAGCGGTCATGCGCGCTGCAGGATCCACAGTCAAGCATCGACGAATGAACTCCCGCGCCGTGAGTGAGACACCTCGCCAGTATTCCAGAGGGGTAAAAGAATAGTCAGCAACCAAGATGGCCTGCATCTCTTCAAGGTTCGAGTCGCGATCAAAAGGGGTATAGCCACAGAGGAGGAAATACGTAATAACACCAATGGCCCAAATGTCACTATAAGATAGTCAGCAGTAGATCTTTCACAAAGTCGTTTTGTTCTTACACTGGCTTTCCATGACCCGTCTTCCTGAAAATTTCAGGCGCCATATAGCCTGGCGTACCGCAGGTTGTTGTGAGAACATGAAATTGCTCCTCGTCCATGATTCGAGAAAGTCCAAAATCGGCGATAAGCAAATCAGCATTGTCCTCTGGTGTTCGGAACAGCAAGTTCTCTGGCTTCAAATCTCGGTGCACGATACCGTGGTCGTGGAGATATGCGACAGCCGAAAGAGTAGCCCTGATCAGGTCGCCGGCATCGGATTCGTAGTAGTTTCCCTTGCGACAGATGCGGTCGAAGAGCTCGCCTCCAAGCGCAAGGTCGGTGACCAGATAGACTGCTCGTGTGTTAGCGCATGACGCAGAACTGAAGGAGTTGAGACAGACGGTTGTTCATCGTCTCAAAATAGTCAACGAGTGTGAGGATGTTCCTATGGCCCATGGAAACTCTCTTCAATACCGCAATCTCGTTCCTGACCTGGCACGTGTCAGTGAATGCGCCCTCCAGTATGGAGTTATTCAGTCCACCATGTGTTCTCGACCAGCCATAAGCCTCTTGTTGATGACCTTTGCGGCATAGTATCGCCCTGTATCGATGTGCACACACTCCTTCACGACCGAGTAGCTGCCTGCACCCAGAGTCTTGCCCGTCTTGTATCTGCAAGGCTGAACCTGGGGTGTTTGTGGTGCCTGTGCCCCAGACCCACCGTTGGAAGTCTTGGTGGCCATGTTTGCGCTTTAGTTGGTGTCTGAAGTGTGCGACTGACGAGTCTTTTTATAGAGCAGTGCGAGGGTGCGGTTGGGTGTTGAGGTCTTGGACTGGGTATCGACTGTGAAGCGTCGGCGTGCCCGATGGGCTTGCTATTCAATGCAGATAGCCCTGTGATGCGCGCGGCGGGGGGCCTTTTTTTGCAGTTAGATTTGATGGTATTTAATGCACTGAAAGTGCCTCCTATCGAGGCTTTTTAGTCGAGTAGAAGTGAAGCAGGCCAGGAGCTGAAAAAACAAGCTTGTCGTAATGGGCGACGGGGCCTTGCTGGGAGCTTGTAGGGAGGGGTCCACACCGAGTCCCCCACCATAATTCAACCCTAGTCGCTGCCAAGACAATCCGTATCTTGATTGGTAGCCAGGCCTACAAACCAGCCGCACTGCCGAACCTCGTAGCGAGAATAGTGTACCATAGACATTTTATAAGTTGTAGACGTTGCATGCATGCAAGCCGCGGCTTTGCGACAACCAGATTTCTATGTATTTATGCTGATCTAGTGTTCTCTAGCTTCTACCATGAACAGTCGTAGCGTCAGGTGCATCCGACAGCTAAACAAAATGCGAAAATTGTTGGGCAGAGAATGTACACATCCTCAATGCCTTACGACTTGACGAGCAAGCTGTTGCAGTCCATGTCCTCCGGCTGTTGGAGGCCCATGACCGCAAGAACCGTAGGCGCTACATCGCCCAGTACACCGTCAGTCTTCTTCAGGCTCCAGCCCTCAGGCGCGTTGGCCATGACAAACGGCACCTTGTTGGTTGTGTGGGAAGTCTTGGGCGTGCCCTCTTCAGTGAGCATCTCCTCAGCGTTACTGTCAATCTGTCAGCTTCTTCCTTCTGTGCACTAAACAGGATGCTTCAACTTACCCGTGGTCGGCAGTAACAAACAAGACATATCCGCTCTCCTTGCACTGGTCGTACACCTTCTTGATGGCCTTATCCGTCTCCGTGCACGCCTCAATGGCTGCCTTGTATACTCCAGTGTGGCCAACCATATCTGGTGGAGCAAAGTTGTTCATGAGGAACTCAAACTTACCAGTTCGGATACGCTCGCAGAGCTTGTCGGCAACCGCCATTGCGCTCATCTTGGGCTCCAGATCGTACGTGGCCACCTTTGGTGATGGTACCATCTCGCGCTCCTCGTTCTCGAATTGCTTCTCAACACCGCCGTTGAAGAAAAACGTGACATGAGCATACTTCTCCGTCTCTGCAACGTGACACTGCTTCACGCCTTGCTTACCCAGTGTCTCAGCAAGAACATCCATCATACGTTGGGGTTCAAAGGCAATGTTGAATGTGTATTTGGGGTTGTACGATGTCATGGTGGTGAGGTGGATATTCTTGGGGTATGGGAAATCGGGCTTCGGCGAGCGGTCGAAATCGCCCAGCAGTTGGGTAATCTCACGCACACGATCTGAACGGTAGTTGAAGAAGAAGACAGTGTCGTCATCTAGACGGACAAATCAGCAAGAGGACATGTAGGTACTCCATCTAGTCACTTACCTTGTATTCTCCGCTCCTTTCCTCCTACAATAATGGGCTTCAAGAACTCGTCGTTTTCGCCCTTTTCGTAGCGCTCCTTGATAGTAGCCACTGGATCGCTGCTGTCTTCGCCCTCTCCGGTAACGAGACCTTTCATTCCCAGTTCAACACGGTCCCAGCGCTTGTCACGGTCCATGATGTAGTAACGACCGACCACTGTTGCGATCTCGCCGAGACCAATCTCCTTGGTCGCCTTGAGCAGAGTCTCCATGTACCCCACAGCCGACTTGGGGTCGGTGTCTCGGCCATCTCCGAAAAAGTGGATGTATGCCTTGGGGACGCCCTGTTGCTTCGCTACCTTGAGGAGAGCGATGAGGTGGTCCATGTGGGAATGTACGCCTCCGTCCGAAACGAGACCGCAGAAGTGCAGCCTTCCGTTTCCGTCAATGGCGCGCTGGAACGACTTCTTGATGTTTTCGACATCCTTGAGCTTGTCGTTCTTGATGGTCTGTCCGATTCTGACTGAGTCCTGCCACACAACGCGTCCCGCGCCGATGTTCAAGTGGCCGACTTCGCTGTTGCCCATCAGGCCCTCGGGAAGACCGACTGCGAGGGACGAGGCTTCCAACTCAGTGTATCCCTGTGCAGTTTTCGAGCCTTGCCGCGCAAACTCGTCCATGGTAGGGGTATCTGCTGCAAGAATGGCATCGCCATCTTTGCGCGACTTCTCAGTCGCAACACCCCAGCCGTCAATGACGATGAGGACGGCCTTTTGGTCGACCTTGGCCATGATTGTGAACTAACCAGGAAACTTGATATAAAAGAGGATGAGGAATCCGAAAACAAAGTTGGATAAGGGGGACTGAATGGCGCGAAGGAAAAGATGCTGAATTTAGTTATCGGCGGAGGGGCAGAGTTGGTGGGGCTAAGTCGGCCTTGGAGTTTGGAAAAAGCATGGGCGACCAACGTCACCCCATCTCCTTCTCGCAGCGACCAATGCAATAGCCCCCCACAACCCGCGGCCGGAACCTCGTCTCGGCCTCCCTTCAATACGCGACACGATTCGCGCAGATCCGGTGAATACTGTGATCGCCAGAAAACACGTGTTGTCCAAGAAAGCGACTGCGATAGAGTTGGAGTGAGGAAACTATCCAATCAGCGCCCTCGGGTGAAGCCATCACCTCTGTCCGGTCAACACCACGCTAGTAGACACGTCTATCCAGATAATACTCTTGGAAATCTGTAGACATGTCGGCAGCAGCGACACCCTACGCCCCTGCATCGGCGCGAGCCTCAGTCCCGCCCACAGGTGCAGCCACGCCAGCCCATCCACCCCCGGCTTCCGCAACCGCACCAGTACCCCCTGCGCCCTCTGCCTTTGACGTCCTGCCCGACCTCCATAAGCTACTCAAGCGCATCCTCGAGACATCAGCTCAGCCGCCACCTGCTACTCCCACGCCAGCGCAGCTCTCGCCAGACGGGCCCCTGGAAATCCAGCATGTAGCTACAGCTGCAAACGATGTCCGACTGAAGATACAAAAAGCGAGACGCGCCGTCTTGTCGTTGCCGGATATCGATCGCTCGTTAGAGGATCAGGAAGAAGAAATTGAAGATCTTGAGGCGCGCATTGCTCAGCTCAAGGCTTCACTGAAGGAGCTTGGCCAACCAGCTGCTTCAGAGGATCGAGACGGAGACCAGAGTATGACTGGGTGAGATGCCGCCGGAACTACAATTGATCCAATCTAGGACCGATGTCTGTCGATTGTATGGATGCGCTTGATCTAGCACTTATTCAGAACTCGTGGTATGTGGACATGAGCATGGGCGATGTGCCTGGTAGAGCCAGAGCTAACGTGTTGAATAGATACAAAATACCCTTTATGAACAACGAATGGTTCTCGAGATGGCCCTCCGTTGGCTGAAAGCAGCAAGAAACAATCTCCAAGCTCTCGCATAATGCACCTACACGCTACGTGTATCAGCGGCTGACAATCATGTCGTAACCTTAGGTGGAAGACGTCAAGTTTAATTTAGACGCCCCCGTGTGTCAGACGACTTGTTCTCCATGATCTCCGTCAAACGTAAAATTTAGAAGAAGTTAAAGCATAGAATAGTGGTAGAAGAGGAAAGTGCGTGAACGATAGGGCTAGTAGTAATTAGTCCGTAGATATCAACAAATGCAGTGCACACATGACAATCGTGATCACCAGCATACACCTCAAGCTCGAATCAAAGTTTTATTATTTCATATGGGTATGTCACCACTACTCGTCCAGCATAGTTGTACTCCAAACACCCTAAGAAGACCCTTTAGACTCATCCCTACGAACGCGTAGGCAGATATGCACCACCCGCAAGCACCAAATTCATCCTTGTAAACTGGACCTTGTACACGGGACTATCCTTCGTAGGAAACACACTGATTTGATCCGCCGACACACCCGTCTCCTTAGTCGCCTTCTTTCCTGTAACCGTCGTGCCACTGGCGCCCTTTGTCGTCATCGCGCCATCTGTCTTCGCAGTGACACCGTCGGCAGCCTTATCGCTGGTTTCCTGTAGTACGTCCCAGACACGAACCGTCTTGTCGGCACCGGCAGAGACAAGGACGCTCGACTCCACACTCCAGGAGAGAGACCAGATACCGCCTTTGCCATGACCACGCATGCGCTTGCGCCTGCGGCCTGTTTCGAGGGTCCAAAGGATGATGTTGCCGGCGTCATCTGCAGAGGCGAGCGTCTTTCCGTCGGGAGAGCAAGATATAGCTGTGACGTTGCCGGTGTGTCCGGTAAAGAGGCGCAGACAGTTACCGCCGGCGATGTGCCACATACGGACTGTGCGGTCGCACGAGCCTGTGAAGACATAGAGGTTATTAGGGTGGAAAGTAACGCAGTCGACGTCGTTGTCATGGCCGACATAGATGCGAAGAGGTTCAATGTGGTCAGTCGACCACAGACGCGCGGTGCGGTCGTTTGAGCCTGTGAGGAAGTAGTGGCCATAGGGTCCCCATTGGAGATCCCAGATGGGGTTATCGTGACCACGGTACGCAACAAGGCAGGTGTACGTATCCAAAGACCATAGACGAACTGTCTTGTCTTCTGAGCACGAGAGGAGACATTCAGAGTTTGTAGGAGGGCCAGAGGGATACGGGTTGGCGGTTGAGGGGGAAAAGGCAACCGCATAGACAGGACCTGAGTGACCGATCAATCGCCTAGAAGATGATGGCTGCATGTCTGGATTATCATTTGGTGAAGTGAGAGGGCTACCGTCCATGGACCAGACGCGGATGTACGACTCGCTCATGCCGGCAGCGACGAGTTTGTTGTCCCCAGAAAAATCTATGCAGTTGATGCTACCGTACTGTTAGTGGTGCATCTCATAGCCTCAAAACTCAACAACCTACCTGTCGTATGTGTTATGAAAAGTATACATGGTAACACTAACAGCAGGCCCAACTCCGCCGGTTCTTCCCTCCATCTTGTATCGGTCTCGGTGCTCAATAATCTTTTGGACCTCCATAGAGACATCACGGGCGAGTGACGGGGGCAAAGGGACGAACTCGCGCGAGGGTCCATCCTCTGTTGGCTCCCGCTTGATACGTTGCTCAAACTCATCCAGCAAACTTGGTTGGCCCGGCCTTGGCGCAGCTTTGGCATCTTCCTCTTGCAGAGCAGCACGGACATCGTCCTGTAGTTCCGCCTCCTGAGGGTAAGCGCCCAATTGCAGTCTTATTCGCGCAGCATCTGCCTCGGGGTCATGGCGTGCTGTGAGTGGGTGACCAGGGGCGTGTCCTGGGATGCCCTCGTCCTCTGCAGGGAGCTCATCATCGCCGTGTCCGCTAGCAAGAATCGCCGCTATACTCTTCTCTGCAGTCGCTGTCCTATCAACCGTGACAATATTAAGGTGTTCGCGGATGACATCTATTATTGTCGACCCGCCGTCAAAGTGCTTAGATTCAAGGAATTGGATAAGATTGAAGAACGGCATTGTCGTCAACGTTATTCGGTACTTGTTGTCGAGGTAAAGTTTTGCTATTCTGCTCTCCTGCAAATGAGACTGTAACCGCACTTGGCGGAGCGTCTTGACATCCTCGTCGTGGTCGCGCTCAAACAAGCCCTGGTATGCGGCGAAGAATGTCTCTGCGTCTTTGGTGTAAAAGTCGCGTACCAAGTCTAAGAAGGAATAGACAAAGACTGGCCATAACAGCTTCCGCAGCTCTGGTCTATATAGATCCAGGTTGTCCTCTGTATATTTGCGCAGCAGCTCGAATGACTTTGTGTACTTTGCGCCGCCGGCTTCGGTACTCTGAGCGGTAAGAGGCTGTCCGTTGGCTTGTGGTTCGGACTCCTTGCGGAGCATTGCTTCGGTGCGGACATAGCCCTTCTTTGAGAGATACTCCAATACCTTTGGTAGAAGTCAGCAATGTCGAACTGAACATGTAAAGAAGACACTCGCTTTGTCACGCGAATTAGTAGGAATTGTGCGGCTTTGACCAAACGCAAGGCCAATCCTAGTTGACGACTTTGATGCACCGTCCATGATGTACGACGAAACGTGCAAAGAGAATACCTGCTGATTTGGGCAAACTAAATTGTAGTAAGTTGACCTTACTCCAAGGTCACGCACTAAGTCCAAGACTAAGCCTCTGAGGTAAAGGCATAGCGTAGATGAGTGAATAGTGTCAATGAGCAAAGGCGACGTCGCAACCCTGCAACAAGCGCAACGCATTCATCTGTCATGGCCGCACACCCGTACGATAGTGTACTGAAGATAGGGGGAGGAGGGGCAGGGAGCAAGGGGAGGTGTCACCTACGATTTGATTAAGATTCTGCTGTGACTGCGGTCCCGACGAGCCTGGCGGTGGAGGGCCACCCTGCGGTGGCATGGCTGCATGTGGTGGTAGACCTGCACTTGGAGGTCCATTTCCTACACTCATAGCCCTTACAGGCCCGGGCCCTTGGGGGGGCCCTGACATGGCTGCGTGATTCCTTCTCTTCTATGCCGGCGCGCAGCTATTCCTTCGCTCCGTTGTGCTCCAGTGGCAGTCGCAATGGTCGTCAATAGTCGTATGCGGGGCTTGATTGTCGCTTCTTAGTCGCTAGGCTGTTTTGAGTGTATCGACGCGTGAAGATTGATTCTCGGTGGGCAGATCGCGTCTGGAGCATACCAGGACGTCACCTGGGCGGGCCGTGTTGCGGAGCGCAGGACGGAGGTGAGGTTCGCTTCCTAGGCTGCCAAGATGTGGCGGTGCGATTGTGGGGCTTGAGCTTCCCCGGCTCCAACCACTCTAACATTACAACCACAAAAAGTCCCACCTGGCGTCAAGCTTGCAGATAGCCCGCCATGTCTGCTCAAGCCGATCAACAGGGTGTAACGGATACGATGCAGCAATCCGATAATGCCACCTCTGCTGAAAAGACATCTGAAGAACCAAAGACTTATCGCCAAATCGCCGCTGAACATATCGATACCCTCAATGAAATCAACCATCAAATCCCCAAACTGCTCAAATACTTCGCAACTGCCCTGTCCCAGTTGACCAACGACCCAATTCCCTTTCAGCATGACGCTATGCAATGCGAACCCGGAACCCTAGAAGCGCGCAAAGAAGCCTTCCGCATCAATGCCCTCTTCTGTGGCACATCATGTGAGATTATCAGGCAAGAGTTGGTGAAGCAGATCAACGCTCTCGAAAGGTACAAGGTCATACCGAAAAGTCACCCCAAGTTTGCCGTCACTCAAAGCCAAGCGCGCAAAGGGAAGGAGGAAGAAAGCGAGGTTGTAGATCCGGAGAAGGATGTCAAGAACGGTGGATATGGCGACTTTGATGTGGGCGTGCTGAACGCAAGGGCAAGCTCTGGCCAGGTTGGTGCTGAGGATGTACTAGACCGAGCTAGGGCAATATTACAAGAGTTGCAAAAGCGGACTGGAGGAGCGACCAGTGCCGACGACATGGTTATCGACGAGTGAGAATATCGAGAACATGTCTGAGAGACTTCTTCTCAGAAAAGATCATAACAGTACATGTCTCGCGACTAGGAGCCGCCCAGGCTTAATGTCCCGAACGTCGAAACCCAAACGTTCGTAACTGTTGCAATTCACGAAGGAACGCGGCAAAACTAAACAAACGTATGACCTCCGAACGCGGATGATGCGTGGAAGAAGAGCGGTCTCATTCACGGCACCAAATCCGGTCTAGACTCAGAGGAGCTCCCTGCCCAGCTCCATATCCAATGTCATACCGCACCTTGAATCCGCATTCTCTCTCAGGTAGCACATAGCAAACTTGAATCCCCTTACATTGAACAGGGCGTTTTGGTCACATAATGTACAATACTGGTAACTTCCGATCTGACAGCACCTTTCCCGCATTCCCAAATGCTTTTCAGGATATCAAAGCTTGCTTCATGACCGCGATGTCTTCCGGTGTGGTACGACAACACCCTCCAATCAAACCCGCGCCAGCATCTCTCCACTCTTCTGTTTTCTTTGCCAGCGTCGAACCTTCCGTCCGCTTCCCCTCCCATTCTCTCGCTTTTGCGTTCCACTGCTCGCCAGAATTTGGATATACCACCATTGTCCCCTCCTTCACAAGCGGTTTCAACTCCTGGAGAGCAACGAGAGCAACATCATCAGGGACGCAGTTGAACCCCAAAGAAACGACTTGCTCCACACCTTTGAAGAGTGCAACAATTTCAGATAAGGGTGTTCCGTCGCTGATATGGCTACCATCTCGAAGTGTGAAACTGAACCAGGCTTCTGAAGAAGGAAACTCAGAGGTAAGAAGGTCGATGAGCGCTTCGGTCTCGGCCTTTGATGGGATTGTCTCGCATGCCAGAATATCCACGCCGGCTTCGACGAGCGCTTGGATGCGTCCACGGTGGAAGTCCTTCATCTTTTCCTTTGGCACGACGTAGTCTCCTCGATACTCGGAACCATCTGCCAGGAAAGCGCCATATGGTCCTACGCTTCCTGCGACAAATAATTTGTCTTGGACATCTGCATTAGCTTCCGTGATGTATTGGCTTCTCGCTTCCTGAGCGAGTTCCACGCTCTTTTTGACCACACTCTTGGCATCTTGCTCGCTCAATCCCAAATGTTTGACTAAACCGTCAAGGGAGGCTTGATACGATGCAGTAATTGCCACGTTCGCGCCTGCACGGTAGTAGTCTACATGGGTCTTCCTGATGAGTGAGGGGTTGGCAATTAGAATTTCAGCGGACCACAACGCCCCGGAAATGTTTGCACCCAATGTTTCGAGATAGGTTGCGAGCGCACCATCCAATATGATTGGCATGCCTTCGGCGATCAAGTTGGAGATCTTGAGTCGGGATTGGCCTTGATTTGTCATTTTGGCCAGTTAAAAAATCTAGGCCTCTTGGAGAAGGAGGATTGTGTTGTAAGACGGATGTTGGGGGAACTGAGTTCATTCAATCTAGTGCGATCGGCAGCGGTTAGAACGATTATTGGTTACTTAGGTCTTCCCCACTGCCGGTAAGAAGCTTTGCTTTCAAAAATCGGAAATAGGTGATGCCTATCTTGCTGAGTCACATGTATTGCGCCATCGCCTGAGTGGCTGTATTCTAATGCGAGAAAAATATGTCCGGTCTAGCGGTGAATGTGAGGGGTAGGACCGACCATCCTGTGTGGGGCCGTCGGTTGACGCGTTGGGGAATATCGCGACATATGCTTTGCGAACGCGACATATAATTAGTTCAAATATCAGCGCGTCCGTTATCTTCTTCGGTGTGCCGCTGACAGTGGAAGCTCCGAGATCTTGATCTACGCCTGGCTCAGCAGTAACTTTTGATTGCCCCCAATAGCTCTTTGGCTTACTTGGAAACAGTTGGGTAACAACGGTCAACCACAAAGATGGCGCGTTCCTTTACATCTTCCGGCCTGGTCTATCAAGAGACAATGACATCCGTCTGTTCAATGGTGCCCAAATGGACAACTGATTCCCGGGGTAAGCGAGTCGATCCTACCAAGTTTCAACATCCACGTTGTGATAGTCTGTATTCCATGGCACTCCGTGCATGCATCTGGAATATCCACAACATGGAGCCCGGCGCTCTACAATGGCTTGGATGGTGGTACGCAAGTCGCCTTTATATCCAGCTCAAATCAACGTGCGTCACGGATCTCATGAACAGCCTCAATCGTACAATGATTGACCTACACACAGAGATACGCTTACCTTCCATGCGTGGAACGCGTTTAGAAAAGCCTACCCAGAAGAAGTTGATCACCATGTGACATTCTGGGTCCAGGACCGGGATCTTGCATCAATGCAGTATCTCTCTGTGGTTGATCGTCTATCTAAACTCGATGTTAGCATGCTTACCTTTCTTTGCGTGCGCACTCTCAATCTTTCGATTGATCATCTCATTGCACTTACCAAGATCAAAAATCTTGCGGTGCTTGTGCTCGAAAATGGGACGAACTCTTGGCACAATACCATGCAAAAGCCAACCGTCGACATGATACGGGATTGGGGCCGTAGCGTTGGTGAAAGTGGCTCATTTACGAAGCTAAGGGCACTTGTGTTGAGCGGATATGACATATCGCATATCAACTCTGTTCTCAAGAGCATCTCTTCGTTTCCCGCCTTGAACCTCTTTGGACTCGATGGTTTGTTCATCCAATCCGGAGTTGACTGTTGGGGAGATTGGACCAACCATCTTCCGAAATGGTAATCAAGTGCACCAAATATTGATGGGATTGTTATTAACGTGAATTGAAACAGCACAAAGTCTAGCAAACTATCACCGGAAACTATCTGGGAAACCAACACAACTACCACAGCATGCAAAATGCGCCAGCTTTACCAAGTCTCACTAGAAATTGCCCAATCGGAAGCAGGTCAAATGACTGGTGGCCGATCCATTTCTATGTTGTACCTCCAGGCCCGAGACTCTGTTCCCAGATGTCACACTGAATGGTTCCACCGAGAGTTGCAAGACGAATCTGATACAAAGACCAAGCGTGCACAAGATGAAGAGCACCGAGATCGAAGAGAGACCTATGGCAAAAAGCGGAAGATCCGAGATAGGAATAAGGTCGGCATGGAGTCTCTTCTCGGAAGTTTCATGTAGTCAGAAGGCTTTATGGAAAGTTCCATATAGGTCAGACAACATGATTCTAAGCTCACTATGCATCCGCTCATACTAAACATAGCTTTACACATGACACGACCAAGGATTACGCTATTATGAAGTAATGGCAACTGACGAGCTAAGCCCCATCGAATCGGAAAGACATACGCGTTATGAGAAATAGATAATTACCCTTACAAGCCGGAATACATAAGACTCATGGTGCTGCTGATAGTTTGCATGGGCAGTGGGATCCGGTCTTGAAATGCGGATTTTCTTGGGTTTTGATGAACTCCGCCAGAAATTGTTAAAGTTTCTGCTTCGGAGAAAGCGATAGAGAATTTGTTGAGCGTGTTAGTGAGAAGCAGAGGGTTAGACGAAATTGGGGGTGATCATTAAGGTTAATTCCCACTCAAGAGAATGACCGCATCTATCATTCATCTCTGCCTTCAAGCAAAGGATGCGTATCTTAGTATTTGAGGAGGCTGAGGGCCAGCCAGCGAATTCAGAGCCTTCTATTCCAACCCTGATTTAGAAGGGAAAGATTTGTCTACAAGATTCACATCGTCTAGAGATTCAAATGGACAGCTACCTCATTCGCAATCAAAGATATGTCATGTGACATGCCGCACTTTCGCTCATTGTTCTGGTGGCTTCATCATGCTGCCAAAGATGTGCGTACAAAAGTGCTTGTCATCGAAGCTCCAGATCCAAGTACGTACTCGAACCTGCCTAGTCTTTCAACGTAGGGCAGTACGTTTGTTGTTGACGGCAGCGCACTTTCCTTACACCCAACTCAACACAATGCGCTTGCTTGAGTTACCTGCATCTTGGCGTCATTACTTCGCCCATAAATATTGGCCTCAACGCTCAATTTCTCTTCTTTCTGCACCGACTTCCTACACTCGTTACCGCCCATCCATCCACCCCCAGCAATCGGCTCAGGTCCTTTGGTCTCTTGCTACCTTTGTCCATCAACTGCACCTTCTAAACCCCTCTCGCTCCTCCGGCTACTCTCTCCGTCGTCATGAGGTTGACCCAGCTTGTCACCCTCTTTGGAGGTGCTGTAATTGCAGTCCAGCCTCTTGTAGCTCCTCGTAAGTACTCTCCAACAGCACTGCCTGGCAAGCAGCCACTTCGTGGGACCTTCAATTCCTCCCTTCAGATCATCAGACTTTTGATTCGGAATGCAACACATCTGACATGCCACCAGATGGCCAGCGTGCCCTGAACGACACACACTCCACGGTTTTCATGGTCACGTCCACGTACCTGGTCTCCGAGATCTGCACCGATGTTGCGAGATGCCCTCCTTATACCACCGAGGTCCAGACTTCTGTCATTCACGTCACCGACACGACCACTGTCTGCCTTCTTTCTTCTACACCTTCTGAGTACGGACCTCCGGTTTCTGCTACTACAGCTTTGTCAATTACCAGCTCGGTCTATCCCACTGAGTCAGGGATCTCGGTTAGCATCATACCAGGTTCTTACATCTCTGTGTATCCGGGTGTCAGTATCTATCCACAAACCAGTGTCTTGATTACAGATGTCACTTCCTCAAGTGTGTACGTGTCGCCGACTGTTACAACCTCTCAGCCGTCCATATCAGTCAGTCACGTTCCCACCCCCAAACCGAGTGCATCAATCTCATACACGGCCACAAGCACTCCGGTGGTAAGCATGTCCAGTGCGGCTTCGTCGGTCTCAATCACGGGCACTGTCGGTACTTCATACTCGGTATCTTCGGTAGGCTCGAGCTCTGTTGGCTACTCAAGTGCGTACGTCTCGCCTCCTGCCGTCTCGGTAGTGCCGTCATACGCAGACTCTAGCTTGGTTGCTACTTTTAGTTCGTCGGCAGTCTCTCACTCATACCCTGGTCCCAACACTCCCAGCAGCTTAGCGGGTACCTCGACGACTGATTTAGTCTCGGTCCCTACTTATGTCTTTGATACTACTTCAATGCCAGGATATGTTCTGTCTTATACAGCCACACCATCGAGCAGCAATAACAATGCACTATCTGCTTCTTCTACAGCATCATACCCGGGGGCCAGCTTTGTAAGTTCATATTCGGAAGGGTACGTTGTTTCCACAGGCAGTACCATTGCGCCAATTTATCCCACGGTTCCTTCACCAACTTGGCCATCCTCGAGCAGGTATACGACACTATCTGGTTCTCTCAGCCCTTGGTCGCCGACATACCCCAGCTCCACTGTACTCGAGAGCACGAATGTGATTACCAGCTATCACATCCATCTGTCCACATCCTATGCTACTGCATCGATTTCTTCTGGTGGCTCCGGCAACTACACCGAGACCAGCGCTCAGACTATCCCCACATATGTTCCATCAGGCGTCTCCACTGGCCTTTCGGGATCTGGGTAAGTCTTTGAGAGCCACTCTGCATCGTGTTCGTACTTGCTTACTCTCCAACTAGGCATCCATACCCTTACGCCAGCGCAAACGGATCGGTTATTGGCCCTTTGCCCAGCTACATGGAGGTTCCTTTCAACACAGGACATCGCATTGGGACAGGGAGATGGTGTGGCACAGTGATTGTCCTGGTTCTTTGCCTTGCCAGCCGGGCATAGGTCGGCCAAGTGACGTGTTCAAATAGTCTCACAGATGATGAGGAAGGTATGCTTATGTGATGGGGAGTCGGCCTGATGAGGTATTCTTGCATCACCTACGACACGTATTCTAGGGCAGCCTGGCTCTGTATACATAGTGAGGAGGTGCTCTTAGGGGGTAACGGGACAGTGGCATAATCTTTCTCAGGAGTGTTCGTTAACTTGACAGAGGTTTTTGCAGATATGTTAGCAGTTAAGGTAGCCGCCATTAGAGTAGCACGTCATCTACGATACGATTACTAAGACTATTCAAGACTGTTTGTGGTGCATAGTGATTATAATTGTAAGCCTTGACAAAGAGGGACTTGTTGTCTTGCTATGAGAATGAATTTCATGACTGGATGTTGACAGCAGTTAGGACATCTTGCAAGGAGACAGCCTTTTCCTCTGGCACTATGTCGGACCATACGTGATCGGGGATGCGTTTATCCTCTGGGATGGTGCTAAAGTGAGGACTCGGCTCAGCCTTGAGCCACTTGAAGTCATCAATCTGGTCCCACAGATTAGGCGATTCCGATATTTGAGGCGTCACCTGTCCATTGGTCAGTTTCTGAACAAAACTACTCCCAAACTCTTCTACTTCTCTGGGATTTTTGCAAAAAGAAAAGCTTACATAACACCCCGGCAACGGCGCAAACCTCAATGCCTCGCAGTCTTCGAAAATCGGGCGACTGGCACTGTGCAGATAGATATCTACGTTCTTGCTGTCGTGCATGCGGAACTGGCGACACGATGTCACGATTACGCTATTGGTCACGTGTGTGATATGGATGGGACCTGCGACGTGGCCGCAGAGTATGAGGCTGTTTTTGATACTGCGGAGGTAGAGGGTTGCGAGTGGTTTTGTGCTGGTGGTGAGATTGACGATGCAGTTGGTCAGGTGGGATACTGTAGGCGAGTTTGTGGCGGAGGGGACTGAGGCGAGGGTTATGCGGGTTGAGGATTTGTGGGTGAGATGGGATGGAGTATCGTCTTGTTGGAGTGATGGTGGTGGGATGGAAGTACTTGTTGGTTCTCTTGCGGGTGCTGGAGCGCTAGATGCGGCTGCGGCTTCTTTCCTTTTGTTTTTGAAGCTGAATTTCTTGGGAGGGTCGAAGGCGTTCCTGATGGTTTGGAGTTTTTCAGAGAGAGATTTTATGGCCTGTTTTGTATGCGTCAGCGTGTTAGTTTCTTTTTTACAGAGTTTGGGCATCTTGTTCTCTATTCGGCATTTATTTTCTCTTTTGACAGATTGAAACTTTCATACCTCACTGTATGTCCGCTGGTCATATGCGGGCAAGTAACTCGACGCGTCCATGACATCGTGTGACAGGCGATCTATACCCGCCAGACACTGCTCTATGGCTTCGTTGCGCTCACGGCTTGCAGCTGGTGTGTCCGGAAGGGAAGAAATCTGGGATCCAAGGGCTGGGCTGGGATGTTAGGGGCGTTGCATAGAGTGCACGGCAGCGTCATTCTCACATGCGACATCGTCTTGAAATTTACGGTAAAAGGTTTCTTTTAGGTTGCTTTCGGACATTGTGGGCGGGTTGGTGCCGAGTATGTCTCTATGAAGGAACGGTGTCTGTAGGAAGAAGGCGGCAGGGTGAAAACCAAACACAATTAATTAGGCAGCAAGTGTTCGTGATAGAGATGGTGTGAGGGTGTCAAGGGATGAAATGGTGGGGCGGTGCAGGAATCACTTTGCGAGGAAAACATAGTGCAAAACGTCTCCAAGTTAGTACAAATTTGATATGCAAGATGTTATTTGAAAATGGAAAGCATTGGATTCCAAGCGCTTGCTTGAATACTAGCCCACAGTACACGCATTGTAGGTGACGAGAGGGAACGCGTGGGATGGGAGCTACCCCGCGTTCCATCCAATAGCGTTCCGCGCATTATCCGACGTAGGGCAAGGCGGGCATGGTTAGTGGAGCAAGGCAGACATACATGCTAATACAAACTTTAGAAGTCGGATAGTTCGACAATGCCTCAATTGCCAACGTAGTATGTACACAAACCAGACGCAGCCCGAGTCTTGGCAATCGGGTATTTTGAACCTGTAAACTCAAAGAAAAGATGGTGTTTCTAAGCCTACGCCTGGGCTGCCTTGACGTCAATGCCGTACTTTTCTAGCAATCGCTGCCTCCTCCGCTCCTCCCAGCCGGGGCCATAGATTCCTGGTAGAGTTAGTTTTATCATACGCAGATATTGGCTGGCGTGCATCATACCTCGTCCCTCGCCCAGCTGCTCCAGTGTCTCGGACAGTGGCCGCCTGCGCAACTTCTTCAGCTCCTCCCGGCGCTCAACCTCGCCGTCGTCATCGACCTGCTCCCTAATGTCCCCGACGCCTCGCAGGCCGTTGGTGTATCGGAACGCGGTGAGGGCGGTGGAGAATGCGGCTCCGGCACCGAGCATGAAGGGAAGACTTCGCCCTGGAACGAGTTAGTGTGACAGTGGCCATATGGGCTGGGTGTGCGTACTGGCAACACCGAGGGCACATCCAGCGGCGAAACCAGCGACGGCCTCGCTGTAGCAGTCGTCCTTGCGTCGCAGGTTGCTGGTCGCGTCGAGGGTGAATTGGTAGGTGGCCCCGACACCGGCTGCAGGTCAATTAGCCGCGCTGAGCAGGCGAAAGGGCAATTGAGCAGCTACGGACCGTACAGGGCAATGATGCCGCCCGAGCGGGTGAGGATACCCATGGCGCCGACATTCTGCTTGCGAAGAGTGTTCTGGACTCCGGCGACCACGGCGCCGACGGCGGTTGTCTGGATCATGGTGCTCATGGTGTTTGCGAGGGCATCGCGGGGGTGGAAGGTGGCGTCGTGGGCGGCCATGGCGGGCGGAATGGGGCGTCGATGTCGTCGTCGTCGAAGCTCTCGCTATGGCGATGTCAATGTCGCTGGTGTTGCAGGCGGCGGGCGGGCCTACTAAGCGTCTTGGCACCGGCCGCCAGGGCTCCCCGGCAGCGGGCACTGCATCATCGTGCGCGCCAGGTCGGTTGCGAGTGTCGCAGCATCGCGAGGGCATGACAGGCAATGGCTGCCTGTGCTGCTCGTGTATACCATTCCCGCACCTCCTCGTAGCTCACCGTGCCTGTGTGTGTTTCTGCTGGGCAACCGCCACCTACAATGCTTACCTGATGACCCGTTTGTCCACGCCTCTTGCTTGCGTGCTCGACTTGGCCTGCTTCGTCTCGTGCACTCGATCTATTTCCATCACCACCCATACACAATCTCTCTGCCTGTCTCGCCCGGCCTGCAGCAGCCATGGCGCCCGGTACCTCGTCTTTGCCCCTTGCCCGCCCACTCATGCTAACTCGAGCGGTACAGGCAAGACAGCGCCACGGCTCCTCCAGGACCTCTTCACATACGACCCCCGCCATGAAGAGCGCGCCGGCCGCAACCTGTTGACCAGCCCCCCGCCGCAGCACGATGCAAATGCTCCAGCCGTTGCCGCCGTGCCCTTTAGGAACTGCAGACACAACTTCTTCACAAAGGACAAGCAGTCCATCCCCGTCGAGCCCGGGCGCGAGCCAGACACCGACACCGTCTACAAGGTTGCCGCCTATTGCCAAAAGTGCCGTTGGCATGTTGATGTCGTTGTCGACCACCGCAACAATCATGGCAAGAGCAAGTGGTGCGGAAGAGGGAACACAGACTATGCCTTGCACCACTTTCTCTACCAGGGCCAGGAGGGCTCCAACGGCATCAACGGCCTCGAGGCTCAACTGCCGTCTCGCACCTACGCCTTCCGCTGCTCAGCGCCTCAGTGCTCACTCCACGTCCGCATCGGCATGAGGCCACCAATCTTCTCCGAGCATGACATTGAGACTCTGACTAACCAGGCCAAACTGAGGAAGAGATGGGAGGTTGCGCAGCACTTGGCGGGTGATCGAGCCGACCCAGTCATGGCCCGCAGAGTCGATGCCCCCGACTATCTCAACACATATCTGCAAGACTCGCTTAACCCTTCAAAGGGCAAGGCGCGCATTCCTCTGTTCAACAAGAAGTTTCTCAAAACCTTTGGCCGCGATTGCGACTCGATCCTGAGGCGTTTGGGGTTCGAGAATCGGCAAGAAGAAGACGAGGAGGGCACCTTGATAGAAGCCTGGTACCTCCCCAGACCGGAGAACACTGCCCATCCTCTCGAGTACACCATGCGCACCAAGATTGAAGACGCTCGCTACGAGCTCAACACCATAATACTAAGCGTGCCAGAAAATGAACGTGCAAACTGCAGACACCAGCCCATGCACCCCTTGCCCTCGCGGGACGAGCTCGAGAGAGTGCTGGCTTGTGCAGATTGTATGTTTAACTTTGCGCGTCTAGTTGTGAATTGATACTGACGGATTCTATAGATGCAAAGGCAAAGGGCCGCGAAACCCGTAGCACAAGCCATGAAGAGGATCACCCGTGCGTATACTGCCTTGGTGTTGACCAAGTATCTTCTTGTGCTGACATTAAACAGCTATTATGCCAGCTTAGGCGCTTTGGCTGACTTTGACGACTCACTGATCCTTTTTGCTTTCTCTCGTCAAGTTGCTGTAGACATTGATAACAAAGATTACTATTTTGAATGCTTGCAGGATCTCGCTACGGGTCGCCAAAGTGAGACGCTTGGGGTCCAGGTTGCCCTGCTGGCCTCTCAGGGACTCATTAGCAAGCGGGACGCCCAGCGCGCATATCAGTACTTTGGCATCAATCCGGCGCATGCGAGCGTCATCGGCGACGATCACATTATTGGTTCATTCAAATCTCGATTATATGATATCAGCCCTCTGCAAGCCGAGGAAGCACGAAAGCAGTTGCGGGTTCTCGGAGACGTGCGTGATAGTGAGAGGATAAGAGCAGAAGCGGCAGGGTCTATTGAAACTTACGAACAAGCCATGGCATGGTTTGAGCTTGACCCTGCCACGCCGGATGACTTTGTTCAGACCATGTACTCACTAAAGGTCCGTGCATAGTTCTGATTGCCTTGGAACAAACACTGATGCGCAGCAGACTCAAGACAATCCAGCAGAGGTAGAAACCGCACAAAAAGCACTGCAGATTATAGCGGACCACCGGCAAAGCGAACGACTACAGCACTTCCTCAAGTTCGGCACCATGTCCGAACCCGAAATGGATCTGGGCGATGCCTACGCTCACTTCCAAGTTTCTGATCGAAGCGTTGCGCTCGATCCAGCTGTGCTAGATTCGCTGCTCAGCACCTACGAGCTTGGCACAAGTGAGAGAGCGAGAATGGAGAAAGCGCATGCGCTCATCCAGCAAGACCAGACTCAAAGATTCGGCAACCGCCCTGCCAATGCTCCCCTGCCTGTAGTGCGGCGCAACAACTACCCTCTCGAATCATGGCCCGTCGGTCTCCGCAACATTGGCAACACATGCTATCTTAACAGTGTACTTCAATTTCTGTTCACTATCAAACCCCTACGGGACCTTATTCTCAACTGTGAGGATCACCTGCAAGATCCCTCACCGGAGGCTCTGAAAGACAAGAAGGTTGGACGCATGGCAGTCACTCCAGAAAGGGTATTAACTGCGCAAAAATGTCAGTATGTTTCGAATCCCCGAGAATCCCTACTAACCTTGTCCAGTCGTTCGTGAGTTGCGAGCCTTCTTTGAGCGGATGATCAAGGCACCCACAGACACCGTGCAACCTGAAATCGACCTAGCTTCACTCGCACTATGCAAGTCAGACATTTCTGAGGAAGCAGAGATACAGGGTTCAGATATCATTCCAGGTGTAGGTCTCGGTACCATTGATGGAGCAGTGGTCAGCGGCCCTATGCTGCCACCCGCTGAGGACCAGCTGACTCCCGTGGAACTACCTGCTGGTGGATCCATCAACAAGAACGAGACTGATTGCACAGACACTGTTATGGACAACTCTGATACACCAGAAGTCAATCCTACGGACTCGGAGATGAAGGAGGATTCTCCCAGTCATGAGAATGGCTCTACAAAAGAGGGTGGGAATGATGTTCCTGCACCACCAACACGGCCACCTCCAGTCCCACCACGAGCAGATCCTAAACCCGCGCCCAAACCCGCTGTTCAGTCAAGTACGAAAATCGGCCGAATTGAAGAGAGTGCTCGACAGCAAGACGCAGCAGAGGTCATGGCGAACATCTTCGATTTGATATCCTGTGCAATCACTGGTGATAGCGTATTGCGCGAAGGTGAGCAAGGAGATGCTATCAAGAAACTCTTCTTTGGCGACGTAACGACAGTCATGGAGAAGCCAGATGGAGTCCAGAAGAACCAAGAGCTCCGAGACCATTTCCTTGTTGCTACTGGTCGCCGCGACCGCTCGCTCTATGCTACTCTGGACGAGGATTTCGGTCTTGGCGAAATCGAAGGCGGTGGTGGTACGAGGTATGATTACGTTGAACAGGCCGCGCCCATCCAGATCATCAACGTAAAGCGGCTGCAGTACGAAAAGGGCCAACCGGTGTACGACCACTCACATATTGGTCTTGAAAAGACCATGTACCTCGATCGTTACTTGGCAAGAACACCAACGCTAGACGAGTCACAGCTGTTGGAACTCCGCAAAGCGCAATGGGCAAAGCAGAAGCAGCTACGAGAGCTGGATGCAAAACGAACCAAACTGCAAACTAGTGGCATTGAGGGTATGAACCTACCGGAGTGCCTTGACGCTACTAGCGATTTCATCCAGAGCTTGTCTTCAGACAATTCCGAACACCAAGACCAGCCAGGTAGCCTGCTAACACCTCCTCCGGAGCTCTCGGACACTCTCCGTAAACGAGCCTCTGATTACGCATCGGAACTTTCGGGCATTGATGAGCAGATGACGACGCTGGAATCCGAGATCAACAACGTTTTTCGTGACTGCACCTCGGTCCCATACCGACTGCATGCTGTGTTTGTACATCGTGGTGATGTCAAAGGCGGACATTACTGGATTTACATTTACGATTTCCAGAACAAGGAATGGCGAAGCTACAATGACGATAGAGTGGAAAAGGTTGAAAATGAGAGTGCGGTGCTGGAGAAGGAAGAAGGCAAGAGGCCAAAGGTCAGCACGGGTGTGGTGTATGTCCGGGCAGACCTGGCAGAACAGTATACCGAGGCTGTGTGTCGACATCCTGAGCAACCCAATGTGGAGAGAAAGGACATTGAGATGAAGGACGTCGCGGACGACGCGGACGACACGGACGATGAGTTGCCAGACTTGGAGCCTGTAGACGCGGCAAACGCACCAGTCATTGAGGGTATAGAGAAGGTGTGAGCTCTTTTAGAGCACCATACCCCTTTATCCTCCGCTTGCATGGCGCTGACATGGCAGCTCGTCCTCATTGATCACCCACCGGGATGCCACGAAACCATGTGCGTTGTAAAACCACACGACTCGCACAAATAGGACTGCGTTCTTGCCAGAAAGAAAACAGGCACAGTTTTAGCATCTCTGCTCAAGAAAGCAAAGTCACATGTTGGGATCCCCGAGGAAGCTGAGGAATGGATGTGTGTGTATGGCTTTGGTTGAAGCGAAACTGGGTTCGCTGTATGTAGGAGGAGGGGCTGGATGGACTTTGCATTTTTGAACAGTGGGTAATGACACTTTTGAGGAAGAGGTAATGCATAATCATGTTACGATTTGTTTTGACACTGGACACGTCATGTAGAGGCCTTGAATAGAGCGGTAGACGATGTTAAATGTGCTGGTAGCGTACGTGATGATGGTATTCCAAAGCCGCTTAAGTTTGGCTCTTTCTTTTGAAAGACTCCTATACTCCTCAGGCTTTGTCGCTAGTCTGGGTTGATGCAAATGGGATATCTTCTTTTCAACTCATGTCAGCGTAGCATACAAATGCGCTTCTAGAGTGCCACTCAACCCACCTGTAGCGCCACGCATGAATATACAAGTCCTTCTCTCTTGGCCAACGCTCGCGCTTCTTTACTCTTCACCTAGCGCTTTGAACTTTGGCGGAATAAGTTCAACCCAATAACCCTGCATCAGCGTCAGCTTACCCACTCACACACACACACCCCTTTCCATACACCCCCAAATTTCTCAAAAGAAGGGGAAAAAAAGGGTACACTCACATCGGGATCCTTTACAAACGTCAGCTGCCTAAACACATGCTTGTACCCCTCCACCACCTCTCCCCACTTCCCCTGCACCACCTCGTCGGGAAGCGCCATCTGGTCCTCCCGCGCCTGGTCCAAGGGCTTAATAACTTCGAACCCAAACTCCTGCACACGCTTCGTCGCCTCATCCACATTAGGAACTGTGAAGCCTATATGGCCGAAGCCAACGCCGGGGGCGGAATAGTCGTTACCAGAGACGTAAGGAGTCGAGGCGTCAGCAGGGATGTGGTAGAGTTCTAGGAGGCCTTGTTTTTGGCGGATGTTTTGCATGTCTGTTTTTTTTTTGTTAATTTTTTTACCGTAATGCAATTGGCATGCTGAAGGGAAAGGGGAGGGTGGTGAACGTACTCACGTCTCGTCCGCCGAGATAATATATGATCCATGGTCCGGCGTTGAATATGAAGACGACGTGCATGCCGAGGCAATCGCAGTAGAACCGTAGCGTCTTTTTCGGGTCCTTGATGCGCATCATGAAGTGGTTTAGGCTGTAGCCGGCGGTGGCAGGGGATGGGGGGCGCGGAGGGGGTGCGATGTGCGTGCCGGATTCGTAAGGGGCTGGGGGGAAGTTTGGGTTGGAGGAGGACATTGTTGGTGGGATTGGTGGGAGGCAATTGGAGGGTTGGGTGGGATTGGTAATGAGAGTTTGGGAGAGACTTGGGAGGAGAGTCGTCGAGCTATCAAGCGGTAGGGATTGATGGGGGGAGACGTGGGGTATGCGGGGTAGGGCCGCTGCTTGTTCTACTTTTATCGTTGGAAGAGTCTGTCGAGCATTGTGCATTTGCTGTCGAGTCTGACTATCTGAATCCTTTCGCCGCCGGCCAGAGCCAATGCCTCCATGCTCTCTTTTGTATTCGCGAAGCTTTGTGCGGCCATCAGCAAGTTTTCCGTATTTACTGCGCTCCTGAAGCAGTCGGTATGCGGTGGCATGTGGGATGTTGAAGTCGCGGTAGATGTCACGCTTAGTCCTATCTCCACGCTGATCAATAGCTTGAAAAAACCGAGCACGCGTTGGAGTGTTAAGATGCGAATTCAGCGATCTCTTCGGTGAAGGTGGAGGGGTCATTTCTACAAAAGATTATCTGAAAAATCTTGTGTTTTGGCTAAGATGCACAGTTGCAAAGCTGGGGGGTTATCGAGGTTGCGCCACCTTGGTATTGTGGCACTCCTAGCACGAACGTATATTGCTTTCTTTTTTGTTCTTGGCATGGACGTCTCATTACGTTCTCCAGACGGAAACTCACGAGCACGACGGGAATACTCATGCATTGCTAGTTAGAACGCATGTTTAACCCACACAGATTGGCTGGACAGATGGGCTGGGTGGTTGGAGCATAGTGGGGTCAGAGAAACACAGCAGTAGGCGTGAAGCGTGACGTCGCGCTGGCTGCGATGACGAGCCGCCCCACATGCAAGGGTCCATCCCGCACCTCACTGGGGAACTTTTGCATACGGTACTGCACCACGACACCACCGCGCCAGCCACCATGGAGTTTCAAAGAGGCGAACGCGTCAATCTCAACTTTGATACCGGCGCAGTCGAGAAACTGGAGCCAGAGGAACAAAATGTGCTTCCCATGCCTTCATTCCCCGCTTTTGTGGGCGATATTCAAGAGCGCGATTCATCTTCAGCTAACCCTCCAGTCGCGCCCTCACCTAAGCCCAATGTGAACGGTTTCCCAGCACACAAGAAACGAACACCGAGAGTATCTGCTTTTAAGCAGCAGCGCGCTGCAAAGGAAAAACAGGCTGCCGCAGCACCCCCGCCTAACCCACGAAGCACCTTTGCCCCAGACCCAGACGAGGAACGAAGAGCCATTGATGAGGAAAATAGGCGCACTATCGCGGCCATGTCTGACGCCGAGATTGAGCAAGAGCGACAAGAGCTCATGGCAAGTCTCAATCCTGCACTACTCCAGAAGTTGCTGTTGCGGTCCAATATCGACCAGGGAAGCAATGAGCGCGACTTTGATGCCGAGCCACCAGCGCCTGCAGCTACAAAACCTCCCGCGACTGAAGAGGCCGAAGAAGAAATACAGACCAAATCTGCGAGCACGAAGAAAGTTTCCTTTGCAGCGTCAGAATCTGCGGACGAGTCCAAGTTACCAGAATCCACAACTTCCCCCCCCATATCCGCCACCGAAACCTCCTCCGACGCCATAAGATCTGCCCTAGAGCAGCAAACAGACGACTCAATACACTTCCCCCGACCCCCACAACCGCCCGACCTCGATCCTAACGACCCGGCTTTCCTCAAGAACTTACACGAGAAATACTTTCCCAACCTCGCCTACGATCCCTCCAAGCTATCTTGGATGTCCCCGATCGATCCCTCCGACAAAAAATCGCCATACCATCCTTCCCAAACCGCCCTCAACCCTGCAGAGCTCCGCTTCGACTTTGAAGGAAACCTGCTCGCGCCCAGCGTGGCGAGAGAAATTCCTACCGATAGAGGGCTGCACCACCACGCCGAAGCCCCCGAAGCAGCAGGATACACAATACCAGAGCTAGCAGTCACAGCAAGGAGTAAAGTCCCTAGCCAGCGCTGCATTGCATACCAAACGCTAGGAAGGATTCTATACCGCCTCGGAAAAGGCCAGTTCGGCGTTGAGAGCGCGCAAAAGACGGATGGACCTGTGCGAGTAGCCAAGAATCCGGATGTCGAAGAAGATGACGATGATGATGGGGAGTGGGTCGAGGAGGATGTGGGAAGTGCTATAGCGGGCGGGTTGTGGCAGTGTATTGAAGAGGGGAGAGTGATTGAGACATTGACCGAGGAGGCGAATAAAGAGAGGGGGCATCTTACTGCTCGTACGTTTGCGCAAGAGGCGCTGTGGAATTGGAGGAGGGGTGGGGGGAGGAAGAGACATGCTGTGTAAGGGGGTACTTGGCAAGACTATCAAATTAAGAATGCGTAAAATGGTATCATGCTATGAAAACAGGGATGCATTTCACGTCCACTACAATGTCTTGTCGAACAGACAGAATGGAATAGGTCCCTGATATCCGTTGAGGTCAATGTTGGTCGTGTCCGTTGGCTTCTTCAGGATTCCAACTTGGAGTTGTCCCAGGCCTGTGTTGTTGTTTGGAGTGGCCTCGGTCACGGGCTGTAGAGGTGCTGCGCCAGCTGAATAGAACACTTTGAGGGTGCTTAATTGAAAACATGCCAGCATCTTGATCTTATCCGGAAGAAATAACGTCAAACTAGTAGGGGAATATGTACATACCCTTTCGTATGGTCTACCTGCACAGCAAAGTCCTGCCACTGATCGAACAAAATCGGCGTCTCGAAAATGGACTTCTTGTCACTGTTTTTGAATCCTCCACTTTTCCCTTCTCCTCTTTAGTATCGATGCCGTTCCCGCCATTGAATGGTTAGAACCAAGCCACCAACAAGCGTGAATTGATTGCCAGTGAAGTCAGCCCTCTCATGCCACACATTCATGTACTCGTGAGAGAAATTGAGTGGTTTCTCCACATTCTGGTGGACACTCCAGTGATAAGTGACGGTGTCATTGTCAGCCGCATCAGCCCGGTCATCATTCTTGTCGCCTGGCATTATAAGGCCCGCGCGACGAATACAGGTCTCTGGCGGAGATCTGCGTCCCTTGAAGATTGAACGGTCATCGACAGTCATTTCGAATGGTTTGTGGCGGCTGGGTTTCGTCGAACGGCGCTAGGGTAGTGTCTGGGAAGAGAAGAATGGAAGATCAGCTTATGTTCTGGCCCGTTATCCACTTGGGATCATATACGGACGAGTTGGTGTCAAACCATTCGAGCGTTGCGTCGACTGGAATGCGGCCTTCGAAGAGGACAGGGCAGACAACGCCAAAGACCTCATCAGGACCGGAATTGTGGCGTGGTGCAAGCTGTGGAACCGATGCCGCAGCAGCACAGCCGATGAAGAGAAAAGAAGGTTGAAAGCGCATTTTGAAATATGCTTCAACAAAACATTGCCAGTACCGTTACCCAACATCCAATGTCGTGCGTTTATACATGTTCCTCTCCACCATATTACCTTTGTTTGCATGCTCGAAACATGAGACTGTTGGGGTTCGGCCCGTTCTTTGCCAATAACTAATCCTTACCGTGCAAGGTACATTTTTGTCCGGACCCTCATCTCCACCCTCTTGGCGGGGGGATGCCGACATGCTTTAAATTTACACTTTGTCCACCTTTTTGCTAGTTGGCCAGTGGATCCACCCTACCGGAAGATCTCCAGCGTAAACCATGTGGGGAATATAGACAGTGTTAATCATAAGCATGTGTGCTCACCGTATGCGATTCGGAATTTTCATGTTGGCGTGCATACCGCTTTTTAGGGTTGTAGCAGGACATATTTCTCCAGCCAAGTGTTTTCTTAGCCCAAGAGTGGCTTGGAAGGAACTACAGTTTGGAGGAAAGTTTGATACGTGATTTTTTTCGTATACACGGTTATTCCTCCAAAAGATGGCACCTAGTATTCTTAAGCTGGTAACTAGTCAAAATCAAATAGTTCTCATGAAAATCATTGCGGGAACTGTATTATCATTTGGCCGCGTCCCCTGGTGTTTATACCGGCATGATGAATTGGTTTTTACAAAAATTGCTCATGGGCATACCGGTGAGCGAGCAGAATTTCGGCAAAGAAAAATGGAAAAAGATTGACAACTTGGCTTGTGGTGTTTTGAGTTAATATGGCCAAGGTCATACCCGAAAGATTCCTGTGTCCAATGGAAGTTGCTACTTTAGCCATGAGCTGCTAGTGCCAACCTCTTGCATTGAATCTAGACTAAGAGGTGCGGAAAGTGTGCTTGGCTGGCTCCGGTGTATAGTTCGCAGACCTTACAAGGGTGTCGGATCTTATCGCGGCTTTAGCTGCATAATACTATCTGTCTATGCCGTGTCTCCTGCAGGTATGAATGCAATCTTGTTGGCTCTGATGACTTCCACCCTCATTCCTCAGTCTCACGCCGAGATGTTATGCCTTACTCAATCTAGCAGCCGTAACAGCCGGTAATCACAGTAGTGGTTTGCCATTTCATCCAAGGACATATTTGTTCAACTTAGCGACATGCTCCAGTGCTTTTTAAAAGTTCCTAATGTCACTACATGATGTCAGAACCAAGAAAAATAGCAGAAACAGACAGGTGATCAAAACAATAGTTACAAAAAACGATGGTAAGTGAAGTTCAACTAGCTTGTATACCCGAATGTATTGAAACATTCATGTCTCATTTCCTATGTCCAACGAGAATGAATTCATTTATTATTCTATAAAAAGTGGAGATTTGAAGAAGAATGTAGTGTACGTTTACAAAGAGATTAAGTTTCGGCTGCGCTAGGTAATCCATGCCGATTTCTCAGTTCTAAGCTTTTCGCACATGCTCAATCTTACCTCTGTCTCTACCAATAGTCTATATAACTATTGCTTTACACTAATGTACATTATAGTAGGGAATAGTTATTTCCGTTTTAGCATAATAACAATAACAAATACAAGAAGGGCTGGAGGGATAGATCTGTCAAGAATTCGGTAGTAGGCACTTCTATGGTTTCTGTGCTCCGGATGTCTGGGATCTCAGCTATCTGTCGTTCCGGAACTAAGCTGATCCTACTAGTCTCGAACCAGCTTGTCGTTGTATAATCGTCTCCGGGCTCGACCGATGAAGTCGGAGATAAGGCCGCCCAGCACCGAAAACTCAAAGTTCGCTTGAAGCCTTGGTTGCTACGATGATATCGCTGGTAATATTTTACTTTATATACACTTCGGAAAAGTAAATCTCGGCTTCCCTACTTAGTCTTACTAGGTTTTTGTTTTGTAATTAGAGTGTAGTGGTGCTGATATTTCGGAGTAAAGATAGCTCGATTTGTCAGGCTATAGTAGCCCACTTGGTCCGATTGATCGATTGACCGTATTCGTTATTTTCAAACAGAGGCCCAGTTACTTCTCCGTATCATAGATAAGTTAAACACACAATATAAACCGACTAAATTCGATCTACTCTACAACCCTTGAATTCACCATACCACATCGTCCAACCCCAAGCATGACTTCTACCGACAAGAACATTGTCCTTATCACTGGCGGTAAGCCAACACGCTCTTCACCGGCATACAAATCTAAAAGAAAGCCCTAGCAAACAGCGGTATCGGCTTCGAACTGGCTAAATGACTCCTCTCTGATGCATCCAAAGACATTCTCCTCGGTAGCCGCAGCGCCTCCAAAGGCGAAAAAGCCGTCCAAGATCTCCAATCTCAGAATCTACCAGGAACCGTTGAGTTGACCCAAATCGACGTCTCAAAATAAGACTCCATCGCCGCCGCCGCCAAGGACGTCGAAGTAAAACACGGCCGAGTCGACGTCCTCGTCAACAACGCTGGAATCTTTTCATCCGGCGATCCAGATGCCACCGACGTCCAGTCCCTCATTGACAACTTTACTACTAATGCCGCTGGCTCTTTTGCTACCGTCAAGGACTTTCGAGCCGCTCCTTTCCCGCTCCGCGTACGTTTCTCCCCGCTTCCTCTACCCAAAAAAAACCCCCCAGCTTTTTCCCGTACCACTTGATATTTTACCTTTCACTCACTCCAATCTATAGAAGCAGCACCCCACGTATCATCAACGTGTCCTCAGGTCTAGGCTCCATCTCCACACACGTCGACAAATCGCATCCTACTTACAAATTAAAATCGTACTCGTATCGCATGAGCAAAGCGGCGCTTAAGATGGCTACTGCGTGTCACCACGCTGAGTGTGAAGGTAAGAGATGGAAGGTATTCGTGTTTTGTCCTGGTCCTACAGCGAGTGAAATGACGCGGCGTATCAAAAGGGATGCTGGGGCGAAACCGACGAGCCAAGGGACAGCGCCGCTGGTTGGCATAGTCAATGGAGAGAGGGATGCGGATACAGGGAAGTTTTTTGACGGCTGATACTGAGAGTGGGGTGTATCAGTGGTAAATTTCTTATGTAAATCTCTCTCGTCTTTTCTGTCTTGTCCAACGAGAATGTGTTCAGACAGTGCTTACTGTCCTACCCCCTCTTTGAACGCTACAATTTCACCAACATCTTTCATATACGCATCAACGGTAGAATACGCGTTATTCCATCGGTGTTCTATGCTAGACTTAACACACCTTTAGTAGTGTTTTTTTTCCCAATCCAAAGCTGCATGCCAATCGCTAACCCGCACCGCTCAACTCACGGACGTTTTTGTTGCCAAGCTTTGTGAAGCGGATCGGACCGGTACGTACGTAGTAGTATTAGCGACGTTCCTCCCGGCGATCACCTCAGCGGCCTTGTGACTGATGTAAAAATCGGTTAGTAGTCGTGTGGTTGGGGCATGAAAATAGATGCTCAATCGACGGAAGAAAGAAAGACCACAAGGCCTATGAGTAAACCTGCTTGCACGATATATTCAAGTGCTTCCCATAAGCCCTGGCTAATTTTTTTTCTCCGGCGCCTACTATCTGCAAATCGAAAGCTGAAGTACTGCGTGAGATATGATAATACGTATTGGAAAATGATTCTTTGTAGACTAGCCGATCTTTTGCATTTGCTGGGGACCGACTAAAGCCTTCCAAAAAACAAAAACGAACTTTGTACACTAAATCTTGTAACACATAAATGCTATGCTATGCCCTATACACGCCAAAATTATGCATTAGAATATTGTAAGCATCTCATCTGCCGGAAATGCGCCTGTTTTTTTCTCGCTGAACCGAACTTTTTGCAAGTGAAAAAAAAAGAAGATGAAGAAAAAAAGTAGTAAAAAGGGAGAGAAGAAAAGAGGAAAATGGTCGTAGCATGCTCTTTTCCCAATCATATCATGGCGCCATGTCGGTATGACGGAAGAGGCAACGGCTCACCAATTTCGTAGTTGCCAAAGAAGTCTACAGTGCTCTTTCGCCGTTCCTCCATGGCATCGCTAAGATCGCGACTAATGCAGATCTCCATGCCGCCGCTCTGCTCTGTGCCTTTGCGCTCCGTCGACATCTTGTATCCGACACCAGCTGAAGATGTCTGTGGTATCGCGGATGAAGGGCTGAGATAAGTAGAGGTTGTATGCTTGACTTTGCCAGGGAGATCATTTTCACCAAGTAGACCCAGCCAACGCAGCTCAGCACAGCGCTTGAAGACGCCTTCAAGGTCAAAGAGATCCTGCATGGAAAGGCTGTACATTTTGCCGCTGCGGTATTTCCAGAAGAAGAGGACAGAGAGCTCGATGGTCTCAATGTTTGGTAGGGGCTGGATAATCTTGTCTATGGAGGCCAGTAGATTATACGTCATGCGCATCTGGTCCTTGAGCATCCGGTCTCGGGTACCGTTTCTCAGCGTCGTGTAGTTCCACTCGAGATAGAAGCGAACGTGCGTTGTGTGCTTTAACATGGGCAATCTAAGGATATGCTGCGAGAACTCGAAATATTCATTGTTGGTCCGCGTGTTGCGCAGCTCCGCGTGGAGTGTGATTTTACTGCGCCGGAAATAGTTTTGCAGCAGCTCCTCGCGGATTTGCTTGTTAATCAAAAGGAGCTCCGGGCGAAGGCGCAAAGCGTTGGGCACCGAGGGTCCGTATCCGAAGATGTCATGTCTCCAAGGCTCTCCGCTGGACATTTCGGCACTCCAGAGGCAAGTGTGTAGCTCTGGCCGGTTCTTTGAAGTGTCTGGCAAGACATAGCTGAATATCTGGTCCCGGATCTCTCTTGGAAGCGCCAGAAGTGGAGAGCTGAATGTGCTAGGGGTGAGTTCAAGAAGGATTTCGAGTTCGCGGAAGAGAAGACTTTGGCGGTGCTTGTAGAGGCCATCTGAGCTGCGATTGGAGACCATGGAGAGCTTGTTGCTCATTCGCTGGTGAAGTGTGGCCATGTGCCGTGTACGTGTGTGTGTGTGTGTGTGAGTAAGTATACGCAGGGTTGGATTTAGAGAGAAGGAAACGGGTGGGCGTCTAGTGCCCGAGTAAGCACTATATAGGTTAGTTGTTGTCGAAGCCGGCCAGTCGCAGCTAGTTAAAATAACGGAACAGGCTGGTCGTCGTAACCCACAACAACGGACTCAACATGCAGATTGGATTAAAGTGGCACTGCAAAGTTCCTTCGTGCTGACACCAAGGGTTCACGGCAGCGTGTTTCGATGAAAAGGGGACTATCTGCGACGCCATTGCCGTGCGATAGGGGCGAGTCAGTCATGGATGGTGCCTCTGCTGACTGCGTGCCTGCCGCAAGGATCCGTCACAGAGCCCGTGCCGCCTCGCGAAAGGGATTAGTGTGTCACGTGTCGTAGATCTAGCCGACCCGCTACTGCTGCGCTGCTGCTGTGCTGCTGTGCTGCTGTGACACGTTTCACCTTGGCGCTTCAGAACCTCCTGCGTCCGTCAATCCTCCAAGTTTCACATTCTCAAACACGTCCGGAAAACCATATCGGCTTGTCGTTCCATGCACGCGGAATGCACACACGTCGCCCGTCCCAAAGCAAAAAGTAAAAGGCTCCCTTCTGGCATGTGCGTGGGCGACTAAGCCAGTAGTTGCTCCTTTTCTTTTCGCATCCATTAAAAATAGTCTGTATTTTGATCTTGTCGACGGCCGTCTAAAATTAACTAAATAGCAGCGGCTCCAGGGCGGGAGACAAGCGAGATGCTTGCGCCGTTCACGGTCTAAGGGGGGGGGGGGGGGGCATCATAACAAAGGAAAAAACAAAAAAGACGAACAAAGGGCTCATAGCACATCTCATGGTTCAACCAGCTCGGTATCGAAACATTGGCAGTCGGCAATGCTGCCACCAGGTCTCCACCCGCTCAGCAGCGTAGGGCATTTCCATGCAACGTCCATGTCTGAGCATTGGAACAGGACATTCCATATCCGCTCCATGGTATATCCGAACCAAGGCTTGCTCATGGCATCTTCTCGGTCCTGCAGATAAGGTTCACTGTGCGCCCAGCTCTGCTCGTCGACAAGAAGTTTCCAGAGATCGTCGTATATTGCTTTGTCAATGCCGCGAATCCGGGCAGCGGTAGCAACAAACTGGCCCTTGTAGCTGAGCAGTATACCATCGCGCACCGAGTGGTCGATCCTTGATTGAATCTCTGGAAACAGCAATGTCTCATCCTGCCAGCCCTGTTTGTCGCCACAGTCGTCACTATGACAAACATTGCCTGCCCATCCCAGGTTGAGGAAACCAGTTTGGTTTGCGCGGAAATACCGTTGGAAAAAGGGATAAAACTCTCGTGGGTTGTGAATGTCGGCTTGAAGGAAGATGGTACGCTCTGCAAGCTTGTCCCAGCGGTTGACGATGTGGTTAAGGTACGTCTCGGCTTCTCGTCCGACGTTTGGAAGCTTAACGACATTGTGCGCCTTTGTTTCTTGCTTAACCTTCTCTTCGTCTGCCTGGCTATCCTTGAGATAGATTGTAACAAGAGCCTGTGACATTTGCGGCATGGCATGTAGCCTCGATATCAGCGAGGCCACGTCTTCTGTCCGCTCCTTGTACATGCTGATAACAACCTCCAAAGGGCTATTTGTCTCATACCTGAGATCTAGTCGAGGCTCGATGCGTGGGTATTGGCGTTGTCCAAAGTTGAAGCTTATATACGCAGTCCATAGCATGACTAATATGATGCTGCTGAAAGACGAGCGGAAGCCGTGGCTGTAGTCTGGAAGGTTTGCTAGCATATCTGCTTCTCCGGCCTCCTCGATATCGTCTGATCGAGTTCTGGGCGAGCACGGGACCATATCGTAGCTTCCATGGGGATCTTTCGGCTGCCTTGCTTGCTTCCAGCTTGACATGTAAACTTCATGGCCGCAGATGCACAGGACTGCAAGGAAGTAGAAGCACAGTTGGTACCAACTGGAGTAGGAACGACGCAGCGAAAGAGTAGTAAAACAGCCAATGATGGCTGTCAATGTTAGCTGTGTGAATACATCGCTCACACGTTGCGATGCGGTGTAGTCGGATGTTTGGCCATTACCGACTGTCTCTATAGGAAATAATACCGACCCTCCCATCAATAGCGCTGCTCCGGTTGAAATGGCATTCAACGTACGCAGCAACAAATTCTCCCTGTCAAGCGGATTTCTATGCTCGTCGGGCCAACCGCTGAGTGCGCAAAATGCTGTGATTAGAACCCCCATAGCAACTAACCAATTGGCATCCGTGCTTTGGCTAAGCGAAACCCCTGGATAATGCTTCGAGGCCAACTTCCTCAACGCACTCGCTAAGCCAAGCAAGAGCATGGCTACGATTGATGTTATCAAGCTTGGCACCATGAGACGGTACTCTACGGACAGAATTCCAATACAAGCCAAGAGGTGGATGCCCAAGCGTAGCACACCTACGCCTGAGCGGGACGTGTAACTGAAGACGCACAATATCAAACCCTCAGCGAAGAATGCAATCGTCTGGCCAGATTAGCACTAAGCGGGTTGCAGCAACATGGAATAAACTCACCGCCGTCATGCAAAGCAGGGGCAGGTTTGAAGTGTGCAATACGGCTTGGGTTATGCATAGCGCTGCTACTGCTTGTAGGGCGTGTGAAGCTACGACCAAAAGTGAGGCTTGGATTGGTCGTGTGGGTTGCTCTTGCTCGCTGTTGCGTTTTTGATCATTTTTGCGCCATAGGTGTGAGATGAAGACGAGAATGGCCGTGGCGACAATCTGACAGATGTACAACTGCAAAGGGTAATGTAGGTTGGCCTCGACTAGGAGATGGCGTGTGGTTAAGAGGGAGGTAGCAGCACATGGCAGCCAGACTAGGTGGCGGTGGTCCTGGAGTCGATCGTAGAGGGTCGGGCATTGCGACAAGTAGTTTTCATGGGTATGTTGGCGGCCATGAGCTGTGGGCATGGTGTTTTGGTGCAGAGGATGATTGCAGGCAGGCGGCAGAAGAAAAGACGTCGCGCGGGCTTAGGCGTACAATGTGAAGACGCGAGCGCGGCGTGGGTCAGTCCATGCGTTTGGCGGACCCGAGTTTGCATCCAGCGGGTCCAGACGTCGCCTATCAAAACGGGTGAAATAACAATGTGGGCGATCGGGTGGGAAAAGAAGCAATTGTACAGAGGTGTCGAGGAGCTGAGATGAGGCTCCGCATGGATCACTGAGCTACGGGGTCTTGCTTGCCATGGACAAAGGGGCGCAAGCCTAGACCTCTTTGGCGGCATGTGTAGAGGCATCTCGATGGCAAAGTGTGTTGATCTTAAATAGCACAGCAGACGGGGCACGTAAAGCAGAAGCCGCCGGACGATGAGATGTTGGAGTTGGGTGGCCAGCCGAGCTGGAGGCCTTCTTGCTCGCCAGCAGAGAGGCGAAGTCAAGCAGGTCCTTGCGCGAGAAACAAATGGCGGTGGTAGTGGCGCGACGGCGCTAAGCCTATTGCGCGGCATTGCGGGCCGGATGTTGATCCGCATGTTGGCGCTCACATTCCCTTTCGCTGCCAGGGCCGGGGCACACCTTGTCGTGCTCAAGCTGTCAGCAGGCGGGTTCGGTTAGCTGGCCTGACAGTATGACTGCATCTTGGTATGCTTCCCTTTGCAGCGAAACCACCGCGTGTGAAAAGCAATGCGAAGCGGAGCGCACAGCAAAAGCCGACGCGACAAGCCAACGGCGCCGTCGAATCAAACACCCAGCTAGCAGTCGAGTCCGAGGCACCGCCCCCGGTTGGGGCCCGCAAAGCGCGGGGATCATTTTCATCAACAGGCATTGCATACGTACCCAGTATCTGCGCCGACGGTCGGCCTGAGAAACGCGGGACACGACGAGGTGAAACCCTCAGTTTTCAGGCAACAGCAGTCTTGCCAATATCAACACCACCACCATTGACAGCCGTCTTCACAGACATGCGGCAAAGGCTAAAAGCTCAAACTCGACACCCCTCGAGCTAGCGCGCGGGGGCGGCAACAAGGTTTCCAGGTGCCACCCCCCCTTTGATCTAAAAGCCACGCAGGCGAGGCGAGGGACGAACGACCCAACTGCGACATTACATAATTCTCGCCTTGCAAGGAGCTGCCGATCAATCTCGCATGACGGAAGGCGTTACCCCCGTCGGCCCCGTCTGCATTCTTAGAGGCAGGGCTCAACGCCAAGACGAGTGCCTGTCCCCCGCGCTTTTCGGTCCACCTGCCCCATCCAACATGCATCTTTCCCACATCTGCCCTCCTTCTAGCGCTACACCTTTGGACCCTTTTTTTCCCTGGCATTTCCACGTCGAGTATGGGGCTGCACACGTGTACATGTGCCAGTTTCAAATATGACATCCAAAGTAATGCGGCAAGGACAATCGCATTGGTTCCCACGCCGTTCCAGACACACCCTGGTGGTGTGGCGGGCACAACCCCAGAATACCACGCCTGAGCAAAAAGCTACCATAGTGTCGGCGCAGACGGGGCCGCCCCTGTGCCACTGCTGTTGCCGCTCGACTGCAAGGAATGCCACAAAACGGCGCGCTATGCGATTGCACATTGTCTGCTAGTCTAACGTCAGCAGCCCGAGTCCGGAGCTTTGGAACATCCATATTCAACAACACCCTGGTTCAAAAAGATTTCATCATATACGCCGCCTAGGGCCAACCTCAGCAACACATGACTGCAATCGGCTCAATCTCCATGGTCTTCAGGCTTGGTGCATTTGCAGTCTTGTTACAACATTATGATTATGTACGGTATTGTAGTCTATTTATCTCATAAATCGTGTCTAGTTGCTGCCAGATACGCTCTGGACAACAGGGTACAACGGCAAGTACGGCTTGTACACACTCTGGCACCTTGCGTTGAAATCAGCAGTGTTGCCAACCTCGATTTCAAGCTCGTTTCCTGGCACGCCCAACTTTCCAATGGCGCCACTCTTGGGAGTGGCCTTGGCCCATCCAGGACCGGCTTTGGGGTTCTTGATAAAGTTTACAAACCAGTCGTTCTGGAAGTCGGCGAGGGCCTGCTCCTCTGCGGTCACGTTCTCGACACCAGCAAAGGCATCATTGCCGCCGAAGAAGAATGGAATCTCAGCGCCGTGAGTGGGGTGGGAGACAGGCAGAGGAAGGATGTTGGCATAGTCGCCAAAGAAGCGGTAGATCCAGGTATCCTGCTTCTGGCTGCGCACATCAACCAGGTAGTCGACCGGGCAGAAAAAGCGCGCGTCGCCGTACTGGGCACCGCTCATTGCAGAGACACTGCTAAAGTCGGTAGCGTTGTAGGCATCCAAGAGGACCTCGTCTGGCATGTTGGCAACATCGGCATCGAATGAGTTGATCCACTTGGCAAAGTCGGTGTTCTCACCACCATAAACCAGGCCGAATACCGCACCCTCCTTGTCAGAGTTACCTGTCAGGAGAGGAACATGAGACGCATATTTGCCAGCTGCGAAGCGAGCCTCGTAGTCCTGGTAGCGCGTCTTCTCGTCGACGACTGGAGTAAAGTATGTGTTGTAGGTAGAGTTGAAGCCAGCAGTTTGGAAAGCGTACAAGTCGACCTTGCGGAGACAATCGAGCTGACCCGCACCAACAGGGCAGTTGACCTCCTTTGCGACTATGTCAAGGGCCTGGTTGGTAGGTGCCACGGCCGGGCCCGACTTTGCGTTGGCCGCCATCTGAACCGCACCGGCAAGCCAAGTATCAGGGTGGTTCCATAGGTAGTGGTCGACCTGTACAGAGCCAGAGGAGTGACCTCCGAAGACAACGTGATCAGGGTTGCCACCAAACTGGGCAATGTTGTCACGGACCCATTGCAAGGCCTTGTCAACATCCAGGATGCCGAAGTTTTGCGACTCGTTGCCTCCCGCCAGTTCGGCCGAATTAGGGTAGGCCCATAGGCTTTCGCGTGTGTTGAAGCTAACAAAGATAACACCCTTGTTGGCAAAGTTGCTGCCGACGAGCACGGGGTTGCTGCTAGATCCTGTCACCATGGCGCCACCATACATGTACACAAAGACGGGAAGACCAGGATTGCCATCTGTTGATGGCGGCTGTGGCGGTGCCTGAGGTCCTCCTGGAGGTGGGTTAGGTTGAGGGTGACAGGCACAAGGGGGAGGTGGAGGCCCACGTTTTGCCTGGGCTTGCGTAGATGGCACCCAGATGTTGAGATTCAGGCAGTCCTCGCCTTGCTGGGACCACGTGGTGGTGGTGATTGCCTGCGGGCATGTTGGCCCGTACTTTGTGGCATTGAGCACCTCGCCCTGCTTCAGTCTCCTTGCGTCTTGAGGGGCCTTCCACCTGCAAAGGAGAGTCAGTACACACGGGTCAGACGCACGTGGCAGCAGGGTATTACGTACCGGTTCTGTCCTCCGGTAGTTGCGGCAAATGGGATTCCAAGAAAAACGGAATTGCCATTGGAATCGGTAAAGCCTTTTACGCTTCCGTCCTGGAGGGACGCTACACCATCTGCGACGACCGCCCTTGCGGCTTTGGGCGGGAGTGGGTTAGCGCCTGCCACAGCGGCCTGGCCAAGGACGCCAACAAGCGAGAGGCTCTGTAGGCCATTGATGACAGAAGACGGGACCCTCATGATGCAAGGTGCAGGGAGGATGGCTGAGGGAGGGAACTATGGAGTTTGGGTGGTGGATGCAGATCTTGTTCGGGCGTCCACATGGCTATATACTTAGGGCACCATGCTGGCGGGACCAAGCTGGAGGGACTCAAATCTTACCGCCAATTGTACGCAGGACCATGTCACTGCCAAAATGCCGAAGTGTTGCCAGGCAATAGTTTAATGGGGCCCTCGTGGAAGAGTCTTTTCATCTCCGTTGATGCAGGTCCTGAGTGGGCCCATGGACGGGACCGACTCAGGATCCATGGTTCTGGCCGGACTAAGCGAATCCTACCAATCGCGACCCCCGCCTTATCGATCCGGTCCAAGAACTAGAAGCGCTAGACTCCGAGCACATGCTTTCCACGCCCACTTGGTTACTCGACACTGCCATTGCTCGACAACGCCATGTTCGGCTCCTTGCCGTGCCATTGCCACGAACCACTACGGATGCTCGGCTTTACCACTTGCCGCCCTCTGCATTTTGCACGCCGTCGACCTAGGTCCCTGAAAATGCGCCGCTGTCGATGAAGTTTCTGTCAGGCCTCCCGCAGTAGGAGAGAAAAAATAGCATAGTAGTAGCTTTGCCATAGCCATCTGAATCATCAATTGCACGAGCGAACAGGTGACTCGCCACAACGACCAGGATGAGCCCATCGTGTCTGTTTGACCATTGCCATCTCCTAGTCGATTCCCTTGCCTGCATTAACCATCTGGCCACTCGTTGGACGCCGACCTCCCGCGTAAGAATTATCGGCATCCGCGCCTTTGCACTTGCGCAATCAAGTTAGCACTTTGCAGCAACTGGCCCTTAATGATCTTCCCAGGGCTCCTCTGTCATATGAAGCATCTTAGGGGTTTATATGTGGAGGTATCCTTTAAGATCGGCGCTGTTCGCGTCAAGTACCCGCTGTTCGTCGCCGTCACCCTCGTTCGCGCATTGCACTCGTAGCACACTCGCCCCCAATTCGCTGCCAGAGAGTTCCAGGAGAGTGGAGCTGTCAAAGTTTGACAGCCAGAAGCCTTCACCGGTCCAGGTCGGTCTACGTCGGTCCAGGTCGGTGTGCGAAAAAGAACGAACAGGCACGCCATGGCTTCCAACGAACATGGCCAGGTGGTAAGTACTCTCCCCCCCTCTTCATCCCTTTCAATCTCCACGTCCAACGCTTGACGATGCCGTAGGTGTCATGGTATATTTGTACGATAGCCGCGGTTCCTTTTGTCGCTCTGCGTATGTGGACGCGATGGAAGAGAGTCGGCAGGTTTGGCATCGACGACTTTCTCGTTGTGCTCTCGTTGCTGTGTCTCATTGGGGACCTCGCCATCCAACAACACATGTGGAACCTAGGTCTTAGTCAGATCCCAGCAATACCGCCAGAGAACTTCAAAGGCATAATGCAGATGATTATCCCTGGATCAACACTCTACGTTACCTCTCTCTGGGCCATAAAGTTCGCCCTCGTCTTCTTCTACAAGAGTCTTGCCGCGCCAGGATCGCGACTTGTCACTGTGTACAATGTTGCGCTGGGGGGTTTGGTTGTCACATACCTCATCATCTTCTTCGATATCCTCTTCCAATGCTACCCACACGATAAGCGATGGTCCAATGACCCAACATGTGCGTCAGACACCTTCTCTTTCCCCACACATATGCTATTTGTAGAGTGAACTTGGGCTGACCTTGTGTAGATCAATGTAGTCCACGAGCCGCAGAGATCAACTACTGGATTACTATTTTTTGTAAGTTCACGCAGGTACCCCTGTTTCCCCATGACTCTTGCTTTGGTTTCTTTTTTTTTTGTGACAGGGCTGATATGCACGGCAGTTAATATCTTCACTGACGTAATCATCATTGCCCTTCCCATTACCATGGTATCCCGACTGCAGATGAAACTTAAGCAAAAGCTTGGTGTAGCCGCCATCTTTGCGCTTGGATTTCTTGTTGTCATTGCTAGTTGTAAGTCGTCGTCTTGGTCATACCTAAACTTTGCTAACGGGTATCACAGGCATCCGTGCCTACTACTCTAAACGCAACGAAACAATGTTGACGTGCACGGTCTCCATGATTGAAACCGCCATTGCCATCATAGCGACATGCCTGCCCGCCCTACGCTCTACCCTTCTCGGCACCAACACCACAAAAGGTAGCTCAAGCGGCTATGGCGGTCGGCACTATGAGCTCTCATCTGCGCGGCGCAAGGCTAGCGAGAACCGGCTCCATTCATCAAAGATAAACAGCAGCCATCAAACCAGCAGTACCGGCGGCCTGCAATCTCACACTCGCGCCAACGGCTCCGAAGACTCGCTCTTCTCCAACGAAAGCCTGAATGCTGCCGAGACAGGGACGGCAGGAACAGCGGTAAAAGGCATTCGCGTGAATACGCAAATCGAGACGATGTTTGAGGAAGGAAGACACGATAGCAGTAGTCCAAACGTTAAGAGTCCATTTGCTTGAGAAAAACTTCTTACGCCGCCTCCCTCATAGCGAGGGATTAAAAGTTAATAATCATGTTGAACGTTGCAAAAGAAAAGATGAATGATGCAGGCTGGATGAATGGGAGAGGGACATCAGGCAGGGCCTGACTCCCCTTCTTATACGAACCCAAACGGCCTCTCTTTGCCTATCTAATGTTACAAATTAATGCCCTTTCGGGACATCACACCGATGGGGCCACACCGATAAGGCACAACCCCCTCCCCAGAATAGTATAGAATCCTAATCACCTCGACTTTCCTAAAACGAAAGCCAGCCAAAAAAACACACACACACACACACACACACTCCCCGCAGATAAGGCTGAAAAGCCGACTCTTTTTTTTTCAATTTCCCCGCTCAAATGCATGAAAATGAAATCCTTCCTCGGCTCCCCCTTTCCGAGGCGCGCAAGTGTGTTCTTGGTTGCATAAATGGAATCCGTCAACGGATTTCAAGAAGGGAAAGGGAAAAAAAATGGGCCTTTATNGGGGGGGGCAAGTACATGCGAATTTCCAAGGGAGAGTGAGATTTGTAGGTGAGATAAACGGTATTCTAAACAAGTATGGTGAAAGTGTAAATGATAACTTTTTTTGGGAGGGGAGGTTGAGTTGATGATTGGTGATTGGCGCAAAACCATTCGACAACAACCACTTTTTGCGTGATCAACTTTTTTCCCCCCCCTTCCAGAACAGACGAAATGGCTATTCGGATCTTTACCTATTCAAGAAACACTTACTTCCCTTTTTAAGGGGGAAGTGTTTAGATTTTGCTTTAAATGATGTGAAATCAGAGCTCTTTTCTGGGGAGGGGGGGGAGGGGGTCAAGGAAGATGATCCTAAGGCCCGGGAGCACCGATGACTGATTATGCGATGGGAGTCCAAGGCCGTAAGAAACACCGAGAAGGATTCGTTGTTTGCACGCATGCGGTGTGTAAGTACTCAAGGCGGTGGGGAAGGGTCCGGTTTTTATTTATTGCTTACATGCTTTGCTTGAAACGGGGGAGCGCCGATGCAGCATCGTGGTTGTGGTGAGATGGAGTTGTTGGATCATGTGAAGATGTAAGTGGGTTGAGTGGGATATATGGGTGATGGAGATGGGATAAGATGCAGATGATAGACAGCACGAGAAATATTTCATGGACAAGAATGAATTGAATAAGCCACAAACATGACAGAAAGAGAGGAAAGATGATGGCGCCCATTTCTCCCAATACGCCACGTTCAGGCCCATCAAACGCCCAGATATGCGTACTATACTCGCCCCGATTCAGAAAACACGAGACAATAAAAGGCCCGAGAAAGGATAGAGAAGAAAACCAAAGATGACAACGGATCCCTCAGACCTCGAGGCCTCCAACCATGTAGAACAGCAAATAAGCCTCGGCAGCGAGAACCTCAGCCTCACTGACAAGCACGACTTTGCTATCGTCAAACATGAACCAATCGCTTCCTTCGCGGCTGTAGCTAATATAGTGCCCAGAGTCCATTTTGCCCTTGTGCACAATGACACTGCTGAGCTCGTACACAAGAGCATTTGCAGGGCTGTTGATGTTGTAATTTGTCACGGGGATACCGGATGCCTTTGCCGCGCGCAGAGCCGCCTTGTGGGCGGCGGTGTAAGGATAGATATCTAGCTTGACTGGGAAGCGAACGGGTGTTTCAATCTTGGAGGATGTGGATTTGGTGTGCTCGAAGCGCTGGAACTGCATGTTAGTTTATTGGACAAAGAGGGTTCCAAGGATTTGGGTGACGGTACCTTGAGGTGGATGGATAGCACGGGGGGCAATCGCTTGATGCTGAGTTGCTTGGTGGCGTTCTGCGGGCTGTCACAATTTCTACATGTGTATTCTGCTGAGCCGAGTTTCTCTTTTGCGGTAAAGCGCTCGAGACAGTCGCGGAGATCCAAGGGCGTTTCTTCGCCCTTTTCGGCATTCATTTTTCGCTTCTTGCTCTGGATGCGTACGTCGAGACTGAGGTCCATGTAAGGATCCTGTGCTGTGGTAACATTTCGGCAGCTGTCGCATGTTACTGTGCTTGACAGCTTCCCACAAAATGTCTGGTGTATGATACATTTGCAATCCTCCGAATCGTCTGTTGATCCACCGTTTGCAAGATGCAGGGTGTTGAGTATAAACTGCATGTACTCGTGGGCATCTTGCTGTTGATAACCTGCAAGAGCCTCACCTGCTAACCAGCTTCCCATGAGCATGCTGACAGCGCCAAAGCCTTCTGTTTTTTCGGCCGAATGGAACTCGACAAACATTTCGTCGAGTGCGCAGCTCACGCACGACTCCTTCTCACAATCTGTTTGCTTATGCCCCTCGGAGAGGTAGAAGTTGCGTATGAATGGGTTGTGGACTAGTGTTTGTAAGATGACGCTCATGAAGCATGTCTGGCCCATGTTGTAGAGACCACGCAGGCCTATGGCTCGGCAGGGGAGAAAGGTCGAATTGCTGATGACGAGTTTATGATCTTCAGTCGTAGTCGTGTCTTCGTATTTTCGCTTCTTGCCTATAATTTCGTCAGTCAACTGGTGTCGCTCCAAGCTGTGTTGCGATCATGTGCGCACCCTTCTGTAGCCTCAAGATCTCCAGCGCCTCGTCGTATATGAAGTCCTGACAATTACCGCAGTATACATTGCCATCGCGCGATTCAACAGCTGGTGCGAGTTAGCCTTTGCGCATCCCGCGCATGATGCGGCACCTACAGAAGCAGTGCGATTTGGTTTCAAAGTGTAGATCGCGGTCGGCCTCGGTCATGATGTTGGGACACTGCAAGCACAGGAACAATGGCTTGAGTGAGACGATGGGTTTCGAATCCGCTGTCGCATTATACGTCTGGGCTATTATACTCGGTTTCTCGTGAATGTTCTGGAGGATGGCCCGGTAGTGCTGGAGCGTCTGCTTGCGCGCGTTCTCGAACATTTCGCCCATGTGCTCTGGCTGGTCGTCAGCGCCGTCTAGGTGTGCGTGATGAAGCAGCAGCCTTACCACAGCCATACTCGATATGCGCCATCTGGCTGCTAGGCACGATGTTGCCCTTCGCATTCTTAACAATCTTGGGCGACGCCAGCGCCGACGCCTTGGGGGCGACTGCTATCGTGTCCATGGTGCCGACTAGGAAGCAATGTAGAATCGATTGTGTGCGCCTTTAATCCCACATGCTAGAAGCGCAAGATATAGGCCTAGCCAGCCGTCGCGATGTGCAACGTGGGAGGGGGGATATTCTGGGGTTGCGGGAGGCGGACCTGCATAGTACCAATCGCGTCGAGCAGGAGATGCGTCACTAGCGCATCTCTCGGGACCTTGACCACTCATTCCGATTCCGATTACCACCCTCGAGACTTTATTCTTCAAGAATGGTCATGGATTTAATAACAGTCGTACTTTGTCCAATATCTGCAGTATTGTGCTCGCTTGTAGCATGTCTTTACCATGGATTGGACATTACCTATCTGTCATTCGAGGCCGTTGGCATTACCCTATGGACAAGAAGAATGGGCGCAAATTAATGTCGTAGTATGCATGCACAATTGCAGAGCCACAAGTACCTATTCATGGAACAAAACATCTGACAGCATTCTAGTAATCCATAAGCGCCGCCTTCCAGGTGTATTGGATGGATAATTCACAGACGATTCAGTAAGACTTCATATTACCATACCCATGACTCGTATAGCCGATGAACATGCAAGGTACATGTACCGAGGCCGCTTCTCGACTTACACCCCCGCCTCTGAAACGTCATGTAAGAATAAAGTCGAGGATAAATCCAAACAGTATCCATCGCATCTCACAGTGAGGAAAATATCCCAATTTCTGGACTGCTGAAAACATACGCACATACATCTTTTCTCCCAAACATACCTAAGAACCTAACACTGCCCCATTGCACAACCCGGTACATCCGAATCACTTTTAGAAAAAAGAAAGAAACCACAAACAATGCCGTCCACCTCTTCCCTCCCAGAGTCAAACATATCCCTGACCTACACTACACCTTCCTCCCCTCCCCATCTGACCCACACGCCTGTCCCTACACCGTCTCCGAACGAGCTCTTGATAAAAGTCCATGCCGCAGCCATAAATCCCGTCGACATACAACTATGGGGAAACCCTATTGTAGGTTGGCTAGCTGGAAAAAAAGAGAAGGGAATAGGGAGGGATTACTCTGGTGTGATTGTTGCCGTGGGGGATGAGGTGAAGAAGCAAGGGAGGTGGGAAGTCGGTGATGAAGTGTTTGGATTGTATAATAAACCTGTACGTTATTCCATTTCTTATTTCCCATTTCCAAAGTCCATCTTTTCTCTGTCCCTCCAAAGTGTTACAAGGGATAAAGTTCTATTTTACATGTCCATCCTCGCTCCCCTTCCCATACAGAAACAACCCCCCCCCCCCCCCCTCTCTCGAAAAAAACAACAACAAAAAGTGCAGAAACTAGAATCTATACAAGAAAAGCACCAAACTAACCGCCATTTTCACGTTCAAATAAAAAAAAAGGCCGCAGAAGGAACATTCACCCACTACCTCGCCGTCTCCCCCTCCACGTCTCCCCTGACCAAAAAACCGCCTTCGCTCCCCCACACCTCCGCAGCCGCCATCCCCCTCGTGGCTCTAACCGCCTTCGCCTGCCTCGCGTGGCTGCCTGCTTCGCCGGGCTCGGCCAAGCACCCCTACCGCATCATTGTGTCGGGCGCAAGCGGGGGCGTAGGAACGCTGTGCGTGCAACTGGCCAAGCGGCTGTACGGCAGCCACATCACGGCCATTTGCTCGTCGCGCAACGCGCAGTTTGTGGGCGAGCTGGGTGCCGACGACGTGATTGATTACACTGCCCAGGATGTCCGGCAGACGTTACTGGAAAAAGTGAGCAAAGAAGGTGCGGCGTACGATTTGTATGTCGACTGCGTGGGCGGGATGGAGGTTTTTGGGTATTGGACGCAGCTGCTGCATAGACGCGGGGCGTACGTTACGATTGTGGGGGATAAGACGGAGAGGACGGCCATGGGGGGGCCGCTGACGTATTTTACTTATCCGAGACAGGTGGCGAGGTATGTAAGGGGGTGGCTTGTGGGACCGCGGTATGCCAATGTTATGTTGCTTGATAAGAGTGAGTGTTTGGAGCAGGTGGCGGGGTTGGTGGAGAAGGGGGAGGTGAGGGTTGTGGTGCAGGATGTTGTCCAGGGCATTTTGGATGAAAAGACGTATAAGGAGGCGTGGGAGAGGGTTAAGGGAGAGATGGTGGGAGGAAGGGTTAGGGGGAAGATTGTTGTTGATGTTTCTAGTTAGAGAGAGAGAGAGAGAGGGAGAGTTTGTTGGTGGTGCACAAAGTAATGTTTCATTTGGCTAACAAAGTATGGATAAAATGAGGTGTTGAGAAGAGAAAACGCCCTTGTTCTGTTGCCTTGACTTGGTCCCTCCTATGCTACAAGCCTTTCGACCATAGCTACCCCCTCTCTAGCACTGAAGCTTGGCTGGGCCGGGGATCTTGTACTGACCGTTGCCAGTGGGCTGACCTTGAGAATTGTAGATGTTGACTTTGATACCGGCATCATCGGCCCGGTAGGCGCCAGGGAAGCTGACAGTGGTTCCAGTCTTTGATCCTGAGGCTGAAACGTTGACTTGAGCACATCCCTGTGGAAATGTTAGTAAAGGTTTAGTTGCATACAGTCTCAACTTCTTACAATGTAGAACTGTGCACCGCCAACGGAGCCAGCGCTGTGGAGCGCAATCAGCTCAGCTCGCACGAGATACTGGCCTGAAGCAATGCAGGAGGGCACGGTGAACTCGGTCCATCCGTTGTTGGAGATCATGCGGTCAACTCCCCAGGTAGTGCCTTCAAGACCGTCCTCGGCGACCTTGAACCATTGCAGGCCAGAGGGGGAGGCACTGGCTGCGTTGGAGACCTTGGCCATGTAGAAGATGGCGGGACCTTTGTGCGACTTGGCAATGGGGTGGTCTGGGTCGTTGGCACCTCTTTTCGGGGTTAGTCATGGATCATTCCAGAGTGTAGGATTGCAAAACGTACTGGGCTCCTCCAACGACATGGCCCCACTGGACACCAACCCTGTCACCGCCCCTTACATCAATGACCTTGCTCGAAGAAGAGACACCGGTGTTGCAGGCCATGGCACCATCGTTGACGTTGGTGATGGGGTTGTTGGACGAGGCAACACGAATACCGTTGCCTAGACCAAAGTCCTGACCGTTGACGCGGACACGCTGGGCAATGGTGTGAGCCGACCCAAGAGCGGGCAGCAGAGCAATGGCAGCGGCGAAGAACTTCATACTGAAAGAGTGGATGAGCGTGTAGTAGTGATAGTGGATGAGTGCTAAGGCAAGGTGAGGTGCCTTGTTCTGTCGTCTTGCCCATGTCTTATATAGTCAGTGGTTCATGGTTGCCATGATAGACAAGATAGTGAGCCATTTCAGGACAGTGAGGCCAAGCCTTGCCGTTGTCTACGTCAATCGCTGGGCTGCAATCTATTCACGCCACATGGGAACAAGAGCGAAATGGCGTGCAGGAGTTGGCATGCACTCGAGGCTTTCTTGGCGGTAGTTCCGGCGGCTGCTGTCACCAACCTCCCAATTAGGGACATGGCATTTAATCAAGTGGAGCAGATGGACGATTGTGCCTAGGCGGCGATATATGGCGTTTCGAAATAAATGCGCCGTGCAATCAAGCACCCGGCAAGCATTGCTTGGCAGTGGCATTTGTGTGCTGTCGGTTAATATATATCCGCGACAAAGGCCCGTGAGCGAGGCCTCATGACCGGTTTCTGGAAGCGGCCATGTGCCATGACTTGTGCATGGTACTCTTTCTTTGTTGTTTGCTGTTCGGGGAAACAACGGGTATGCTGATGGTGTTGATTTGACTGGAAATGAGCTTGGGGGTTTAGTTGTCCTTGTTCTTCTTCTTCGGGTTAGATGTACATGATTAGATGCTGATAGGGGTAGTTGTGTATACTAGTGAGTATGGGACGGAGGGCTGCTTGTTGAGCCGGCTCCGCGGCGAGTACTTCGCCAATCTCGTTTGCATGCAAACCAAGTGCCCATGCAATCCGGAGCCGGTATGCCATGTCCAAAAGCAGGTGGCGGAGCGAAAGATGGGTGTAAGCGAGAGGAGGTACAATTTCTCGATGGACATATAAAGGGGAGTGTGCAGCGGACGTCGTTTGCAAGGCAGTTGGGCATCATGTGCAACGTCTTGTTTGGGAGCGGTGCGTGGTCGAGAGTTGGGGGCCGGAAGTGGAAGGTGTTTGAGATGCTTTTGCTTGGGCGATTAGCGGTTCCATGCTGGGATGGTGGAGGGCGCTAGGCGAGAGGCATTGCAGGTGTATTTTCTCAGTGCTGGCCAATCAGCAGGGCGGGAATTGCAAATGCTGCACTAGAGGACGAGGCACTGGCCACGCTGCATCTGCTGCAGCTACTGTATTCCTACCCGAACATGTATGTGTAGTTATAGACATAGTTACTACATACTATGTACGCATATACCGAGCAAGTCACGGGGCTTGCCTTGCAGGCTCGTTGGACTGCACGCAATCCTGGACCTGCAGCTTGCGGAGCAGTGGTCGTCTTGGTGGATTCGTACATGACGACACTGGAACGGGTCTAATGCTCGGGTTTCTTGGTTGCTTCGACTAGCGATGGCACTTGGGTCTAGGGTAGCATTGGAGCAAAGCCGTCTTCCAGGGGACACGCGGGTTGCAGCACGCAGACGGGAAGGCTGGACAGAGTTGGCAGCCAGTGTCCATCTGCCACGGATGGCCGTATTCGCACTGATGTGCACAAGCATGTCTCCAACTGCAACTGCATTTCCGTCCTGGTCCGGCACGCTCGGCTGATGTTGTCCTCCCCCCACTACGTCTCCACGTGTTTGAGCCGCGAGTACTGGCATAGCACGTACACATGTACAGACACACATGCACATACAGCAGCCTACACGTGTCGATAGGGGCGTGTCTATGCAACACTCGCTCCCTCGCTCAGGCACTCCAAGATGCGGCCACTGCTCAGTCGCCCAGGCAACGACCTCGCACCACCATGTATATGTACATAGACGCATGTATATGCGGGCGGCACATGTGTGGCGACTCGGAAGACTGCGCAACCGGACGGGCTCGAGCAGCCATGGTGATAGGCCAGAGGCGGAGCAGCGCCACAGACCAAGGCTCGCGTCGGGCAGATTGGGCTGGTTTGTCGCATCTGCGCAATGACGATGACGCTCGTGTGTTGTGCATTACATCACTCGGAGAAGAGAGCTTGGATGCCTCCTCTCGCTGCCAGAGCCAGGCCTTATACCCCGTTGCCGCCTGTCCCTGACTCCCACTGCACGCAGCTCCTCGACACAATCACTCGCCTGGAGCGTGCGCCCATTTTTGCCCATCATTGACGCACCTGCATGCTGATCTACGCTGTACATCAACTCTCCCGTACCCTCGATTCGACTTTGTTCCCGTTGGCGCCCCACGCAATCTCCGCCCTGGCCTCCCCGCCGCCTCCCTTGGCACGACCCTGTACGTCACCACCAGCCACAGAACCCGCGCGGCACTTGCTCTCCCCGTGAACCCTTTCCTCCGTATATCAGCCAGGGTCCCCCTCCCCCAAGCCTGCCATCCCGTCAACTATCCCACATGGCCATGCAGCGACCACTCACGCCCTCGGCCTCCTACCAATCCGTCCCACAGGTCGACGATCCAGCCCACCTCAGCCGCGGATACGGCACGGGCACAGCCGACTTTGCATCCTCTCCACCACAACCTCACTATGATCGCTCCCGCCTCGGCAGATTCGAGGAAGACTTCGACGCGCCCACTCGGGGCACTTCGGTCATTGACGCCGACATGCACCCGCGCTCCTCCTCGCGCTCCTCTACGCTGAACCAGGGCCTCACGCCTTCACGCGGCGGTACCTTGAAGAAGAAGGGCTCCGTAAAGAGGAGCGCCAGTCTCAAGCGCAGTGGAAGCAGAAAGTCCCTGCACGCTGGCAGCATTCGCGGCGTGGCCACCGACGACCAAGAGCGTGGCTACGATCGCGAGAACAGTGTCTTCTACACACCCGTCCCTACCAAAGGCTCGCCCACCGAAATCCTAGCAGAGCGCTTTCAAAGTATGTCGTCATTTGGCCCATGGTTGAACTGCCCACTAACACGTCGCAGCCTGGCGCAAGTTCCTAAAAGACCTCATTACCTATTTCCGAGAGGTCGCTGCTTCCTATGAACACCGGGCCAAGTCGCTCCTCAAAGTCTCAAACGTAATCAACAACACCAATGCGCCCTCTGCGCTCCTCACCGAGGGAGGTCTGAACGACGCCAACCGCATACTCCGCGATTTTCATAAGCAGGCAATTGCCGAAGCCAACAAGGCTCGGGATGTCGAGACAGACGTCATCAACCAACTCAGTAGCCTCCGCGCCGACCTCGCGCAAAAGATCAAGGAAATCAAGTCTCTTTCAGGCGACTTCAAAAACAACGTTGACAAGGAAAAGGAAATTACCAGAAAATGTGTGGCAGCACTTGAGGAAGCCCTCGCAACAGCCGAGGCAGACCCTACAGCTGCTGCTGGCAAGGGTGACCCATATGTTGTCCGCCTGGGCGTCGAGCGACAGGTCGAGAGGCAGATTGACGAGGAGAACTACCTACACAGGGTGAGTGGCTGCACTTGCGCAGAAACCATACCAGACTGATCGAGATAGGCCTACCTTAACATTGAAAACTCTGGTCGCGAGCTCGAGTCGATTGTTGTTGGCGAAATCCAAAAGGCCTACAATGCTCTTGCCAGCATTCTCAAGCGCGAAGCTGATGAGCAGTACAACACGGTTGAAAGACTGCGGAATGGCCCAATTGCCATGCCCCGTGACCTCGAATGGAGCAAGTTCGTGAGAAGCGATCCTCACTTTGTAGACCCCGACCTGCCATTGCGCAAACTCGAGGACATCCAGTATCCCGGCAAATATCACCCAGCCACCACAGAGGTTAGGGCCGGTATGCTGGAGAGAAAGAGCAAGTACCTCAAATCATACACCCCAGGCTGGTAAGCAATTCCTTTTCTTTAACATGATCCCCCCTAACAAGCCACAGGTATGTCTTGTCGCCCACTCATCTCCACGAATTCAAATCTGCCGATCGCATCTACACTCAGCCTCCAGTCATGTCCCTGTATCTGCCAGATCAGAAGCTTGGTTCTCGTTCCCAACCCGGAAGTTCCTCCCACAAGTTTGTTATCAAAGGCCGCCAGGCTGGATCCATGCACCGCGGCCACACTTGGGTATTCCGGGCCGAGACTTATGATACAATGGTAGCCTGGTTTGAAGATATCAAGGCTTTGACAGAGAAGAGTGGCGAAGAACGCAATGCTTTTGTTCGCCGACACGCAAGCGTTAGGAGCACCAGCGCTGGCAGCGCCCGCTCGGCCAGCTCCGACGGCGGTCTCGAGGAAGACGAGGCAGACGCCGTTCCATTTTCCGCCAACCAGTCAGTGAAAGATCAAGCCAGGGACCAGTCCTCGACGCGACCTACACGGCCTTCACCAGGTGGGCGATTTCCGTCTGATTTAATGGTCAACCGTAACTTACAAGCGCCCCTTTCGCCATCTAGTGGAAGTTCGGAGGTCAATTATGATTTAACAACTGCGTCTGGGGGACTGCCACAAGAAATGCACCCCATGCATCTCGCGCACGAATCAGCCTACCAGCCCCTTGAGCCTATGCAGCACGCACAGTATGCCCAGCCAAACCAGCAGGAACCGCAATACACGCACGAGAATCCATACGCTACCCAGCAATCGTACGCACCTGCAGCCCACGACTATCCTGTTCAACCTGTCCAATCTGAGAGCTACCATCCATTCTACCCTGAAAACGACCACTCCCTTCAACGCCACGATAGTAACAACTATGGTGAATGGATTGCGCCCGCTGCCGGGGGAGCAGCGACTGCAGCCCTAGCGAATGAAGCATACCGGAAGAAACAATTGGCTCAGCAACACGCAGAAGCCCGACAGCAAGAATTGGACGGACAGTCTCAGACAATGAACTATTCAGGTGACCGTTCTGCTCCCGTCCCTGAGCAATATCCTGGTGAGGTCAAGCCTGATCAAATCGATGATACCGGTTACGTTGCACCCAATGTGCAACCAACGCATGCACCAATCGTTGCTCCTATCATGGACAATCAGACCCATCCTCAGCATACCAATGGTAATGAATCACCAGTCACTACGTCGTCTTTTTTAGGCGAGTCTGAGGTAGGTGCCGCCCTTACCTCTGGCAAGACTGTCAACGGCGGCCCTGTTCCTGTTGAACCGGTAGACACTGCTGAGGAAATGGCGCACCCTGGAATGGTCAAGCGGACGGGCACCGACTTCAGTGTTAGCGATCTCCATGTTCCGGGTCAGTATCCTAGGACCAGTATCGGTGACGCCACAATCACTCCAAGGGTACCTAACGGGGTTGCAACAACTCAGTAGCTTATGGCATCGCTGAGGCACGACTGATTGTATCATGTGTATGAGTATGTTGACTGGGTTACGGATGATGAACTACACGACTGGGCCTACTGGTGCATGGTAAAAGGTTGGGAATGGAGGCTTTTAGCCAAGGACATGGGTATGGGGTTGCACGCGGGCGGTCTTTTCTGCGGCCAATCTTGTTTTTTTGTGATTTATCTTCTTCTCGTTTCTGAGCGAGAGCTTTACACGCTCGTTGCGGACTTTTCTTCTACCGCTCTCCTCCTGCCATTGATACCCTATGCGATATTCCCCGTCTAGATAGCTTTTTTTGGAATTGAATCATTCGCTGGTTTGATGTGTAGTTACAAGTCATTTACAGATCTCCGTGTAAGAATGTATACAGGCCCTTCTGACTCGAGGACGAGTGTGCTTGAAACCTCGATGCGTCAATTCCTTCCCACTACACTTTCAAGAGTCAACACCCTAACGGAGGGTAATACAAAGCCGAGTTTCAAACTTCAAGCCGCAGTGGAGGAATTATTCAAGAGTTATTGAGGAAAATTCATGCGTTGGCAACCAACCCCCGCCTGATGAAACACATACATACCCAGAAAGAAAGAAAAAAGAAAAAGTATCCGCAAAACCTTGCACCTTCTGTAACACATGCCATTCGTGTTCGGCTTCGGTAAACACAACTCATATTAATTACCCGGCTTCGTTGCTATGCGCCATTACTCAGAATCCAAAGAAATGCCCTTCATCATCGCCATGGGTGATAGCCGTGTGTTCTAGAAGGTCAAATAAAAACGCATCCTTGTGTGGTAACCAAAAAAAAAAGGTCAAAACCGAGTCTGGATCCTATCGGTAGAAAACTAGAAAAATCGATGTGTAGTATAAGCAACCGATGCCAAGGCCTCGATTGATGAAAGAACGTATGTTCGTGGATTTTTTTTGTGCGTACCGTGCGTATGCAAAAACACCTATTTCATACAGAACACGTAGATTGTGTACATGAGGCGAAAAAAAAAGTTATGCAAAAGGAGAGAAATATGCACAAACAAAGCAACACGTGCAAAATGTAGGGCTGCGCCTGCGCCTCACGCACACACGCACACACACAGCCCCTTTGATTGTGCTGCAGTTTACGAGATAGGAGAAGAAGAGGGTTTTGCGCCTCGTTTTGACTAACGACTTTATGACTACTTACTACTCTCAACACAAATGTGAAAGTTTCTCCTAGTTCAAGCCACACACACACACACCCATAGTTACACTGCATATACGTAGTAATCAACTATACTTAACTCTGTGGGTATCATTGAACCAGCCAACCATCCCCACCCTAGTAGCGCCACTTTGCCTTCCCCCCTCCCCCCCAAAAAAAGGCTTACCATTACTTATTACTTGCATAGCAAGTGTACTTACTACTTGAGTAGCACAAAAAAAAAAGCCACACCTCCCCCCCGCCCCCTTGGCCTGGCCAGCGATTTTTCCCCAGTATTAATCTCCGCACAAAACACCGACCTCTTCTCCCACCTGTGTGGCGAGGCGAACTCGACCCACCCCCCTAAGTTAGTCCTTTATTTCCCTGAGTGAGAGAGAAGCGGGGGGGGATGGGGGGAGATGTTGTTCGATATCTCTGGGAATAAGACTTGTTTTCATCATACACACACACGTCCCTTATGTTTAGTTAGAACAAAAAAAGTGGCTGGGGCTAGCCTTGTCCGTCGTCACTTGGGGATGGGGGGGNAGAGAGAGAGAGAGAGAGAGAGTGTGTAAGGAGTTTTTTTCTGCGAAAGTAGAGTGTATGGTTGGAGGTTCTGTATTCCTTTTTTTTTCTTTGAAGAAGGGGGGGGGGAGGAAGGGGGGAGATCGGTTGTTGGTGTCACGCGATTATGGGGTGGTGGGATACGAAGGATGAGGGCTTTTTGGACTGGATTCTCCTTATTTCGCGAGCGGGCTTGGTTTGGATTGTTTCTATTACGTGGTAGGGAATAGAGGAGAGATGAGTGGGTTGGGGTTGAAACGGGGTAACATAATCAAGTGACAATGACGAAACAAGTTCATGTCGCAATGAACCATGGTACATGCGAATGATATGTTCAGGGTTGGCGAGAAAAGCCGTCGACAGAGAGTCACGCACATTTAATGATTGGCGGAAAATGTCACCAAGACCGAAGGACACAAAAAGAAGAGGAAAAGATTGACCACTTAGCATAGCCCTTCACCCAATGATTACATGTAAGAAACGGGAACAAAGGCCCGGTAACCACGGTCGTTTGACCTCGTCCACCCCTTGACACCATCCCGCGCTCACCAAACCCACCTCACCAAACTCGTTCCTGACCAGCAACTTGTGTTTCTCCCTAGTAGTTATTGTTTACTCGCACCTTACTACACCTTCCCCCCTCCCACCTACTCCCCACCAAGAAAACAAAATACCAAGGCCGAGAAAGTCACCTCCCTCGCTCCGCCTCAAACAACGTCATGCACAACCCATGTCCATGTATACCCTCTAAACCCAACCCACCTTCCCAAAGCCGTAACTATCCCCAAGTTTAAGCCTCACAATACGCGTTGTGCTCGCGCGCACGCATGCACAACACAAAGCATTAAAGAAAAAACCCCTGCGCCCTTCAACGCATACGTAACCCCCGAAAAGTCTTGGAGTTTTGCCGTGGCCAGGACTAACAATACACACACACACACACACACACGTGGTAGTAAATCGTTTCCCCCCCCCCCTCCCCCCAAAGAACAACAAACGGTGGACGCGCAACGCACGCACGCGCATGCATCGTCATGTCAGTAGACCTAGGTTAATCCCCCGAACGTATAACCCACCTTACCTATGCAAAAGCCGTACTATAAGATGATCACAAAGCAATAGAAACGTTTTACATCATCGATATATATATATTTTTCTAAAAAAAAATGTTTTATTTTTAGGAATTATCAAAGTAAAAGGAGAAGGAGAGAAAGAGAGAGAGGAAGGGGAAAGAGAAAAAAAAAATACGGGGACAAAAAGTTACGTAGGTGCCGTGTGTGTGTAGGGATGCATGCATGTCAATAGTATAGGTACAAGTAAGACGGGCTTTTGATGACGACGACTTTGGTGCGAGTGCGCGTGTGCGTGTAAATGTCTGTTATTGTACTAACCCAGCCCGCGTCTCTCTTTCTCTTTCCAATACGAACCCCCCTTCCCCCATAAGGCTGAAAGTTTAATCCTTGGCCTTTTATTTTCCTTTTTGACTTTTGCTCCCCCCCCCCCCCCCTGTTCTTTCTTCTTTCCCTCTTCCCTGGCTCTCTCTCTCTCTCTCTCTCTGCCTTGCTATATCCCTTGCTAATGCGGGTGTGACCCGGCGCTCGGATCTAATAGGCTCTCTAGTTAAAAAAAAAAAAAAGAGGAGAGAAAAAAAATGATACGTACGAGGAAGAATACAAAGTGGTCAAAGAAGAGTTGGTAACAAAATACGGTCGTATGACATGTTGTATGACACGCCAATGGCTATTTCTACGTAATCAATAAAGTCACCGTACTCGCTTTGTATCCAATCGTAGCTACCCACATAACACATACTTTACTCCATGTTTGTGCTGTTCCACAGGAACCTGCTGTTGGTTTGAATTTTTTGTATTGGCCGAGACGATAGAGTAGACTATTGGACGCCCGTTGGATCGGCTACTACTACATGGTGGGCAGTACACGTGGGCGTGCCTGTTTTGAGATTTTAGGTTTTTGCTGATTTTTTGGAATACAAAGGAGCGGCAGGACAGAAACTAATGTCCTTGAAAGGGTGGTTGGGGGGGTAAGGAATGTGGTGGACGTAAGATTACCGTCCGCTATAACAAAGAACAAAATATAAGGGAGGGACTTTGGTGCCCGCAATGTATGTGCGCCAAATGTTAAGTTTGTAAAGTTGCCCATTTCAATTGCCCGGTATCTAACACCCCACGAACGCCCAGATGGAAAAAAAAAGGAAAAAAAAAGAGGATAAAAAAGAACAAAGAGGATCGGGATATAACACGAAGAGGGACAAAAACTCTGCTACTACAAATCTTTCCTGTCCTCGTTCAATTCTGGCTCAAGGTGTATCCGTCATATACTGAATAGTAACGGGCTAAATCGCAAGATGATTCTTACTCTCGTCGTCAATGCGTGGTCGCGCACACCGTAGTGCGAGACATGAGGTGAAGGAGATTAGGTGTGTGCGGTATCGAGGGTATTGAGGTTTTGTTCGTCAGCGACTCCAACCGTGGAAAGGGCTGAGGTGAAGAGCGCATTCGTTGTGCGCAGTGTTTCTTATTTTGACGCTCATACATTGGTCACCTGGTAACATGTTAGCATGTAGTCACGAGGGTGTTCGGACATGTCTTGTTTACCTTCAATATCCGCCTCGAGTAGTCCTCGTTATCTGCGATACTGCCGTTGCTCTGCCTTCGGTCCATGAAGCTCGGGTCCAAACGAGAGTCATTCATGGACGAATTGCTCGTGTGCAGCTTGCCACTGCCAACGAATGAGTTAACATTGGCGGCGTTGCGACGGTAGTCTTCTTCAGCCTGCTGTTGACGTCTCCGGCGCAACAAGAACCAAACACCGAACAGAATGGCTGCCAGTCCTAGTATGCCAACAACAACGCCCACTGCGATGGCGACTGTGTTGGGCTTGTTGTCCTGTGGAGGTGGCTCAACCGGAACGGCGGTGGCACTGGCAACGGCAGTGGATGATGGTGCAGTGCTGGATGTCTTTGGTGCTAATGAGCTGCTGCTGGATGATGATGATGATGGCTGAAAGTAGTCGACTTGGTTCCTGGTGTTGCCGGTGAGGACAACCCACAGAAGATTCTTACCACCACCTGGGAGGGATTAGCACGGTGCGCACACACACAATGGTATTTTACATGTTTGACTTACAGCCAGTGGTGTCATCACCAGAACATGTGGTGCTACATGTCGCGTTACTGACTTGCCATTCTTTGGCAGGGATTTCGTCTCCACACCAGCAGTTTTCACCGTCGGACAAACCCATGACGTCCTTGTCGAGTTGCAGACAGACCAGTTGGCAGTTACCCGGCGATTGGAAGTTGTACGAGCCGTGGTTCTCGAGCGGTAGGCCAGTCTCGAAGCAGCCGATGCTGGTCATGGCACTGGCGGGCTTTGTGACGGTGGGTGTTGTGATGGGGTCCTTGATGGTTGGGGTGCCAGTTTGGGCAGAGGCCATGGCGACCATGGAAGCCGCTGCGAGAGCGGAGGCAAATGTGAAGGAGACCATGGTGGTGGACTGGTAGAGTGGTCCTGTGGCGATGGGTGTGATGCTTTGGCGGTCCGGTCAACGGCGTGTCGGTTGACCGTAGGGGTGCTTGAGTGCGAGTGTCGCACTGTTGGCCTTTGCGCAAGGGCGTCTACACATGCAAGGCCTCAGTAGGCAGTGCCTGGATGGGCGGCGAGATGAGGCAGGCGACGGGTTGATGGAGCGAGATGAGGGCGAGGCTGCGGGTGGTGCTGGACGATGGGCGTGAGAAGGGTGAAAAGGGTCGAGTGTGGGTTGACTGGGTTGGTTGGGTGCCGGGGCGATGGAAGATGGGATGGTGACAGTCGACGGTGGTGCCTGTGTGCGAGTACGGGTGACTGGGTACAGGCAGGCAGGAAAGCAGGCTCGGTCAACGATGCCCAGCGGCGTCTGGAGAGGTTGAAACCGAGGGCGTAGGGACAGGACAGATGTCGATGAAACGGTTCGGATGCCCCGTGGAATGCGCCCCTGAGGCGGTAGGCAAAAGGAAGGAAAACAGTCGGGGGAAGGGGCGATGGGAGATGCGGAGGGCAGCGGTCAGGTCAGGACAGGTCAGGTCAAACGATTGTGGATGTATGTCGATGGTAAGGGACAGACGGGTGAAGCAGACAAACGAGAGGAGGCTCGGGCCTTGACAGAAGTGGATCGCGGGTGAAGAGCAAAGCAAAGCAGAGCCAGGAGAGGGCGCGCCCAGTCAGCAGTCGGGATGGGATGGGCAGGCAGCGCCGGCCCAGGAGAGCAGGAGCCAGCCTTGGCAGCTAGCGCGCCGGCAGTGGCAGTCAGACGCACCCACGCACACCGCTTCGGGCAAGGCGGCGCAGATTGCCAGGCCCCTTCATCTGCCTCTAGTGCTGCCATTGCTGCTTGCCTACCGCCGCATGCACATGCACCCACGCCCAAGTGACGGGCCTGCTGCTCTTCTCCTTGCCGTTGCTGCCCTGGGCCTGCTGCCCGCCAAACCGCTCGCCGGGCCCTCTGCTGCGAGCGCCGCCGGTGCAGCGCCATGTCCAGGGCGGAATGGCCGGCCCCACCTGCTGCCAGGCACGCGCGCCTGATTGGCCGCCCGCCCAGCCAGTCGCGTTTCACCACCGCCCGCCGCCCGCAGGGGTGCGTGTGCCTGGCCGCTGACTTGTGCCATGGACGCCGCCGCGCGGTCCTGCACCACCGCCCACCTCGACGGCCGACGCAGACGCCCGCCTTTGCTTTTTGCCCTTGGATCATGGGATTGCAGGCCGAGAAGCGCTGCGCGATCCACTCGTGCCACTGTTGGGACCTCGACTGATTGCTGAGCAGCCATGCAAGCCGCCCAGACGCAGCAGACCCGACGCCGTGGCTTGACGGCGCTTTCATGCGAATTTAACCCCCGGAACATCCTATGCTGTACACGCCGCTGCCCGTTGGCCGCTCCTTCCGGCCCAACCACTCACCGACGACAACTCTAGACGTGCACGCCCGGCTCGTGTCACCCTCACCCGTATACCCTGTGTACTATACGCCCACACACATCTGCTATGTACTTACACACATGTACTTACATCATCCTCACTCTGCCTGCTGTCTCCCCCCCCCCCGGGCTTTCCCCGTCGTATGTCCATAAGTAGTCCATGTATGTCCTGTCTGCGAATCCGACACACGGCCTGCCTGCCTGCCAGCCACCCCGCTTAACCGTTGCGCCTCAGCCTCTGTGCCGCAAACGGGTCCATTAGACAGCCGTCAAATCGTCTTGGTGTCCTGAGACACAGGCACACCACCACAGAGTCAGGCAGGCTCCATCCCAAGACTCAAGACCGTGTCAAAGTTCCCCAGCTTTGTCGCATCCTTCCGTCAAGCACACCCCATTTGCTGCATCCACCTAGCATGAGCTGTATGTATGTACGTAAGCACATAGACCAACCCACCAAGCCATTCTTGCGATTCTCTTAGTCAGCAATGTCACGTGCACCACCCGCTTCCCAATCTGGACATGCCCTCAACGGCCTACCAAGCTGCACGCCCACTTCGATGACCACCACCCCGCTTGATGCGCCGTCCGTCCGCTGCCTGCCGTAGAGCAGTGCAGTCGCTCCAATTGCCCACTGCCCATCACATATGCATCTCTGACGGCCTCCTCGCCCGGGCCCTCAATCCATTTTTCCCCAGCTCGTGTTCACACCAGGCACGCCATGGCAGCAATGTACCGGGGCCATTGGAGGCTACAAGGAGGGCAGCGAAGCGTCGGATGACTGTCTCTGCGGGGTTCCATCCTCAATACACCTTCCAATCGCTCTTCAACCTGGGCGCTCTGTTTGCCTTCCGCAGAGAGTCGCAGCCCACTTGGAGATATGAAGCGCCGTCCTTGCAACACAGGACCGAGCCATTGGACCTATGTGCGTTTGCGCTGTAAAAAGACTCAATCTGCTCTGCTGACAATGGTAGTAAACCAAGAGCTGCCGAGCTCCCAAGTGCCTCAATTCGATGGTATTTCACATTCGCACGCAGTTCCGACTCCCCAGCCCAACCCACTCGCCTTTCCAAACCCCGACGAGTCCGAATGCGCGTCTACTGGGACTTCAAACGGAGACCTCGAACAGATCAGCGCGCATGTCTTGGCCTGCTTTGACGACTTCAAATCCCAGGTCATGTACGCAGGGGACATATCCTTTGCTGAGCGCAACAGACTCCTTGCCAATGCCTGGAAGTCTTGTTGTCCAGCCGACTCTGATGCATGCATCTACAACATTATGGTAGTGCAGCACGTCGAGGAACTCGGCTGGGATCCTTCGAGCATTCTCTTAGAGCACGAGTCGTTCGCGCTGCCTCCCGTGTACACATCGCAAAGCCAAACCCTGCTCGACTGTTTGACGAAATCTTCAGCACGGTTTCCGTACGCTGCCAAAGTCTACCGTGAAATATCCATGAGAGTGGTTGAGTTGGCGGGGTCTGCCACATTCTCAAAGAACTCTTCACAGGACATGGAGCTTCTCTCCGTCATTCGGCTCGCACTTCAAGACGCCTTCTCAACTGACAACAAGATCGAGCCCTCGGTAGCGCAGGCTCTGACTTTGGTTGCGAACAAGATTCAAAACATGGACATTCGAGAGGCGCTACTCTCAATCTTCACAGGCACAAATAGTGTGCAGCAAAGCACAATCGTATTACTTGCGCGTGCTGCCGCCAACCACAAGCTCTGTGCCACCTTGGAAAAGACACTTTTCTGTCTTCCGCGAAAGCAACTTCGATCACTTATCCCGTCGGTTACTACATCTCTGGCCATAGCTGTTGCGCGGGAAACTAGACTGCCGGATAGGCTTCATACGCATCCCCTCACCGCATGGTTCAAGGTGCTTGAGGGTCTTGATAGACGCTCAGCCTCTCATGCATCTAGCGCAGATTATTTGCGCACTGCATTTACAGCGGTGAACAAGTATGTCTTCGGGAATAGCAACGCTGGCAGAATGCGAGGTCATGTCTTGCTTCACGCCTTGACATTTCAATTGACGCAGCAAACACAGTATGCATCTTACAGAGAGAGGGTATTGCAGCTCATCTACGCTCCTGTACATACGTCTCAACAACGTCCTGAGTTTGAGACACTCTTGGGGATTGTCTTTGCTCGCATGCAAAAAGATGGTTTACCTTGTACACCATTGGTAGAGCTGGCTGTATATACCTTTACTCGCCATGCCGACTTGATGTCCGTATACCGCATCCTGTCCGCACTAAAACAGCGAGGATTCGTGCTGGAAAACGCATCACGTATCCACTCTCGATTCACAAAAAGAGCAGCCTCGCTCCCCCGCAAAACCGAGTCAATGAACGAACAAGCCCGTCAACACTACGCCTTTGCTCTGCGCACCTGCCAAGGCATAACCGACCTCCTTATCAAACTCGTCTCTCCTTCTTCCAAATCCACCGCGAGCGCCTTGTCCCACACAAGGAAGCATCTCCTTCATCTACAAGCCCGCCGCGAATTCGCAGCAATCCTCGACCGCGCCTCCGCAAACCACGCTCTACCCCAAATCTACGCAACCTCCACTGCCGACATGCCCACTTCGGACCGCACAGTCCTCATCCACCAACTCGCTCATTTCTACTCGCTCAGCACCACGCGCTCCCATCGCGAAACGTGGCGCTCAATCTACTACCTTTACAGCTACCTTCAGACGTATTCACTGCCTATTGGCCCGTTGTTCACCAAAGCTGTGGTGCGCGCTGCGATTATCCGGCCCATGATGGAACATCGCTTCATCAGTGCGAGGAGACTGATTTGGATATGTCATCTTGTGGCGAGGGTCGAGGGCGAGAATGTAGCCAAGCAGATTGAGAGTAGCTATTGGCGCTGGAGAGGCGAGTTGATTAGACATGCTAAGCGGGCGCATGATGGTGCGGGGGGAGACGTAAAGGCCAAGGCTATGGTGGGCAAGATGAAGGGGTTAGGGTTGATTTGAGACGAGGGGGAGAAAAAAAGAAAGTATGTAGATAGAGAGATATATACCCGTATACAGAGCAGTGTGAATGCTGTATAGAAGGAAATAACAAAAAAAAAATGTATACTTGATGACTAATTCAAAACGCCTTGCCTACTTACATTCGTCTCGAGAAGTCGTCCATTTACTGCAAAAGCTTGCAAAAGTCCACACATCCCTCTAATACCTATCAATCAAAAACATCCTGCGCTCATACTCAGACATGGCCCCCAACATGCGCCTCTCCGCGTCCTTGATAGCCAAATAGTCCCTCACCAGCCCCGGAGCCAACGCCTCATGCAGCGCCGCATCCCTATGCAACGCATCCATTGCCTCGCCCAGACTCTTGGGCAGCATCTGCGTCACACCCAGTTGAGCGCGATCCTCATCATCCAGCTTCGCCGGATTGACAGACATGTCGCGTTCCGGGTACGCAGATGCGGGTTCGTTGGCCGCGAGACCGAGGATACCTGCTGCCAACAGTGCAGAGAGCGCAAAGTAAATGTTTGCCGTCCCGTCTAACGCGCGGATTTCCCAGTGGCCTGACTCAACGCGGCGGAGAGGGGTTTCGCGGTTCTGAGTCCCCCATGCTACCTGTGTATATTTGTTAGATGACGTATGTTTTTTTTTTCTTCTTCTTCGAATTGCTAAAAGTGGGGGGGGGGGAGGCAGTGAAGGAGATAACGTACCCAGGATCCTCCGGACCAAGAATTATCCTTGACTCTTGCGTAACTATCTTCTTGTGGCATAGTGAATGCACAGATGGCAGGTAGATGTCTCAATATGCCTCCCACGAAGAACTGCATGTCGCGATCTGGTGGGTGCAAACTAATGTGTGCGTGGGCTGCGGTACCTATTCCTTCAAACGGCTGTGGGTGCAGCGTTGCTCGCAAGTCGTGCAGACTGGCTATTTGTGCAATCGCCTGCCGTGCTTGGATCAATGTGTCGATGGCCAGGAGCGGCGGTTGCGGCGGCAGGACAAATTCATATTGGCCTGGGGCAGACTCGGCATGGAATTGTTGGAGCTCGATACCCATGTCTTCAAGCGCGAGTACAATCTCACCCAGGAAGGGCAGTTGATTCCACTGTTCAGGCGACATGGTACTCCAAGCGTGCGTCTTTGTCAGTGGCGACGGCTCTGCTGAGGAGGCATTGGCGGATGGCGACGCTGTGTTCCTACGGAGGAATGTAACTTCAATCTCAAACCCTATGAGCAGAGTGGCTGAGTAGTTGTATTGTAGGTCGTTGATAAGTATCTCCAGATTGTTACGTGGATCTTCAGGAAGAGCAGACCCGTTCTCTGAGCGCCAGTAACTAAATACCGTGGCGGCTGGGAGAGGATCCTTATTGTGCGTCCGGCAAAGAGAACGTAGGTCAGGCTCAACATAAATTTGACCTGTAGTGTTCATGACAGGAGTCGGGCCGTCATTTTGTAAAATGCCAGTGGTACCTCGCGAGATACCTATACGTCTGCCTTCATCTATTATCCGTGTGAATTCTCTTATGGGAACTACACGGCTCCGAACCGTGGCTGTGTAGTCCAGCCATTGCACATAGAAAAACTTGATATGTGGGTTATTCTCCATGAAACTTTTAAACAGTTCAATATCATATACTTGCGGAACTTTTGGTGGCGGAGGAAAGTTTGGTGGTACGTAAGGAGAAGCCGACTCGCTGGCGCGCTGATGAGCAGCCTGATCGAATGGAGGTATGTTGGGTCCTGGTGTTGCAGTTGGTGATTGATATGGAGAAATCGGCGCATTGGACTTTGCATTGTACGTCAACTGCTTCGGCGATAACTGGACATTCTCATCAAACACTGCTTGGTAACGCAGGTCATAGAGGACATTAGAGTTATTGAACATGATATCTTTCGTCATACCGATGGCTTGGTGAGGAGTAAGATCGCCTCTCTGGATGTATTCGAGAAGTAGCTAGCCTGATCAGTATGCTCTAGAGATGCAATTTAGCCTGTGGTCTATCTTACCTCTAGCCATACTTCACGGAACTGCACATTAGCAAGCCAGAAAGTCTCTGGGAACCAATGACCGTCGCTAGAGTAGAGGAGCTTGCTACCGGGAACCAACTCCAAAGCTTGACGGAGGACCGCTCTCTGACCATCTCTGCTGACCATGGGGAAGACTTCGCCAATGTCCAGGTATACATGTCGGTAAACAGTTGCAAGGTAGCCCGCTTCGCGTGTATATGGATATGCCGAGTGAAGAATGACAAAAGGGACTTGTGGGTAATTTTCTATCAACGGCTGAAGAAAGGCAGGGTTGGACTCCAGCAAGTTGATATCGTTATCGCCTAGGCCGGTGTGCAGCTGAAATGGCTTCGCAAGCGAATCAGGATGCGTTAACCGCTCCGAAAGTATCTCAAGTGTTCGCAGCACTAGGTAATCATTCAGAGGCTTCTTTTCCATTCGAAAGTTGCGTTTACGAATGCAGGTCTTCACGTAGCGCTCGAAAGGGTGGCCCACTGCTTTTGCAGCTTCATCGTATTCAGGCTCAATATCCAGCCCCGTCCGGTAGCATACGACAGACTTGAAACCAGCGACATTTTCGTCCTCTACGGCCTCTTGGATTGTCCTCTCAAATTCGTTGGTAAAGTCGGTCCAGATTTTTGGCAGAAATTTACTTTTCGCCAAGTCGTCTTCTGATGAATCCTGCACAAGAATTTCCATCAGCCGCTCAGCAACAGTTTCAATGCGTACGATGCGTTTGGTAGGTGCCTTGGTATATCGGTCGTGGTAGTTGTAGGGGAAGACTTTGTCTGGCAAGGCAAGGCCATCATCAATGAGCAATGCGTGTACGTTTTCAAAGCATCGTTGGTGTAAACGTTCCGAGTTGCTTCGAAGCCATTCCACTCTCTGTTCAAGGATCTCTTCCCAATCCGCATCTTCTCCACACTCGTACAACAGACGTAGTTGCTTAGCTGCTCGTAGATGAGAAAGCGACTTGAACGTGTCTCTCAAAGCTCTACCTTGAGCTTCTGTAGTGATGGTTTCGAATGGTATTGTGTCTATATGTTGAGGTAGGATAAGATTGTGCGCGTGATTGTCGATGATTGGGTAGTTGTTGACGACATGCCGCAGATGATCAACTGTGGGCCGAGCTGGGGATGTGGTTTGGCTCATGGTGTCTGTCGATAGCTAGGCGCATCTAGTTTCTTAGCGCGCCGATGTATTTGCTAGTATATTGTATTTGGAGTACTTCAATCGCGCCTGCTTAATCTTGAGAACTCCAAAGGAATGTGCCGGTTGACTTCTTGTTTGTATGCTTTGGGCTTGAGGCGTTACAGGCAAGGCCTGAGCCAAGTTTATTTCTGGGGCTGTTTTCCAAGGTCAGTCAGATGACGTCAATGCAGACCGGAAGCTGTGGATGGGCAGACTGAACTGCGCAACATGCAAACGCCCACACAATATCCCGTGAAAGGATAAAAGGCCAATCAGTTGGTACAGTAAGGTTGATCTGATCATTGGAAAGCAGGGAATTTTGTCAGTCTACTACGAAGTACAGTCAAGAAGTGGGGCGGTGGTTCGATGTCGGGTTGCATCAGCTACCCCTCCAACGTACGTATGCGCAAACGTGAAGTCTGTAATACATTGCATACATTCAGTGTTGATGATGAAACTAGAATGCTAGAGCCGTCAACTTTGCAGGAACTGGTTGTTTGTATTCGTACGTAATGAACACTATTCCGAAAAATGAATAGTATTGCAAAGCAAAGCATGTATCCGAAGTGAATCGCGTGCAAGTACAGAGGTCAGATTGTAATGCATCTATAATTACACTGCATATCTACAACGATTATACAGATACGCATGTCCGTGATTACAATTTCTTTCAGGAAAAAAAAGGACATTCCATGACAGGCCACACACGGCGGTATTGGATATAGAAAAAAACGAGTGATACAAATGGGAATAAGCGCAAACCCACGCAAACGATGCAAATGTGAAAAACGACAAGGTCAACCATCGACAACCCAATCAAACAGCTCTTCTATCATGTCGAGTTTTTTTTCTCCTACAACAGGATCATAGCCATACCTGAAGCAACAGCACCAAGCATGTAGAGACCGAGACCGAAGACACCGTCAGTGGACAGGGCAGAAGCGGCGCCAGTGGAGCCAGAACCAGAACCAGAGCCAGCGCCTGCGGAGCTGGTGCTGGAGGCAGCAACAGCACCGCCAGCGACGGACCCAGTGCCAGCAACACCTGCCTCCTTGAGAAGCGAGGCACAGCCGGAAGCAGTGGGGCTAGGGTTGGCAGACTGGGTAGTGGCCTTGCCCTTGAAGCTGCAGCCGCCGCTGTTCTTCTTGGCGTAGGCATTGACAGCGAAAGAGAGCTGCTCACGGTTGGAGCACATACCGTAGACACCATAGGGACCAGAAGTGGCGTTCTTGTTGATGCCTGCACAGTACTCGCCGTCCTTCAAACCGCAGACGAAACCGAAGATGTCACCATAGTCCTCCTCATCGGTCTTCTCATCGACGACACATGACAGGGTCTCCATCATGCATGAGCAGAGGTTGGCGTTGGCAGGAGGGGGGAGAGGATCGGACTCAGCCTCCCACGTTGCGGGGGTGACCTTGGGGCACGAGGCAGCGGCAGTGTTGGTGGGGTTGTAGTCAGCCATCTTGACGCCAACCGGGGTGGCCTTGGCAATCTGCGAAGACAGGTTGTCAAAGTCGTCGTTAGGCACAGCCTTGCCGTCCTTGATGGAAACGAGACCTGGAGATTGTAAGTATGAAAACTTGAGCAATTCAACAGAAGCAAAGACTTACCAAACTGGTTCTCCTCCTCAAAGTACATGTACACGATACCGCCAGACCAGATGCCATACATGTCCTTGCCATAGAGAGCCTGGACCTCGGTGAACAAACGGGGGCGGGGGGTGTTGCAACCGTATTCAGCGAAGAAGACGGGGACGTTGTACTTTTCAAAGTTCTTGGTCTGAACGTCATAGCCAGACTTGGTGAAGGAAGAGGCACCGCACCAGGAGTAGATATTGTAACCCCAGAAGTCGATGGCGCTGTCCCTGTCGCCGCAGTCGAAGTAGTTGGCCATGTTCTCACGGATCTCGGCATCGTCGTTGGTGGCATAACCAACACCAATCTCGCGGTAATTCTTGCTCTTGATGTAGGCCTTGGTGTCACGGACAGCGGCCTTGACGAATGCACTGGCAACGGTGTTGTTGGGCTGGTTGCTAACCTCGTTACCGGCGAAGAAACCAAGGGTGTTGTCGAACTTCATCATCTCATCAACAACGCTGGTGTAGCGGTTGTAGAGGTCGACAGTCCAGCCGGGGTCGTCGCGGTTGATGGACAGTCCAGGCTCGGACAAGTCAGCCACAACGTAGATACCAGCATCTGCGAGCTGGCTCATGCAGTCGGTGTGGTCCTTGCTGGGGTCAATAGCGTAGACACGGATGGTGTTGGTGTCGAGCTTCTTGAGCATAGCGATATCGCGCTTGCATGCTGCCGAATCGGCGAGGGGATCGGTGATCTTGAGGCCATCGGTCGAAGTGGCTGTGGTGTTGGAGTTTACTTCCTCTGCTGGTTGTGAGTCTTGTATTCTGATCTTGGCCTGCTGAATGCTTACGCTGATAAGCAACACCCTTCATGAAACTGGCTCGGCGTTAGCTCGGCTCGGATAGATGTGGCGAGCGGATTACATACAATTGTTCACCACTGTTCTTCATGAAGAACTTTGACCCCTATTGTGCTTTGTCAGCCACTGGTCTCGCAACTCCAGCGCGTGACATGTTACCTTGATGACAATAGGGTCAACGGCCGCCTGCACGCCCGCGAGCAGGGCCGTGGTCGCAATGAGTCCGCGCATGTCGATAGGGAGAGCACAAGATGTTTTTCCAAGATGTGTGGTTGGGGTTGGCAAGAGCTTAGGTTGGTTCGCCGAGAATCAAGGGCAGGGCGCGCGTCTTGGGGCGTTTGGTAATGCGCAAAATGGGTCAAGGAGCGTGACGCAACAGCAAAGAAGGCTGTATGCAAAAAAGAATTAACTTAAACACTGAATGATTGACTGGGTAAAACAGAAGAGTGAGTGAAGAAACAGCTCTGAGGCACAACGGGTGAAGAAATCTAAGGCCGACCAAGCATCCCAAGACAGACCCACAAGCGCTCAGCTGTACCCCTGATGCTAGCCCTGTTTCGCACTAACGGCACGTGCGCGGTTCGAGACTATGAGGCGCTGCCTTGTTCATTGCACCAAGGTGAGCGGGCGTCAGCATATCGCGTGGTCGTCACGAGCTGCAGAACATGTGTTTGTGCCAGCAACAAAATACCATGCTTATTTGCCCATGACAGCACGACGACACATCCCCGTCTGACTGCTGGATGGTGTTTGTCCGAGCAGCTGGGTAAAGGGCATTGCACTCATGCGACGCGTATGCACAATTTCGCAGTCTCCACCTGGGATTCGCCAGTCGCCCCACCGCCCATCATGCTGCTAAATTGGGGCTTGACGTTTCCAGACACCTTGCTGCCGCGGCGCGCATTCCCGCCCCCTCCGTGTTGGATCTACAGAAGCGATAGATAACAGGTGGGCAGGAGCGCACGCGATGATTTTGGTGGTGGGTAAAGAGCAGTAGCGGTGGCAATCCGAGGGAGCCAGAATGGTACGCATGGCTGCACCGCCTCGCAGCGTGTCGCGAAGAGGGGCCGGACGATGCAATAGTTGGAGAGGCGGGTTTGTGCAGGTGAAACGTAGTTCTCTGGGTGGCGGAGTCGCATGCGGGCGAAGCAGCCAATCGAACGAGGCTGCGAGCGCTCTTCCAACGCCGCTCTAGCTGGTGAGTGGCAACGGGCCAATGTGCTGGACGGGGTTCCTGGGTGGCACTACATGTGCGTAGTGCATGTATGGATGTGGTAAGTACGTCGGTATTATGTAGAGTGGTTACTTGGACAGACGTCAAGGGGGTGCGTTCACGCAGAGTCTCCTATTTTGCGCGCAAAGGGCCATGGTGCACAGGAGGGCGACGGGCATTTTGGGCACGTGGCAAGAGCGCAGGTGATGTTTATGTACACATGTGTGTATGTATGCATGTACTACTTGGATATGTACAAAGTAGCGCAGTTGTTATGTAAAGAGAGGGACGAGCGCAGGCTAGAGGGAGCCAGCCAGTGGTTGTCGATGGATTTGACGGTGCAGCGGCGGTAGAGAAGGTGTATGTACCTAGTACACAGTAGAGCACGCCTAGCGTGAGGACAGTCCATGGAAGGGAGAGAGAAAACCGGATCTACAAGGACTGCAGGTGGGCGTAAGAATGAGGACGAGCACAGCCTCCCGGCCGGAGTGCCGATTTGTTGCTTCTGCAGAGCCTCTCATTTGCCAGTTTCTCAACACCCAACCGCCCAAACTTGGAAACTGGGCAGTCTAATATAGCTCACTGGCTACTGGGGTCTACACCGGCTTTGGTAGCAGTAGCGCGCTTTTCTTACCGTAGTGTCGTCATGCCGCGATGGTTTTGCCTTGAGGGCCTCGCCCGGGTGCAGCAGCCAACGGCCCATTTGTCGACGAGTGGCAGTAGCCATGCAGGCCGGGGTACTAAGTCGGCTGGCGAGCACCGAGTACATCCGTCGATAGTTTTTTTACGGCGGCGTCGCAGGCAATAATAGTAGCAGACGCCCAGGGCGGAGGCAGCGGACAGCGGGCGGACGGAGCAGGCCTCAACAGCGGCACCCCCCTCCCCCCTTTGCACAACGCCCGGCGCCAGCAGGCTGCAACCGTTGAATTGAGCTACGGGCGCGGGCTAGGGTGCAGCGGAAGAAGAGCGCCACGTCGATTGCATTTGCGATAAGGGCTGGGCTACTGCTATCGCCGGACGAGCGCGAAGGCGGCTCGCCTGGCGTGGTTTGATCAGCGCGGGGCCTGTCGATGGCGCCGCTGCGGTGTGTCGCTGCTCCGGATGTGGTCCAGTGCCGGCCCTCGCCTCAACGCACTGTCATGACGTGACATGTGGGTGGGTACCAATGTGAAAGGCCAATGCAGCAGCGCGACACCTGAAGGGAGGACACAGACAGCCCGCCGCGGCCACAGCCCTGGCGGTGGGAGCGAGTGGAGAGCAGCAGCGAGGCGAGGCGAGGCGAGGCGAGGGGCCTAGGGAGGAGAAGGGCGAAGGGGGCGGTTTGGCTGACAGCTTTGCGTAAGCCTTGTGCCTGTCCCGTCTGGCATGGAGATGCAAAAGCACTCGTTGGTAGTGACTTACTGCACGCAGATATGGGCGCCCGTCTGGTAGGGAAACACGCTTCGGGCGTATACTATCGGCTGCCAGGCCAGTGTGCACGGCACCCCCTCCCCCCAATGGCGCGCGAGAGCAAATGTACCTGGTACATGCTACTGCTCAACGGGAGCGGCCTTGTATTATCGATATGCAGGCAGATCGCAGATCCAAGAGCCACTGCAGACTGGCTGTCGCGCCGGCCCTCGGTCGAGCACGCCTGCACTCGCAGGGCAGGTTTTTTTTTCCGCCATGGCGCGCAGTCTTTGTCGAGTCGCGGTGAGGGCCCGAGACGTGTTGGATTGCCCATGCGGGCGCGGGCATGCTTTTGTACTGCTGGTGCAGTCGTCGTAGGCGCATGCCGTTTTTAGAGGGGCAACGCAATGCCCGGCACGTCACGGCCACGGCGGCGGATGGGGGCACCCATGCACGCCCACCGTCTGACGGCGTTAGACCAGCTTGGCAGGCCTGCCTTTCATTTTCAGGGGAAGCTGCTAAAAAGCTCTTTGCCTGCCCGTCCACATTCACTACCGTCGCTCTCTCAACCCCTCCCCCTCCACTCCCCATTGTCTGCTGTCCCGTATCTCTGCATTGCCTCTCGTTTCACCGCGTCGAGGTTGTGTAGTCCATCTGCGGACGCTCTCGACTGTCTTGGCCGGGAGCTACCACTGCTGCTGCTGCTACACGCAACCCTAATCCATCAACGCCCTGCGCACAGCAAGCGCCTCGCCCGCCGCGCGTCTCTCCTGGCAACCACGACGCCCCCCAGCTGCACTTCCAGCTATCCACTCGCTAGCAGCACCACGACCACAACAACAACATCGCCTACCCTTCCCCTCCTCTGCTCCGCCACCTGCACACTCGGCCCTTTCCGAGCTGCCGCACCCCTCTTGCTACTACTACTACTGCTCGTTCGCCCCCCAAAGCGGCCTTCCACTCGTTCTCCCACGCATTGCACCTTGCTGCACCTTGCAGGCTTCAAAAGCACCTTGTCGTGCGGCAGCTGCAATCCCGCCATTTCCTCACTGCCGCTTCTAATGCCCATTGTTTGAGGTACGTCCGCCCTTCCGACGCCGGCCGTTTCAGCCCTCGCCGCCCAGCCCCAGCGACCGTTACTGACAAGTCCGCCACGCAGATTCTACACACAACCCTAATAGCTTCCCACGATGTCCGGACATCCGCAGGGAGGCCACTACGACGATGGCTACGGCCAGGCTCCTGCCCAGGGCCATGGCCAGCAAGGCCAGGACGCATATTATCACGATGACCAGTACGCCCAGTATCATGATGACCGCTCTCACGGCCAGTATGCTCAGGGCCAGCACGGTGACGCCTATTACGATGAGTCGTGAGTTTTCCCACGCCTGCCATTGCCCAGTGCGTGCCGCTAACCAGGCCTGCAGAGCTTATTACGATGGCCAGCACGGCGGCCAATACCAACAAAATGGCTACTACGACGACCGAGGCCAGCAGGGCTACCAGGACGAGTACTACTCTGACCAGTACTACGACCAAGGTGGCGCGCATGATGGGTACGCACAGAACGGGTACGCTTTGGCCCTGACTGCACCCCTTATTCCCGAGCTATCGAGCTGCTGAACAATTGCTAACTGAGATGCAGTCAACCTCCCCGCCGCCGCAATGATTCCGAGGAAGACTCTGAGACCTTCAGTGACTTCACGATGCGCTCCGACATGGCTCGTGCTACCGACATGGACTACTACGGCCGTGGCGACGAGCGCTACAACAGCTACGCTGAAGGAAACCGCGGATATCGCCCTCCCTCGTCTCAAGTTTCTTACGGGGGCAACCGCTCCTCTGGTGCTTCGACCCCAATCTACGGCATGGACTATTCCAACGCTCTGCCCGCTGGTCAGCGATCTCGCGAGCCCTACCCGGCCTGGACTGCTGAAGCTCAGATTCCTTGCACAAAGGAGGAGATTGAGGACATCTTCCTCGATCTGACCGCCAAGTTCGGCTTCCAGCGTGACAGCATGCGGAACATGTACGACCACTTGATGACTCTGCTCGATTCACGTGCATCCCGCATGTCGCCCAACCAGGCGCTGCTGTCTCTCCACGCCGACTACATCGGCGGTGAGAATGCCAACTACCGCCGCTGGTACTTTGCGGCCCATCTTGATCTGGACGACGCGGTTGGCTTCGCTAACATGAACCTTGGAAAGGCCAACCGCCGAACTCGCAAGGCTCGCAAAGCTGCAAAGGCCAAGGCGGCCGCTGAGGGCGGTAACGAGCAAGAGACACTCGATGCTTATGAGGGAGATAACAGCCTCGAGGCTGCTGAATACCGCTGGAAGACTCGGATGAACCGCATGTCGCAGCACGACCGTGTGCGCCAGATTGCGCTCTACCTCCTCTGCTGGGGTGAAGCCAACCAGGTCCGTTTCATGCCTGAGCTCACGTGCTTCATTTTCAAGTGCGCCGATGACTACCTCAACTCGCCAGCTGGCCAGGCTCAAACCGAGCCAGTTGAAGAGCTGACTTACCTCAACAACATCATCACGCCCCTCTACCAGTACTGCCGTGACCAAGGTTACGAGATTCAAGATGGCAAGTACGTTCGTCGCGAGCGTGATCACGCGGCCATTATTGGTTACGACGACATGAACCAGCTGTTCTGGTACCCTGAGGGTCTTGAGCGCATTGTTTTCGAGGACAAGTCTCGCCTGGTCGACATTCCTCCGGCTGAGCGATACCTGAAGCTCAAGGATGTCGTTTGGAAGAAGGTGTTCTTCAAGACGTACTATGAGCGCCGTTCTTGGTTCCACATGGTTATCAACTTCAACCGTATCTGGGTCATTCACTTGTGTTCTTTCTGGTTCTACACCGTCGCCAACTCCCAGCCAGTCTACACCAAGAACTACCAGCAACAGTTGAACCAGTCGCCAGAAAAGGCAGCCACCCTGTCCGCCGTCGCTCTGGGAGGTGGTCTCGCTTCGTTCATTCAAATCTTTGCTACCATTTGCGAGTGGTGCTACGTCCCTCGTAAATGGGCAGGTGCTCAGCACTTGACCAAGCGTCTCCTCTTCCTCCTCCTCGTCTTCGTTGTCAACGTCGCTCCTAGCGTTTACATCTTTGGCTTGGACAAGCGCACTGGTACCATCGCGAACGTTCTCAGCGGTGTTCAGCTCGCTATTGCTCTCGTTACCTACGTCTTCTTCTCAGTCATGCCTATTGGCGGTCTCTTCGGTAGCTACCTGACACGCAACTCTCGCAAGTATGTTGCCAGTCAGACTTTCACTGCTAGCTACCCCCGCCTCACTGGTAATGACATGTGGATGTCCTATGGTCTGTGGGTCCTTGTCTTTGCGGCCAAGCTGGCTGAGTCTTACTTCTTCTTGACTCTGTCCATCAAGGATCCCATTCGTATCCTTTCCCACATGCAGAAGCCCAACTGCTTGGGAGATGCCATCCTTAAGGACATGCTTTGCAAGTACCAACCTCGAATCCTGCTCGGTCTCATGTACTTCATGGACTTGATTCTCTTCTTCTTGGACTCCTACCTGTGGTACATCATTGCCAACATGTTGTTCTCCGTCTCTCGCTCCTTCTACCTTGGTGTGTCCATCTGGACTCCTTGGAGGAACATCTTCTCTCGTCTGCCAAAGCGTATCTACTCAAAGGTCCTGGCAACGACTGACATGGAGATCAAGTACAAGCCCAAGGTTCTCATCTCGCAGATTTGGAACGCCATTGTCATCTCCATGTACCGCGAGCATCTCCTCGCCATTGACCACGTCCAGAAGCTTCTGTACCACCAGGTTCCATCTGAGCAAGAGGGCAAGCGCACCCTTCGTGCACCTACCTTCTTCGTGTCCCAAGAAGATCACTCGTTCAAGACCGAGTTCTTCCCAGCACAGAGTGAAGCTGAGCGTCGTATCTCTTTCTTCGCCCAGTCTTTGTCCACTCCCATCCCGGAGCCTCTCCCTGTCGACAACATGCCTACTTTCACCGTCCTGATTCCCCACTACGGTGAGAAGATCTTGTTGTCTCTCCGTGAGATTATCCGTGAGGATGAGCCCTACTCCCGTGTCACCCTTCTCGAGTACCTCAAGCAACTCTACCCTCACGAGTGGGACTGCTTCGTCAAGGACACCAAGATTCTCGCCGATGAAACCTCTCAGTTTAACGGCGATGATGAGAAGAACGAGAAGGATACCGCTAAGAGCAAGATTGACGATCTTCCCTTCTACTGCATTGGTTTCAAGTCTGCCGCTCCCGAATACACGCTCCGAACTCGTATTTGGGCCTCTCTTCGTTCCCAGACTCTTTACCGTACCATCTCTGGTTTCATGAACTACAGCCGTGCCATCAAGCTTTTGTACCGTGTCGAGAACCCCGAGGTCGTCCAGATGTTCGGTGGCAACTCTGACAAGCTGGAGCGCGAACTCGAGCGCATGGCCAGGCGCAAGTACAAGATTTGCGTGTCTATGCAGCGTTACGCCAAGTTCAACAAGGAGGAACGCGAGAACACCGAGTTCCTTCTCCGTGCCTACCCTGACCTGCAAATTGCCTACCTTGATGAAGAGCCACCTGCGACTGAGGATGAAGAGCCTCGCATCTACTCTGCTCTGATTGACGGTCACTCTGAGATCATGGAGAATGGCATGCGTCGTCCCAAGTTCCGCATTCAACTCTCTGGCAACCCTATTCTCGGTGACGGCAAGTCTGACAACCAGAACCACTCTATCATCTTCTACCGTGGAGAGTACATCCAGCTTATCGACGCCAACCAGGACAACTACCTTGAGGAGTGTCTCAAGATCCGCAGCGTATTGGCCGAGTTCGAGGAGTTGACCACTGACAATGTCTCGCCCTACACCCCTGGCCTTCCCAACACCAACTTCAACCCGGTCGCCATTCTCGGAGCTCGTGAATACATTTTCTCTGAGAACATTGGTATCCTTGGTGACATTGCTGCCGGAAAGGAACAGACATTCGGTACTATGTTTGCTCGTACTTTGGCTCAAATCGGTGGCAAGCTCCATTACGGTCATCCTGATTTCCTTAACGGTATCTTCATGACTACCCGTGGTGGTGTCTCCAAGGCGCAAAAGGGTCTTCATCTGAACGAAGATATTTACGCTGGTATGTCCGCTCTTCTCCGTGGTGGTCGCATCAAGCACTGCGAGTACTACCAGTGTGGTAAGGGTCGTGATCTTGGTTTTGGCTCCGTTCTCAACTTCACGACCAAGATTGGTACTGGTATGGGTGAACAGATGTTGTCCCGCGAGTACTACTACTTGGGTACGCAACTGCCTCTTGACCGCTTCCTGTCCTTCTACTACGCCCACGCCGGTTTCCACGTCAACAACATGTTCATTATGTTGTCGGTCCAGTGCTTCATGTTCGTCCTCATCAACCTTGGTGCCCTTAACCACGAGATCATTCTCTGCCAGTTCAACAAGGACATCCCCATCACGGACCCGCAATGGCCCAATGGCTGTGCTAACCTTGTTCCTGTCTTTGACTGGGTCGCTCGTTGTATCGTCTCCATCTTCATTGTGTTCTTCATTTCGTTCGTTCCCCTCGTGGTTCAAGAACTGACTGAACGTGGTTTCTGGCGTTCCGCGACGCGTCTGGCCAAGCACTTTGCTTCTGGATCGCCTTTCTTCGAGGTTTTCGTCACCCAGATCTACGCCAATGCCCTCCACACCAACTTGTCATATGGTGGTGCTCGTTACATTGGTACTGGTCGTGGTTTTGCCACAGCACGTATCCCATTCGGTATTCTCTTCTCTCGATTTGCCGGTCCGTCCATCTACATTGGTGCTCGTTCCTTGATGATGATCATCTTCGCTTCCATCACCGTCTGGGGACCATGGCTCATCTACTTCTGGGCATCCACGCTATCTCTGTGCCTTGCGCCTTTCCTCTTCAACCCCCACCAGTTCTCTTGGGACGACTTCTTCATCGACTACAGGGAGTACCTCCGCTGGCTGTCTCGAGGCAATACCCGTTCGCACAGCGCTTCTTGGATTGGATACTGCCGTCTCTCTCGTACGCGTATCACTGGTTTCAAGCGCAAGGCTCTTGGTGACCCCTCTGCCAAGCTTTCTGGCGATGTTCCTCGTGCCAACTTCACCAACATCTTCTTCAGCGAGGTTCTCGGTCCTCTAGTCTTGGTTGCCATCACCGTTGTGCCTTACCTGTTCATCAACGCTCAAACCGGTGTCACTGACAAGCGCGATACTTCCAAGGAGCCCGCCGGTCTTCCTGACCCAAAGCCAACTGGTGCCTTGGTCCGCATTGGTATCATTGCCTTAGGTCCCGTGGCTGTCAACGCTGGTGTTCTTGGTGGCATGTTTGCTCTGGCTTGTTGTGCGGGTCCCCTGCTCAGCATGTGCTGCAAGAAGTTTGGTGCGGTCCTTGCTGCCATCGCTCACGCCATTGCCGTCATTGTACTCCTCGTCTTCTTCTTGGTCTTGATGTTCCTTGAGGGTTTCAGCTTCCCCAGAGCCCTATCTGGTATGATCGCTGTCGTCGCCATCCAGCGATTCTTCTTCAAGCTCATCATCGTCCTGGCGTTGACCCGTGAGTTCAAGGCCGACACTGCCAACATTGCCTGGTGGACTGGAAAGTGGTACACTATGGGATGGCACACCATCTCCCAGCCTGGCCGTGAATTCCTCTGCAAGATCACCGAGCTTGGTTTCTTTGCTGCTGACTTCATTCTTGGCCACTGCCTCTTGTTCTTTATGCTGCCCATGTTGCTTGTTCCTTATGCCGACACATTCCACTCGGTTATGCTCTTCTGGCTCCGACCAAGGTACGTTGTTCGTTCCTCTTATTGTCAAAATATCTTACTAACTTGGACCTAGTCGTCAAATTCGCCCTCCAATCTACTCGCTCAAGCAGACCAAGCTTCGCAAGCGCCGCGTTGTCCGCTATGCCATTCTGTACTTTGTCATCCTTGTCGTGTTCCTCGCATTGATCATTGGTCCTATTGTTGGCGCCAAGTTCATCACGATCCCAGCCAGCCTTGGAAATTCTCTTCCCATGGAGATTATGCAACCCACTGGCTACAACAATAACGACACGACGACAAGTACGACTGGCAGGTGTATCCGCGGTGCATGCCCGGTATGGAACGGCGGCGACGCCGACTCGACGGGAGGTGGTGGTGGAGCCGCCGCCACCGATACTGCTGCCCGCCGATTCCGTCGGTACATGGCATACTAAAAAAGTACAATTTGTGGATCCTTGTTTACTACCTTTGCACCTTGTATTGTACGACATGGGCGAAGCATGAGCGTGATTACCAATTTTTGGGTCCTGTAATGACTGTAATATTCGGGTCGAGCGTTCGATTTCATCTTTCTGATTGGGCGTTTGGTGGCAGGCATGGAAGTGTCCATAGCCCTGCTTTCTCTCTTTTTGAACAATCATGTCTGCTTCCGCAGCAGGCTTGACTGCACATACACTACAAATGGGGGTTGTTTTGGTTCATCATGGGCAGGCGAATATATTAGAAAGCGAAATGCATTACTGTTGAATATTTCGAGTGCTTTGAAACAAATCTGGCTTTGACTTGCAGTGCGTGCTTGTAAAGTGATGAGTAGTAGGCAGCGTAAGTATGTACTCGATGTGATTGGGCCAAAACGTGCTGGGGTGAAATTGCCTGATCATTGAAATAAGGACCACGGCGCTGGCTGCCCCTGGCACTTCCGTGCTTCGCCGCAACCCCCGAACTTGTGTATGCAGCGCTGTCAAACCGCCTGCCTCGCACCACACCTTCGCCAGCCATGGATCTCAGTGAATTGCAAAATGCGACTACGCGCTTCATCACAGACGCCAGTGCGCAGTTCAATCGCATTCCAGGCTCCGCCATTGCTGTCCGGTATATCAAGTCAAGTTACCGCAACGACCCCGTCCGCAGCGCCGTCGAGTTGTTCCTGTTCCTCTTCGCGGTGCGATACTTGCTTGCACCTAAATACAGTACTCAGAAAAAAGTGCAACTGACGGATGCGGTATGTTACGCGCCTGTCCGGCTGGGGTACGGTGTGAATGCATGCAGAGACAACTAACGAAGAAATAGGAGATTGATGAGCTGGTCGACGACTGGACACCGGAACCGCTTGTCGCGCCTACAACCGCGCTCGAAGAATTGGAAAATGAGAAGCGACCCGTCATTGTTGGGTACGACACACACAGCAACAATAGCCATACTCTCAATGCTAACGTATACTGTATAGACCGACGGGCCCCAAGTCCAAGCTTTCCAACGGCCGCACCGTGACGAACCTCGCCTCGTACAACTTTTACAACTTTCTCTCCAACGACACCCTCAAAGACAAAGCGATCCAGACACTGCGGACCTACGGTGTCGGTCCCTGTGGCCCACCAGGTTTCTATGGTACGCAGGATGTGCACATGAAGACCGAAGCCGACGTAGCTGCGCATCTCGGTGTGCCTGCTTGCATCATCTACGCCCAATCTTTCTCCACCATCAGCAGTGTTATTCCTAGTTTCAGCAAAAGAGGTGATATTATTGTCGCAGACCGTGCTCTCAACTTCGCAGCAAGGAAGGGTATACAGATCAGTAGGAGTACTGTTAGATGGTTCGAGCACAACGACATGGATGACTTGGAGGCCGTGCTTAAGAAGGTTGTCAAGGAGCAGGCCAGGAAGCCGCTGACTAGGCGATTCATTATTACCGAGGGCTTATTCGAGAACATTGGAGATGTAGTGAACCTCCCCAAGCTGGTACGTCCATAGCAACCCCTTTAATTTTTTTTCAGGTGTGAAAGGGGTGGACTAACGGTGCATGCAGATCGAGCTCAAACTGAAGTACAAATTCCGCCTCATCCTCGACGAAACCTGGTCTTACGGAGTCCTTGGTCGTACCGGCGGCGGCGTGACCGAAGCACAAAATGTGGATGCTGCAGAAGTAGACATGATCATCGGTTCTCTCTCGGGACCTCTTTGTGCAGCAGGAGGTTTCTGCGCCGGCAACGAAGAGGTTGTCGAGCACCAACGCATTTCTTCGGCATCATACACCTACTCTGCTGCCCTCCCCGCGTTGCTCAGTACTACAGCCAGCGAGACAATCAGTATGCTACAAGAACAACCGGATATTTTGACTGGACTTCGGGAAAACATCAAGGCGATGAGAGGGCAATTAGATCCCAGGAGTGATTGGGTTCGATGTAGCAGTTCTGTGGAAAACCCGATGATGCTGCTTGTACTCAAAGAGGAGGTTATTGAGGCTAAGAAGCTGAGCATTGAAGACCAAAATCAGATCTTCAGGGAAGTTGTTGACGAGGTATGTTCTGGTGTCCTGGGTCGTGTATCTCTATGCTCTCTGGTGTGCATAGCGACAACGTGACAAGTTTTTTCTTCCTACTAACGATATTCAGTGTCTCGCAAACGGCGTCCTCATTACAAGGCTCAAATCCTTCCCTCTTGGCATTGGACTCAATCCCAAAGATGCAGGGTGGCAGCCTACTCCTGCGCTCAAGGTCTGTGTTACAAGCGGGCTGACAAAGAAAGAGACGGAGAAGGCTGGAACGATTATCCGACACGCCATTACGAAGATTGTCAGTCGACGAAAGTAAAGGTATTTGGGATATTACATTACGTGACGAAAAGTATTGCGAGCACGGTGTCGAATGGCGTTTTCTGCTTGCTGCGTCCCTTGACAAGAAGCGTTTCGCATACACTGTAATGATATACTTTCTACATATAGATATTGGACGTGGCATAGATGACTTTGTAATGCATAATAAGTCTTATTCATAGTACCAGGGAGCGCACTTGTCTTCGGCTTACTTCATTTGCAGACGATGTCCCTATGGGCTAATGCCACACGTGATCCTCAAGCTGTAGGCAAGCCCAAAGCAAACGAAGCTCGAGCAGCAAGAGACTCAATACAGTTATAGGATACCGAATACTGCCGGTTCAAGTGCCGAACTGGTATAAAGAATACATCATGGCACAAGGGGCTTAGTGATCACATGAGGGACGGAGCATGTGGGTGTTCGGACATGGGAGTTTGCGTATGTGTGTGTGGCTGGTTTGCGCCGCGCCCCCCGGCATGTGAGATGACGTTTTGGCTAAACTTGTTATTCTAGGCCGGGGCCGTGGCGTACACACGCAACGCACACACGAACGCTGCTGCCCCGAAAGCCCCCCCACCTGAAATAAACGTCACCGCCCATTGCCCTGCTGCGATTTGAATAACAAGCTTCGCTAGACCCTTGACTTGCCCTGTTCCTTCTCCCGCACGCAACCTCCCCCTCCCACACAACATATTCACACGCTTTTGCTTCCCGCCGCCAATACGCATTTTTAGCTATAGCCTAAATTACGTTGACCTCTTTGTTGCTTCCCTGCTACTCAGAGTTCGTCATACAGAATACCCATATCAAAGAGAGGCTAGGCTACAACGGCTACGACGACGACTACACATACAAGCATGGCGCAGCGAAGAAACGGCGGCGAGCCGCAGACCAAGGACGGCTTTGCGCCTGCAAAGGGTGAGGGTACGTGTTGAGAGTAAAGAAAGAGTGCCAGGGCATACAATAGGGGGGGAGGGAGCAGAGAGAGTAAGACAAAAGGCTGACACATGATGCATAGCGCAAGATAAGCAGGTCCGTCTGTTGTCCCAAGACGCTGGCCACTTCTCCCTACTACGCGCCCTCCACTTGGCCGACTTCATCACTGAGCTCAATGGTACGGCTTCGCCCTCTTTTATCCCTCTTTCGGGCGCAAATGGCAAAAAAGTAAACTAATATGACCTTGTCACAAAACCAGGCTTCTGCGGCGTCATGTCCATCTTCTCCTCTCTCCGCTACTGCACACAAACCGACCACACCGACTACACGAATCTGTACCTGGCGCTGTCCTTCATCCCACTAGGCCTCTTCTTCGACTTCATGGACGGCAAAGTCGCGCGCTGGCGCAAGAAGGCGTCGCTTATGGGCCAGGAGCTCGATTCACTTGCCGATCTCGTCTCCTTTGGCGTGTCCCCAGCCGCCGCCGCTTTCAGCCTCGGCATGCGCACCCCCGTCGACCACTTCCTGCTCGCCTTCTTCGTCCTCTGCGGCCTCACGCGCCTCGCCAGATTCAATGTCACCGTCGCCATGGTGCCCAAGGATGCAACCGGAAAGAGCAAGTATTTCGAGGGCACACCGATTCCTATGAGTCTTGGCATAGTGCAGGTCATGGCGTACTGGGTCTACAAGGGCTGGACTATGGACCAGATTCCCATGGGCCTGTGGCTCGAGGGCACGGCGCTCGAATTCCACCCTGTGGTGGCCATGTTCATTCTTCATGGATGTTTGATGGTTAGCAAGAGTGTCAAGATTCCTAAGCCCTAAGGAGCACTCGTGTGTTTGTGTACAAAAATATTTTTTGTGGGTTTCTTTCCCTCTTTTCCTTTTGCAGGGGAATGATGGCGACGTGACAAGACTATTGTCAGTTGTCGGCATCATTTGTTGTTGCTGTGGTTGGGATTCAATGGCTGGGATTGGAATGGATATGGATATTAGGGAAGAGAGGGGTAGGGAAGGTTTACATTTGCTATTGAGGGTTGATGCATGAATGAGCGGAAACACTATGTTGATGCTATGATGGATTGGCGGATAAGCGTTTAGAAACATCATGATACCCTCTTATCAGGAATACATACATGCAAAGCTAGCTGGATCGTGAGAACAGGACAAAACTGAACACGCAATGCACAAGCTTAGAAGTCATACCCGTGCGTTCAAGTATCCAAAAAGCGCAAATTTTAGAAACACCAACAAGAAACCAAAAGCCACCTCTCGTATATATATATGTGCAAATGTATGTTATTGCCAACACGTAGGAGAAAACTCATGTTACTTTGTCTAAGAACCCAAGAAAGTAATTACCAATTTCCAGTATGAGAAGGACGGAGAGAAAAAATGACCAATGAGTTCAAGCTTGAATGTGATGCGCAGTGGTATCATGAGGAACAGCCGGGGAAAAAAAAGGGAGGTAGATAGGTCGAGAGAAAGGGAACAAGAGAGCAAAGTAGGTCAAAGGGTAAGTAACTGTAACTTACATCACCTTGTGATGATGAGGGAAAAGCCATCGAGCCACTGAGCACAGGACCCTGAGATACCGCCAATAGTATAACCGCGCGGGGGAATAAGTGTGTGTCTAATCCGCATATTAGTCAAGCAGTCACGAAGATATTGTGTTAACAGTTGGAAAAGAAAAGAGAGAAAGAAAGAGAAATACGTACCCACTACCGCCATTGGGATTCCCATACCACTCGCTCTTGCGGCCCAGACTAGTGAGAATTTGCAGGCCATCGATCCAAAGGCCAGCGCGAAGCGCAAAACCAAGTAGGAGCTCGCCCTTGCGGATGTCGAGAGCAAACTCTGAGACGCTGCCTCCACGTTTGCCAAAGAGCTGCGTGTCTGTGTCTTCGTAGACAAATTCCAGGCCGTCGACTGCGTAGCCGTGGTAGACTTTTATGCGGAGCAAGAGTTTGGTTTGGATGTGGACGTAGTCCAGGATGACTTCTTCGGGCTTTGAGCCCTCCATTTGCGAGTAGCCTAGTTTGCTGCCGCGGTAGCCCCAGCGGCCGTCTGGCAACTTGACTCTAGCAAGCTTCTGGTTGGCGAGTTTACTAAAGTCTTCAACTACGTGCTTGCCGCCACCTGCAGAATACACTTCAACTTTCAAGCGAGACTTTTGCTTGTCTGTGGGGAGCATCGAGCGGAGAGCACCTTCATCTAGTGTCACCTGTCGAGGGTACTGGTTCTCCAACTCAGGAAACTCTTTCCAGTGGCGGCAAATGTCGTCTCCTTCAGTGTAGAGCTCCACCCATGCAATGCCGGATTTCGATGTGGCAATGACGCCGCCTTGGCTCGCATCAACTGTCCAGACCTGTACGCTGTCGTCTCCATTTATCATTGGGGCATCGATCGGTATCCGGAAGCAAGGGTGGAACCGGAATCGTAGTACATCCAATTTGTGCCACCTGCATTCGTCGTTGGGCAAAACTAGCCGCTGACCTGGTGACTTGGTACGCGTTGAGTAAGGCTCCCGACAAGTAAATGTACGGTTCAAAGTAACATAGTCGCGCAACATTATACCCGACTCCTGGTGAGGACAGCCGAAAAGATGGCCCGTTTCGTGGAGATGTGCACCGATGCCTATGTTAGCGGCCTCCCAGTTACTTCCAGACTCGTTACAGTCGTTTGCAACAACAGAGGTATCAGTCCGGGTACAGTCCTGGAATGCCTGGAAAACTTCCTCGATACTCGATGGATAGCTGTGGAGCGCGTGAGAGCCAAAAATGGCAAGCTGTAGATCACCAGTACCACCACCCAATGCCGCATGCCCCCGTACTGTCTGTGTTTGAGTATCCCACTGTGTATCAAGAAACAAGCAAGAAACGTAATGCTTCTGACCAGGTGCTATATGGAAATAGTCCCTGCATGCCTCTATGGCGAAGTCAAAGAGTTCGTTCTTCTTTGTTGCAGGGCCATACTGTTGCGCACGCTCAAGATCCCGTATTTCAGCGACAGACCTTTTGGAGCGGATGACGTGAATCTTGGCTTGTGTGCGATATTGGTTTTGCCCCCAGTCTTGATAGCTCAGTGTACCGGGTTCCCAGGCGTCTTCAAACCGGAAACAGCGACGACCGAAACCATAGCGCTTCATCTGCTCTCCTGTAAAAGCTTGCCATAGATATGCAGCCATTCGAAACTTCTTTATTGCGAGCTCAAGGCCATTGCCTTCGCGCTCAATACGCTCACGAGGAGCATCGTATGTGCCTGGGGAATCGTGTCCGAGTATAATTGCAAGCTGAAGCGGCGGAGACTGAGTCAAGGGTAAATAGTTTATGTTGATGAAGGACGCATGCGGGGAGATGGAGGTATTTGACGAGGAAACCTTGGGCGAGGTAAAGTCGAGACGTATTCTGTTCCAGCCAGGCTCAAGGTGTACCAATGCTTTAAAGTAGGATTCATGTACTGGCCAACAGGTGGACGGAAAGCGGCCTTGGTGGTGATTAACCGTAAGCGTGCCGTCCAAAGGTCTACTTTGTGGCTCGCCGACCTGGCCGAAAATGAGAAGGACTTGTTGATGCACCTGTACGAAATCAGCATTGCCCACTCCACGCGACTATCCATATGTACCCAGGAATTCTCCGATATCGATACGACACGCGGGGCGAGTAGCGACGATCTGTTCAAAGAGCCGTTGGAGCCACTGTGTGCTGGATATGGTCCTCCCTGGATACGCTTGTTAGAAGACTTGTTCCTGCAACTGGAGGCGACAGGCCTACATTGGTGCTGTAGCGCTTTACTGGGTCGGCATTGGGACGTTGTGGTCGCGCAGGCACAGGCGGAGGAGTCGGGCCATTGACTTCGTCGGTGGTGGATGTGGCTGGTGTGGTAGAGGGAGTGGAAGAGGCGACCTGGGATGAGTTCATAGTAGAGGCCGAGGCGCGATGGGCGAGGCCTTTGGCCTGGTGCTTATCTGTGCCATTGGTGGACTTATCGTCCGTCTTGGGCATGCGACTGTTCCTCCTGCTCAGGCTTCGAAGGAATGAAGGCATAGTGTTGACTAGGGCGCGGTGGTATAGTGGACAGGCTATGGAAGCATAGAGCCAAGTAGTGAGCGACAAAAGGCGAGCTAGGTGGAGCTGCCCGAGACTGCTGGGGGAGACGCGTAATGCGGCGTGATAGCCAGTCGAGGATGCTTGCAGGGCGCGTGAAAGCGGCAATGGCAATAGTTGTGCGATAAGGGGGGCTATGCAGATGGGCACAAGCGAGTGAAGGCAGGAGGGTATGCTGGATGTGACAGAAGACAGGAGAGGGCCGTGGTAATTACAGCGGTGGGTAGAGTGGGCGCCGGGCGTGAAGTAGCCTGGTCGAGCTTGCTTGAGCTTGCTTGCTTGCCTGCGTCGATCCGGGCTAGCAGGGCCGAACAGGTGGAGTGGAAGAGACGGCACTCTTGTCCACCGTTGGTCTGACAGCAATTGGGCGGGCGAGGGCAAATGCCATGGCATCCGCATCAGCATGTGCCGAATGCGTGGGCGGGCGTGCTGCAGCACCGCAACGCCGTAGTGAGCGCACGTTACGACGTCGGCGCTGCTCACCACAATGACGTTGCCCGTCAAGCGCTAGCCTGTCTCGGCTNCCCGCCGCTAGCCGCTTTGGGACAGCCTGACAGCCTATCCAACACCTGCTGAGGTGGTGCGCTGCTGCAGCGTGTCGTCGCTGGCATCGTCAACGTACATACAGCACCAGCATCGCCGTGTATATACTGACCGAGGCCGTGGCTGCTCACTCCTAAAACAATGCCCATGGCCCCCGCTGCGCTGCATCGAGTGTCCTTGGGCGCATGCACGTGAGCGCTGGCTGTCGTCCCGGCCATCCATGCCAGATCCCATGTCTGCCTCCGTCACTCTACCTCTCTCCCTCTCGTAGCTCCCTCGTAGTCCCTCACGCTCCTGCTCCCTCAATTCCGCACCAGTCGTCATCTGGTGTGGCCCGAGACGATGCGCGGATGCCGGCGGCGGCGGAGCGCTGCTCGATACGATACGATACCATGCCGTGCCATCTCGTACGATACAATACAATACAGACCTTAGTCAGCGCCGCCCCGTATGCTATCGCAGCCACCAGGCACACACCCCTGCCGCCCACCAGCCCTCTCGAGACAACTTTGCTTTGTTGCAAGCGACCGCACCAAGGCTCCAGCGCCGGATAGGAGCCCGCTACCCAGTTCACTAATGGATATATCCTGCCCCTAGTCCGCCTGCCTACCACCTGGACCTCCTCACGCCTGCGCCGCCCCGACACCACGGGGCCTGTGCTGCCGCAGACTTTTGAGCTAGTCCACTTCGATCCGCTCCTCACATTCCTTGCCTGGCCGTCACCTCAGCTCCCGCCCAGATGCTGTTTCGCCTGTAGCAACTCTACTCACTGAGACGTCAGCCAGGGAAACAACAACAACCACAACAACCCCTTCCCTGCCCGTCTCCTCCCCCTTCCGGCCAACCCCTCCATCATGGCTGAACAGGACGATGTTGCGACCAAGGTCCTGCGAAGGGCCCAGGTCTCAAAGGTTCATCTCCCTCTCTCTGGTCCCTTGTCCCCCGTGTGCTGATCGTGTGCTATCTAGATGACCCGCACTCTGCAGAACCGCCTCGCTCTGGCCAACGTCAAGATGAAGAATGGCTGGGAAAGCCTCAGCCTCGACGCCATTGAGCCTGTCCTCGACGGTGTCGAGCGTAAGCGTAAGCGGCCTGGCTCCAGCAATGAAGCCATGTCGGATGTCTCCAGCGTCTCCGAACGCTTCTATCAACCCAGCGTCCTCGACTCCTCGCCCCTCCAAGCTCCCATCTTTTCAGACCACATTCGCCGTTCCGAGAGCCGGTCCGCAGGCAGCTACACCCAGACCAAGCGGCCCCGTTGCCAACGTCCCAGCACCAACAAATACCCGGCATCGAGCAACCACGCCCGAGTCAAAGTGCGCACCTCGACGAGCGCCACTACTTCATGGAAAAACAGCTTCCAGCTGCCCGAGTCCTCGCCTGTTTATCACCGTAGACATGCACGTTTTGGCCGTCAGCATGTGCCAAGCCTATCCTTTGTTTCGGAAACATCGACCGTCGCCGACCCTCATTCCCCCTTGCTGTCCGAAGATGATGACGAAGACCTGCCTATCATGTCCTTCTCCCTAAACCGTTCTCATTTCCAGTCATCGCCGCCGAGAGCCCCGCGTACTCCGCCTCCCGATGTTGCTCGCTCAGCACGCCTCCGACAACGCGGATTCAATGCTGCCGGTGCAGCTCGTGAAGGAAGACAGGGTGCCGATGACGCAAATTTGCTCATGTATCTAGCTACATCACCAACGCCGGTTCGCCCAGGTCACCAGAAGCCCCAGATGCTCGCACCATCCACTCCGCCGTCGAAATCTACTCCTCTCCCTTCGTCCATGATGTCCACCCCTGGCGGTGGTGGGTCCCATTACACAGGCTTTGGACTGGCGACACCCTCGACAAACTTGAACTTTGCCGAGTTCCTTAACATGTCACCGAGCCCTGCGCAGGCCAACGCATCGTGGAACCGCACACCTGTCGCAACCCGAACACCCGCGGCCGTCCGAGAAGCACGACGTCATATCAACTTCGACAACATCGTCCCTCCCACTGGTGACGCCTCACATATGCGTGCTCATATTGGAAAGATGGATGGCCTTGGCATGGAACTCGGTGGTGAACTTATATCGTGACCGTCAGCACCAGCCCCCTTCACATTCATCACGACATATCCCCCCAGCAACCGCTCGGGCACGACAAAACGATAACGACAACGATAGTGAGCGCATTCGACGGAGTGTATAAACACCACTGGATGCGCCGCCGCCGCCGGCTGTTGTCAATTTCTCCTCTTGATTTAGTCTTTTTTTTTTGAAAAAGCATGGCGTTTATGGCGGTTTGGTGAGACCCTGCCTGGTCCTGGGTTTGGACAGAACATGTCGATTTCTACATACCTCATGCATCACTGCATACGTTTGCTTTATTTTGTCTTACTCTTTTTCATGTCGCACAATTACCCTTTGGCGGCTGTTTGCACTCGCGACTGCACAAGCGCTTTGTACGAGCACCTTTGCCAACACCTTTCTACTGGAGCATTTGTTCAGCATCTGTATTTTAATTCACTTTGGAGTTTTTTTTTTGGCTTGCTATCAGCACGGCTTAGCCAAGTACCGTCTCGGCATGTTATAGACCAGGTCCGGAGGCTTAGCAGGGCACTGGACAAATGCAACTGCATCTTCCCGTACAGCCATTTAGGCGAAACAGTCAGACTCAATCCAAAACTGCGTGTATTTTTTTTTCTAGACTCCATGATTCCTAACTGATGCAGCTTTTATGCAGTGACCCACCAAGAATAAACACGATGAGTGCAATTTACCAAATTGCCCCGAAAAGGACGCTACATCGTGTTATATAATTTCCGATGATGTCAGCTGATAGCACTAAAGAGAGCTCCCATGCCTCATTTTGTCTGTCTTGCCTAGAAGAAAGCACATCCCCAGCCGCCTGCCTTTGTTGCATGTCAGTCGCACCCCAGCCACCCACCCCCTCACTCAACACACCAACACACCACACTCCCTCACTTGCCAACACTACAAGCAAGGAAAAAAAATACTCCGAGTCAAACCGAGCTTATTACAGTGAGTATGTGAACGATACGCGCGTATCAAGTGCCGCCGAGGCGTTTCCGCGCAAAGCATTGTACATGAGTAGTTAACCCAATCCCACCTTGATCATCAATCTAATTGGCTCCAATTACCCTTTTCATCTCTCAAGCTCTCCCAAACAGATGGAAAAGAAAGAAAAATGGCCGGGAAACCGAGTAGACCGGGGACCTTGCTTGATCTCATCGATGCCTAGACCGGCTCGATCCGCGGCCTGGGTTATGTGTGCATGTATGAGTGTTAATTCCAAGGCCACTGCTGCTGCTGCTCCTCCTCACTCAATCTAGTCTCGTTTCTATAAAAGGGCGGCAGCGGCAGCGGCAGTTTGGGGCATGGTTGCATGGTGCATGGGGGGTAAAAAAAGGGTAAACCGGAAAACAGACTCCAAGACCCTCTGGTTGGCAGAAGGGCGAATTATTATAAGTAGGTTAGTATAGTTTACGGGATCAAGGATCGGAATGCAAAGGGCCAAGAGGGATTCCCAAAAAAGGTCTGTAATGTTACTCTTCGTATGGTAATAAAAACAAGAAAGGATGCCGGCGGCAGTGCGTGTGTGGGTTTCCCGGATGCGGTTGGGTTGGCCTTGCACGGCTTTAGGTACAGCGGGGAAAGAGGGAAGGATAGGGCGGATCGACGATCTAGTGCGCTGCGCGGCGTGTTTGACGCTTGACCTGTTTTGCGCGCCTTTGTGTGCTTGCGTGGGTTTGGGTGGATGGGCATGGTTTGGTTTGGTTTGGTTGGGGGGGGGGGGGGGGGGGGGGGGGGTGTTGATGGGTGCGGGTGGCTGAGCTGGGCGGGCGGTCTAGTGGACTGTAGTTCGTAATGGTACCATTAACTATAATTGGTGTTGGCGGGAACGACAAACGGGTGTGGCAGTGGAGATGTTGATCTCCATTATCTCATCGAGGCGTCATGGTGTCGTTGTTTGTCTCAAATGTCACAAGTTTGGTCGCGTCGGCTGGGTGATGGACGGACCTCTTTCGTTGCGAGGACAGAAGAAGGGGGGGGCAGCGGACTGGCTTGAGCTTTGTCTTGTTTTTCTTTGTTAAATCAGGCTGTTTTGAGATAGTGATGACGGTGATGAAAAAAAAGGGTAGGTATAGTTGAGTTGACTTATGGGGATAAATAGTTTTTTTGCCCGTTTTGGGGGGCTGATTTCGGGAGTATTACCGCGAGCGCTTGGTTTGTTCAAGGGCTGGAGTATCACCCTTTCGCACCCTCTTTACATTATTACCTCGCTGTAGTGGTAACGTATGTAACTTATTTTACGCACAACAAAGAGGAAAGAGACAAAGAAAAGTCCCTGCATCTCATCCTCCTCGCGCTGCATCTACAGCTGGCTCAGATGACGGGGAGGGGGAAAGGGGCAGGTGGTATGCTGATCCCTCACCCCCCATTCGCGATAATTAGCATTGTATACCCCATGTTACTTTTTTCAGTATTGACTACAGTTGTCATGCTCGCATTTGCGCCCGATTACTGCCCTTTAGACTTGGCGATGTGAGGTGATGGTCGTTGTTAAGGGAGCTTGAGAGTTAGTGGCTTGAGTCACAGGTACCTATGTATGTACGAGAACAAGGGAGGGTGCTTTATTCCAATTCCATATGACCACCTAAACAAGGTTGAGAATGGGAGAAGTGTGAACTAGAATGTGTACGTATACAGGCGTGCTTCTGACTAGATGCAAAGACCAATTTGGTTGTGTTAGTACTTGTATTCGTATTTTCCTCTGCGCTATGCTTCAAGACATCCATTCTCATTCTTCGTTCCTATTGCTAACATCTAGGTGTACTGTTACTCTTACACACATGCGCTCATTCCGCTGCTGTGCGTTAATACAATCAGTATCTCGTTCATCATTTATGTATTACAACATTCGCTGTTGCTTTCGCCCAAATTACATGGTACATGCTTACCACCAGTACCTTCATAGACACGTGGCACATGAATTGTAGAAAAAAGTAAGAAAACAAAGCATTACATGCAAAGAAGTTTGGAAATGTTTCTCATAACAAAAAAAGCCAAGATCACAACACATTACTACCTGACGTAGGTGTTGGAGTTGACTTGGCTAGCCATGACCATCATCCAGACGAGAAACACCGTTCCGATGATCCAAAATGCAAACTGAGCCTGCCAGCACTGGCCTATTTCCAGCTTGATTAGTCTCTCCCACCTTTCAAAAAGAATGGATGGTTACTCACAAATATTCCTCTGCTGCAAAAACGCTAGCGTTTCCATGGTGGGACCCCTTGGATCGGTATTGAACACATAGGTATTGCATTGGTTGTTGATATTGGGTCCAGCGAAGAGTTGTATCGCAGTTCCAATGACGCCGGCGAGGAAGAGGACGAGCAGGATGAAGGAAAACAACATCATGACGCCAGGAAGGAGCTTCCGTTGCGCAATGTAGATGATTTCGATAATGATGAAGATGATAGCAAGAGTGCCTACTGTGACACCATATGGCATGATCCTATATGTGACTTGGGTTAGCAGTCGTCTCCAGGGAGAATTGAGCATTGTTTGCATTTGCTGCTTGAGTATAGATGGTAGACTTTCACATACCATGGTGTTCCCAAACCCATTCGATTCTGTATCTCCATGAATTGCGCATTCACGCCCAATATCAGTCCTGCTGTTGCCAGCATAACTATTGTCCAGATGTTCAGTTGTAAGTCTGGCCAGTAGTACTTTTCCCGTACTACTATCGCCGAGCCGACTACTGTGCCTGAGTGTCCTGCGCGCGCCATTTTTTCGGTATTTTGAACTTTGAAGCTTCGTCGCACGTGGTTCGCGATGGATTTGCGTTCAGTTGGGGTCGAGCAGGGCGAGGGGGTTGTTGCGCTCGTGTTGCTGCAATGGTATTCCTAGGTGTGGAGCTTCGTTGCCTTGTTTACCGTCGGTTATCCGGAGACTGACTTGGCAGCGTCGCAATCTCTCTTCCCCTATTCAGCAATTGACCAGATGTGCGTCTCTTCTGTTGATATCCAGCCTCTCACGGAGTTGTCTCCGAGTCTTTGCGCGCTGTCGTACAGAGGCTGTGGGGACTGGCACAAGCGAATGAGTGACGTGAGGGTGTGGCTCAGTCACGGCGGGATTGTTGCGGGGTGGAATGCGGAGAGCTCGGTGGTACCAGGACACCCCTTTCGAGGAGCAAAACTGAAGAGGAAAAAGAAAGGTAGGGAAAGATGGGTCGTGTAAGAGGAACACAAAAGTCGTCTGAGCCCCTACAGAACCTGTTGTTGTTGATGCTTCCGCGGACCGCCGCGACCCCATTGAGGAGGCTGGGCGGGGATGGCTGGCATGTCGCGAATGAGTTTATTGGCCGCGGCACGAGGCTCCATCGGAAAAAAGCCCAACCTTTCGACTCTTTCAGGTGTTTTGCAGCATCCAACAGATGTGATGTTGACATCACGGCACCTATGTGCTTTGCTTATTCTTGCACACGTTGGGAATTGCTAAAGTTCGTCTTGTCACCCACGCCTTCAATTGTAGGTTAATTAGTGACCGGTGAAAACCATCAGCATACGAAAGATGACCATCTCCAGAATGAGATGATGCGCAATCCCCCATGCTTCTTTGTAAAGTTGTTTTGGTGACATGTCAAAAGTTCGCCGTCTGGTGCCTTTCAAGCTTTTTAGTGATGTAGCGCCATCTCTCTCAACCCCAACAGTCAACCATGATCACCACGTATAGGGCTACTCAGCTTCCTGTCTTTGCGATTGCTTGTAAAATCGAGAGTAATTTGGCTAGAAAAATAACAATCCGCGCATCCGTCTCAAAGTGTCCTCAACAGGGCACCATATTTTCGACATGTTACAGTGATTCCATCGCAACTCCAAAACGCCGACAAATGATCATGGTATCGGTGGGTAATCGTAGGCTCGAGCAGAAACGGCAGCGCAAATGGCAGCGCCTCTCCAGCGTGAGGTGATCGTCGTCCCGGGCCGAAGCATCTAGTATCCTCCTCGTCCACGTCCACCAAAGCCACCACCACCACGTCCACCGCCTCTTGAGAAACCACCGCTTCCGCCGCGACCTCCACCACGGGCGCCAAAGCCTCCGCGTCCAGGGGGTCCACCCCGTCCACGCGGTGCTCCACGGCCGCGACCTCCAAAGCCACGAGAGCCACCTCGTGGTGCTCCACGGCCTGCGCCAGCGGGTTTCTTGACCTTCGTAACGCCGCCAACAGGCTTGGGCTTGGGCAAGAACCTATTCTTGTTAGCGCGCTAGATGGACAGCCAGGTGAGCCACGTTACCTGTCAAGAGGGAGCAGCTTGTCGCCCCCAATGTAGAACTTGTCGCCAGCCTTGAATGACTTCGCTTGTATGCCCTCTTGCGGCTTGATGGTAAAGTAGACCTGGTTCAGCGGGCCCATGATCTCGTCAACTTTTCCGATGGGTGTCTGCAGATGAGTCAATCCTGTTTTCTCCTTGGCTTCCAGGTTCGCAATATATATACCTTGTTCTCCAGGTAGATTGGCGCATTGAAGTAGGGAATCTTGGTGTTTATCGATTCGCAGAACATCTCGTTTTCGCAGTCGTGAACAAATTTTCCCATTTCTTACAAAAAGTTAGCTCCAGCCTTTTCGCATCAAAGTGATCTTCTTACCAACAACAGTGTCTGGGGGTCCGAAAGAAGCTCCCATTCCACCGCGTCCTGTGGCGCATTAGCTAGGAAATTCTGTACAGCTATGAGGGTGCAACATACCTCCACGCGCAGAGAATCCACCACGTCCACCGAAGCCGCCGCCGCGACCGCCACGAGGAGTTCCGCGAAATGCCATTGTTTCTGTTGTGTTGAGAGTGGTCGGTGCGCGAAAGGTGAGCTTGTTCGAGAGCTTCGCGAAAAGTTCGAACTGAAAATGAAGTTGGAAAGTCAGGGCCAATCGGTCCCACGTTTCGCCGATGGATCCTGCCGCCGCATAACCCCACCAAATGCACCTGCCAAGGCCAAGTGGGCTGTCGTGGGCGTGGACCTTTCTGAAATTGTGTATGAGTCGGACGTTGCTTTGCATCCGGACCTGACCCTCCAGACTGGTTTGGAGACATTCTACCTGCGACACGGTTCATCGCATCCGCATCACGCTCAGAGTCATCATCTTGTGCAGTGCTTGACTCACCACTGCTGTATACATACAACTTCCGCCCCGCGTGCTTGAGACTCGACAGTAACAACAACATGGCGGACGCAGTCAAAGATGCCGTCAACTCGGCTGTCGAGGGAGTGAAAGAGCTGGCCGTATCTGCCGAACAGAAGGCCGAGCAAAAAGGAAACAAGGCCCCGAAACCGAAGAAGGAAAAGAAGGCCAAGGGCGATGCTGGCGATGGTCGTCCATTGATGCTTGACCCTGCACCAGCCTTCATAGACCATCGCATCAAGATTTTGTAAGTGGTACTTGAAATTTTGCGAAATGCATGCTAACCGTGTCCCAGTGAGAAACTCAAGGCAAAGTACGACGAAGAAATCGCCCAAAAGCCCCGCGGTACGCTCATCACTTCGACACGAGACCCCTTTGCATATTACTGACTTATTGCTCTTGCGACAGAGAAAATTACTATTACGCTTGAAGACGGCAAGATTGTTGAAGGCGAATCATGGTCCACCAGTCCTGCCGACATCGCGCGAAACATCTCCAAGAGCCTGTTTGAGCGCACCGTTGTCGCGCGTTTGGACAAAGGAACACCGGATGAGACACTATGGGATCTTGAGCGACCACTGGAGAAGAGCTGCAAGCTCGAGCTTCTGCCGTTCGACGACCCTGAAGGCAAGAAAGTCTTCTGGCACTCGAGCGCGCATATCCTAGGAGAAGCCTCGGAACGCAGATTTGGATGCGACCTGTGCATTGGCCCTCCTATTGAAGATGGATTCTACTACGAGGTATGCCTTGGTACGAGGTTCCAAGGTCGTTGTTGATTGTATTACAGATGGCCCTTCCCGATAACGCTGCTGTTGAGCATGCCGACCACAAGCCGCTAGAGACTATTGTCAACAGCATTGTTAAGGAGAAGCAAGTCTTCGAGCGTCTGACCCTATCTAAGGACGATTTGTAAGTTTTTTTTGTCAATTCGTAGCGAATCTATCTAACTTGTCTTAGGCTTGAAATGTTCAAGTCCAACAAGTACAAGCAGCACATCATCAAGGATAAGATTCCCGACGGCAGCTTTACCACTGTGTACAGAAACGGACCACTCATTGATCTCTGCCGAGGACCCCATGTACCGCACACCGGACGGATAAAGCAGTTCAAGGTCATGAAGAATTCCGCATCATACTTCTTGGGTGATGCTAAGAACGACAGTCTGCAACGTATTTATGGTGTTTCATTCCCCGACAAGGATGCGATGCAGCAACATCTCAAGTTCCTCGAAGAAGCTGCCAAGCGCGATCACCGCAAGATTGGAAAGGAACAAGAATTGTTCTTTTTCCACGAGTTCAGTCCTGGTTCGTGCTTCTTCCTCCCACATGGTCAGATCATCTACAACACACTGCAAGCTTTTCTGCGCGAAGAATACTGGAACCGTGGGTATCAGGAAGTGGGATCACCAAACATGTTCAATTCTTCGCTATGGAAAATTTCGGGTCATTGGCAACATTACGCAGACGACATGTTCACTTTCGATGTCGAGAAGGAAAAGTGGGCTCTGAAGCCCATGAACTGCCCCGGACACTGTTTGATTTTCGGGCACCGTGAGCGCAGTTACAGAGAGTTGCCTATTCGCATGGCTGACTTTGGTATCTTACATCGGAACGAAGCCAGCGGTGCGCTTACCGGCCTTACCCGTGTGCGCAGATTCCAGCAAGATGACACCCACGTTTTCTGTACCCAAGATCAGATCACTGAGGAGATCTCTGCACTGTTCGACTTTCTGAGAGCCGTATATGGAAAGTTTGGTTTTACGTTCAAGCTGAAGTTGAGTACACGTCCTGAGGGCTTCCTTGGTGACATCGACACATGGAACAAGGCCGAGGCGAAGTTGACCGAGGCTTTGGATCAATTTACCGCCGAGGGTGGTGGCGCTTGGGAGCTTAACCCTGGTGATGGTGCGTTCTACGGTCCCAAGATCGACATTACCATTTCAGACGCTTTGAAGCGAGAGTTCCAGTGTGCCACCATTCAGCTTGATTTCCAGTTGCCCATCCAATTCGGACTTGAGTACATGACTTCTGAGGTCATTCCTACAAAGGCGAAGGAGCAACCAAAGGAAGTCGAACAGGCCGAGCAGAAGGAGAAGCCAGAAGCCACTGATGCTGTTGTGGCCAAGAATCCCAAGGAACCACAACCAGGTTACGCAAGGCCCGTCATGATTCACCGTGCTATCTACGGTTCCTTTGAGCGTTTTATTGCGTAAGTCTTGGCTCCCACTCATGATGAGAATATCCCGCTAAATAGCTCCAGTATCCTCACAGAGCACTTCGCAGGTAGGTGGCCTTTCTGGCTGTCACCCCGCCAAGTCATGGTCATTCCTGTGATGCCGAGCGCAAACGACTATGTCAAGGAAGTTCAGGCTGTGCTCCGGAAGAACCGTTTCCACGCCGACATCGACATTAGCGGTAACACTATGCAAAAGAAGATCCGTACAGCACAGCTGGCACTATACAACTTCATCATGGTTGTAGGTGCAGAGGAGCAACAGGCGAGGGCTGTCAACTGGAGAAACCGCGATGACCAAGAGACTCAACAGCGCGGTGTCATCGTACCGCTTGATGAGGCTGTTGAAAAGCTGATCAAGCTGAGAGATGAGCGTAGGCTTGAGAACAAGGTTTAAGTTGGGCGAGTCGAAAAAGAAATACGACCGATGCATATGAGGCGTAAAGGGGCATGAAGATATGAATTGATGAAGTATAGTGAGGCGGTGTGGCTGGCATGTGTCTGTTTATATGTATATCCGAGAGAACTGGAGAGTGCGCAATGGTACTCTCCAATACCCCTAACAGAACTCCAGAATGAATTTTGCTCAAGTATCAGCTGTTTGATTTGGTGTATTCTGGTGGATGAAGAATAATGGTGCTCGTATGGTGATAATATGATAGGGACCCCCTCCCCTCCCCTTTGCTAGAAAAACCCAAGCGGCCGATATTCTTGAGTCACGGATTTACTTCGCTTGGCAACTATGATCTTCTGGTATTCCACGGTCTCAGCACAGCTCGAGTATTGCTCATGAATAAGCTACCTGAGTTTTCTACACCGATTTGGATGGCCATGATAAAGGTGTGCTTGGATTGCCAGGTCCAATATTTTCGTGATTGAAATTGTCACGATTGTCATATTTGTTAAAAGCTTAACAGCTACTTATGCAGATGGAGTTCGAGATCATAGTGTGCAGCGTAGATGCAGAAGATGTACTGTGTACTTACTACGTATGGGAGGAAAGTTCCAAGACACCGGTAGCCAATCAAGGGCCGGTGAGACGCTAGGGTAGGACCCTGCGTCCAAGTGCGCAGCCAACAGTCAGAACAAGCCCTTGTGGACTCGAGAATGAGGCGGGGAGATTGTACTGCCCCAAGCTTACAGTTGAATAGGGGTGGAATTATGCACTTAGGTTACATGGTATGACGCCAGGTTTTCGCCTCACGAGTGTGCCTTCTGTCGTCCATGGTTGCTTGCTCTGCTTCAATCAACGCTTCTCGGGTACACGCTACGTCATTCGTCACTCGTCACGGGCCCGGCCGTCCCTGTAATTAACTACTTGCCCAGAAGCTGTGCTTGCTCTCCTAACCTCCATACCATCTTCAAAAAATACCCAAGTCAATTCACATCTCCCAATCACAATGACAGCTAATGCGCCCACGCTGATCAATCTGCCACCGCCGCCATCTGGAGACGAGACTCCAGGCGACGCTCCGTAAGACACCATATGTCCCTAGCGGGGCTGAGTATCAAGCAAGTCGACTAATACCACGCACACAGGGGCACACCCAATTCCGTTACAACTACTATGTCTGAGTTGTCTACTGTTGCCATCAAGGACGGACATCGAGGCCACTTTCCCCACCATCGCAATCCAGCTGAAGCCGAGCGCGCAGATCGCATCTCACGCCTGGCTGGCCTTGAGCGGGTTGCAGTCTCCGGTCGCTCTTCTCAAGGACTCAACCCAGGTGTCGCAGCCAACCACCCTCCAGCTTACTTTGACGCAAACAACCAACCTCAGCTGTTCCGCGAGCGCAGTACCGTTGGCAGTGCTAGTGCCACTGGATCTGTCGGTGGTCGCACAACCTGGGCCAGCGGCAGCGATGTGTATGAGCCAGACCGGATGAGTGAGGACCAGGACATGGACACTTCAAGTATGGGTGGCTTCAGCGACGAGGCGGCTTCTCTGGTCGGTTTCGGTGAGGGCGCGAGGACGCCAGCTCGCCACAACAGTCAGCTCGGCAGTCCGGCTGTGGGCAAGGCGAGCGCATTGCCTGGCTATCTAAGGGACCAGACCCCGGTGAGTCCCATGTCGAGCGTCGGCGTCCCTCCCAGCGCGGGATCGACGCAGACCATGTCGAGCACTGAGCAGCAGAAGAAAGAAGCACGCATGATGAATGGCATGACGTACGACGACAAGATCGTCGACACTGCTAGCGATGGGCCTGTTGCCAGTGGCCGGGATGGCGACTCAACCTCAGGAGACGCTATCCGCGAGCGCATGCAACAGCGTCAGGCCGACCAGGACGCGCTGACTCCTGAGCAGCAGAAGGATGCCTAGGTGGAGGCTCTCTGGTTTCGTTGGGTTATGATTTCAGGCGGGAGTTTGGAATGCTGTCATGGCTACAGCAGGCGGTCTTGATGATTTTTCACACTTTTAGTATGGATACAACACAGCATGATTATTGAAAATGGCTTGTGCTTGTTTCAAACAAGGAAGTCCATGGTGACTTCGATTGAATTGATTGTATGAAAAAAAAACACATTCCTCTCAAAGCCTGTTGGCGATCTACGCTCTTGCAATGTGCAGTGGCAACCCCGCATTTCGCCTGCAGCTGGTGATAGGAGATAGCAGCTGCGGGCATTGCAACTGCGGGCAAGCGCCCCCCCCCCCACCCTCGATTCCGCTTCACATGCGGCGACTCTGTTGTAGAACCACCGATAACTTGTCGTCTCACATTTGTATCGCCGTGTCCTGAGCACATGCATACTTGACGGCATATAGCTCTCTGCTCCACACCGACATAGCTCTTAACTCCTGCTGCGGAGCCCCGCATCCCGCAATACGCAATACGCGACACATAGGCGTCGCAACCATGACAGACCGCAATCACGGCTCCGACACCAAGAATGCCTCGCTCAGCAGCTCCACCTCGTCCATAGGCCGTAACGCTCCGCCTGCTCTCAAGATGGGCTCTGCTCCAAGTCCCCACTCGTCGCACCGCTCAAGCTTTGCTGAGCATATGCGAGGAGCCCCCACGTCACCGCGCGCATCACGCCAGCCCTCCCTCACACAACAAGCCCTTCAAGAGCTTCTCAACAACCCCCCGACAAAAGGCGGCGATTCCAAGTTTCAAGGACGTGACTGGAAGACCGTCCGTCTTCGCGAGATTGTCGACCCGGAGCTGGTCAGGTTTGTCGAGTACAACACCAGTGTCGAGGATGCTACGAATGTGAGGAATACGACTGCATCCTCTTTCTGCATGCTCGATACTGATATGCATAGATACTAGTTAAGAACGGTGCCCCTAACGTCGTCCTCCTTCGTGAAGATACCAACTCGCGACATGCAGTCGGGACCTTTGATTACAGCGATCTGAATGCCTATCTTCTCCTAGTAGTCGGCCTTGCACAACCCGAAGAGAGAGACATTGCATCATTCGACGAGCTTGCAAGGAAGGGTCGAGAGGGCAAGCCCATTCCCCTCAAGGACGTCAAAGAGGTTGGTGGCAACAAGGAGCCGTTGATCACCCTAGATGAGAATACAGACCTCTGCAAAGCGATTGAAGTGTTTGGCAGTGGTATACACAGAATACTCGTCGTTGAAGAAGGCTCACAAAATGTCGTTGGAATTCTCACGCAGTTGAGACTAGTGCAGTTCTTCTGGGAGAATCGGTCGAGCTTCCCGGCCGTCAACCAGCTGTACCCACAGCTGATCAAGGACTTAGATCTTGGCTCAAAGACGGTCATGGCCATCAAGTGAGAATCCCTGGCGCTTATCAATGCCCTTGAGCTGACCAGAAAAATAGTGGAGATAAACCTTTGGCGGCAGCTCTTGAGCTTATGAACAATGAAGGTGTCTCGTCTCTGCCAGTCCTCGATGCACAGAATAATGTCATTGGCAACATATCACAAGTCGATGTCCGGGTAAGCTCTCAGGGTTCTGACCTTTTGCGTCTGCGACTGACGATATGTCGATAGCTCTTGACTAAATCCACATCACTTCCGTTACTTCGCTCATCCTGCATCCACTTCATCTCCGTCATCCTGTCTGAACGGGGAGTGAATGACGGGAAAGACTCGTTTCCTGTGTTCCATGTAAACCCATACAGCACTCTTGCACATACGGTGGCTAAGCTAGTAGCTACCCGCTCGCACCGCATGTGGGTCGTTGATGCACCATCACCTGCCTCATCAGGGCCTTCCACACCCGCAATAACACCCGCAATTGTTGTTCCACCTTCGCCCATCACACCACTTCCTGGGTTGGCCGGTCCAACTCCGGTAACCTCTACGGCACCTACACACCTTGCTGCTACAGGAGCCGTTGCCCCGTCCATTTCGGCATCAGCAATCTCAGCTATGCCGGGAGCTAGCCTCTCAGGCAGACTCAGTGGAGTCATCAGCCTTACGGACATCCTCAATCTTTTTGCAAGAGCCAGTGGACTAAACCCCCATGATCCAGATGAAGCCAGACGGGCCAGACGCAGGTCAAGCTCCAGCAGCATGAGGAGAAGCATGGATAGCTCGCGCAGTGAAAGTATCTCCGCCATCGCAGGCAGGCGCAGCAGTGTAAGCGAAAGGGAAAAGAACGGTCCAGCGCCTCAGGGTTTGGGTATTTCCAGGGGTCGCGGCCCGTGACAGATGGAACCATGCGACCGGGGGACCTCAATCCTTTCACAGAACATCATTTCCTTTGCACTTAGAATCAAGCGTGACGAACGTTTTCCGCGTGTTGTCTATCAGCAAGCTGACGTCCATCATTGGCGGGAGTCGTGGCTCATGACTGTTAGCACGCTCCTTTTCTTTTTTCATCTTTAATGAGCATTATCTATTTTACTTTGTCAAGCCAGTGTTCATATAAGCGAAAACCTTTTTTCCCGAGGCATGTAGTCTTTTTTTTGCGAGTGAACCATAGAAGATTGGAGAAGAAGAAAAAAAAAACAGTGACATCTTATTTTTGCTTTTCTGTTTGAGAACAAGATGTCGACATAAAAGTACTCGTCACGTGTGAATCTCTTTGTGTAAACAAGAAGCCTTGCACACCTTGTATCTGTGCCTATTTTCCCACGAGAAGCGAAATGAGCGATTTACAAAGAAAGTGATATCATCGCATGTATAAAGTTTTCGCCAATCGACGCCCAGGATGCCTAACGATGAAAGTTAGCCACTTTTAACTCTCAGACAGGGAAGGGAGGATGGGGGAGGGAGTGTGCCATGTGGGTAATTAGCGGAATGAAAGATGTGACGATCAGGAATGCTTGCTAGTACATGTGCCGATCCCTCCCACATACACACACGCGCGCGCCCCCCCAGCTTCTTGCGCAATAGAATGTGGAATTGATTGTCTTTTTGTCTGATCCAATGATGAACCACGGTTGCAGATTGAAAGGTTAAAAATATCACGTGGGGTGCAATGCACAAGTGTCGGAATGCTTTGTGGAGAGTTATATTTTTGGGGGAGGGTTCGGGAGGAGTTACTGTATGCGAAAGGTGGTATGGATGAGTGCGGTTGTCATGTTTGTGTGCTTGAAGGGATGTTCCCTGCAGCGTATACCGACCGGAGGAGCGTGTAGAAAATGGTCGTGTGTAGGTTCGGATGCATTGTGCCGGGCTTGTAAGTACTCACCTTGTCAATATCGCCTTGCAAGGGGTAAGTAAGTAATGCGGTTTTGGCCAGTAGTATTCTTATCGTTTGTGTGATGGGATGCTGAAAACGACTTTGTTTGTGAAGATATCCATTGGACCGATTAGTTGTGCTGAGCTATTTATTTTGGCAATCATAATAATGCAAGTACTATTCGTATGCAACAAAGTCTGGATGCAGCCTCTTTTTCGCTTGTGCGGGCGCCCAAAAAAAAGATGGCTGGCGTACTTCAAGTATGGATTGGGAGAAAAAAAAGAAGGAAATACACACGGCTGTAACGAAGCGCAGGGGTGCGCCTAAAGAGAGTGGTGGAGAAAGAACAAAAGATATGCAGGAGAGCGGAACGAGGAGTGGGTTGCAAGGCCCTCAGGCGCGAGCCATCGTCTCAGGCTATGCACGCCTGGCTGCAGGTCGTGTGCCTGACGGGATATTAGGTGCGTCTGCCCTTTCCTCTCCCCCTCTCCTCTCTCGTGATCTTTCCCGACCGGCACGGTTCGGTATACCTGTCGTAAGTAATATTGCGCGTTCGCTGGGATGCGTGACTCAGGAAGACCGCCCGCTGCAATGGATGGTGCACATCCCGTACATCGGCCAATAAGCCCATCAGCCGGCGCTATCGGCTTGTGACCGCGCCCGCCGAGATGACTGCTTGGGAGGATTTTGGAGCACTGGCATTAATTCGTACTTCCTGGTAACTGGGTCTTTCGTTCTACTGGTGTCAATACCGTGTTTTGTTGCCAAGGCGATGATAATGTGCCTGAGATACATAGTATGGTATTTGCCCGCGGATGCTGGAGACGTATCTTGGCAGGAACAGGGTAGTAGTAGGGTGTTTGCATGCACACGTACTAGGTGCAGTCTTTTTGTATTGCTTTCGTTCACCGCTACGTATTTGCTTATATGCTGATACTACTGCTCTTAACAGCAAGTGGTGAGCAATTCCAATCGAACTGACGCTGAGCCGACGTAAAGTTTTCTAACTTGCGAAAATAGCCGGCTTACATGTATTTGTCTTCCGTAGTCAGAGCCGACCTGTGTGTAATCATAGTTTCTTAATTGTGGATTAGTCTGACATGCATTGCACTACGGCTAAGTATGATGAAGCCCAGTGGAGTCTTCTAGTACATGCTGATATATAAGAATTTAAGAGACTGCAAAAGACCAAGTATGTTGGCTTTCTTGTCTTTGTGTGCAGTCAAGCACACAAAGTACCGCCTTGATCTACAACCCTACCTCTATGACTTGAGTCAATTTTCTAAACATATGGATAAGTTTATATCCATACAGGTACTAGCGTCGCATAGTCCGCTACTGTTCCAGACGGTGACCATCAAATGCAATCTTCCATGTGACTTTGCTGATCCGCTGGGACAAAGGACTACCGTGGGTGACATTCCGATAGTACGGAATATTGATATGTTTGTGCTGACTGGACAAGGTGCACAGGACCAAGTGGCACAGGGAAACCATACACTGCATTTGATGGTAATGAGACTAGTTGCCGGTACGTCGTCGATCACCAGAGTACATATGATGTAGCTGAGTATTGGTTTTTCCCTACGAGGTGTTCTCTGCGTGAGTACACCCTACCACTTGAAAACATGGCTTTTGTTCTACCACTATGTTTTGTTTGTACGGCCCGTGTGAGTTTCTATTGTTGGATTGTTTTGATGCTAAACTCAGAAGCTGTACATTGGACATGCAGATTCAGCTTGTAGAATTGATATGAAGCGCACAAAAGCAACGACAAAACTTATCTGGCTTGGATAAGTAAGTTTGCAGAACCAGAGAGACAGGTCAATCCCAAATGTTGTTGTACTAGCCATGGAAAGATTGCTTCTAGAACAAAAGGGCCTTGGGCTTCGGAGCTCGGCAGAAAACCGCCGAGGCCTAAGTGAGCTAGCTTGGGGATACAATCCAATCATTGGACTGCCAGACCGTTCTTTTTTAGATGCATAGAATCAATTATTGCCGAGCCAAGGGGCGGCCGGTCGGCTCCTAAGTACGCGCACGCGCAAAGAGAGCCTACAACCAAAAAGAAAACTAAGCAGTCTGGGTTGTCCCGAAAGGCAAAGTCTACCTATTACACCTGGCCGGGACCCCTGCGCAACCCCCTGCAAGGTTCCGCCGTCTGTGCCAGGAGGTGGTGCGCCCTTGTGACTGGCGAGCGAGCAATTTGGAGGCCGGGAATTGTATTTGCATCTCGTCCTTGTAGCGGGTCAGAGCGTGCTTGCTCCCAAGACTTTTTTGACTCGTGGCCGCGACTATGTCCATTGAATCTGTTCGACGGATGGTCAGGGATGCCATGACAAGGTTTGGATCGCCTGCACCTCCATCTCAAAAACTCCTAGTCTGCGTCCCTCCTGCATTGGAACTTGCCCTGGGGCGAACGGCCCTTTCTTTTCCAACTGCTGTTCTGGCCGCGATACCACACCCGCGGCTCTTTGTTCTATCCCAGGCAACTTATACCCTGCGGAACCCCCCTTCACGACCACCGCCGACTTTGGATTCCGCCCCGACGCCGTTGTATGCGCGCTGGGCCCCCAGTACCTGCTAGTGCTTGCGCGTGGCTGTTTCTGGCTACATCGTGCAACACCACGAGAACATCGACCGTTTGGGCCCCCTGAAGCACCCCCCGCAACCCTCAGCGTAAACTTAGTTTAGGCCGACTGTTTGCTGCGCGTGTCATGCCATTGCAAGACGCCTTGATTCGCCCCTAGCATTTTGTGCAAGCCTTTGTACATACATTGCGTATACGACATCGACGACGATACCCGACGGCCGTATCCACGCTCTATTCCGCCACTGAGCTTTAACTTCTCTGGGCCGAGCCATCTGCTGCCACGCCAAGTGCCTCAAGGCTTCCAATCGTTCCCGTCTCTTGGGCGGAAAGCTACCAGGGCACCCCGGAGCATGCTCCATTGCTCCAGTGTGGAAGGTTGCACTACCCCGACATCTTCGCTTCGTCGCATCCAACCATGGCCGACAACTTGTACCTTGACGGGCCACCTTCTACACCTCCAGGTCCCTCGAGGACAAACCGACCGAACAAATCAATGAGGGCGCTCAACACCAATCAGCCGAAGCAGGAGACTTTCTTTGACGATGCGACTCCAGTCGACCGCCTAAGCGACAACGCAAAGCACAACCCCGTGCGCGACTCTCATGACCTGTCATTCACAGAGGCCGGTGTTAGAGACTCGGTTGTGGATAATATGCTTCTGTCACTGGACCAATTCTCTTCAGGAGGCTTGTTCGGCGGCAGCCCAGGGCCTCGATACCAAGGCTACGGAGAAGACGACTTCTTCCTGAGAGACACATCCTTTCGTCCACCCGGCGCGCGCCACCGAGGCCACACGTACACATCGTCGCGCTCCTCCGATTACGATCCGGACGACCACTCGCGATACGCCGCGCACCACTCTCGCGCGCGCCGAAGCAACAGCAGCAACAACATTAGCATGCCCATCTCGAGAAAGGGGAGCACACGAGACATTCATTCGAGCAGACAAATCAACAACTCATACGGACAACTTGGACATCTGAGAGGGGGAAGCAAAAAGGGCAGCATGGGTAGCGGATCTTCGAGCATGGATTTTGGCCAGTCTGGTGTCTTGGGCAACCAGCGGCTTGGGTTTGGAAAGCGCTCTGCGAGTTTTGATCATAGCAATGCAAGTGATCGGGGGCGCATCTCACCCCTCAAAATGGAGTCGGTCCTGGACAGAGGCAGGGTCGCCTATCAGAATTACCACGACGACTACGACGCAGCACCTGAGCCCACCATTCCAGCTGGCCCTCGAAGGGTCCAAGAAGCGCCTCAGTCCCCGCTAGCACTTCCCCCGCAACCCCCGTACGCAGCACCACAGGGCCCTAGGCCCGGACGCAGAGGTAGCGTCCACTCAAACACTAGTTACAAGACCTTGCGGAAAAACAAAAGTCAACCGGGGCCAAGCATGCGAGCACAGGCGGAGGAGTTTGTCAACGCGAGTAGATTACGAGAACTTCCCCCTGTACCGGCCTGGCACGATTCATCGGCACCATCATCGAGCATAGCTGCTAGAGTACCATTGTTTCCTCCGCAACCCCCAGCAGCCTCCAAACCTGGCTTCTTCCGCCGTGTCTTTGGCGGAGGCTCTGCAAAGCCCCAGTCGCAACAGCAAAACCCGCCACCTCTGTCCAACGCGTCGCCAACCGAGCCAACGCCGGCACCCAGTAGACCACAAGCCGCAGATGTCAATTCGATATACTCGGCAAACCGACCGCGCACAACACCAAACACCGGCAGCCAAGCTCCCGTCCAGACCAAGACGTCAGCAAAGGTACCTCAAACCGCGACGTCATCGTCGCATGCAGACACGCAACCGCTGTCACAGCCACCAACACTAGGCAAGAAGCCCTCGTCCTTCTTCAGGCGTCGTAAGAAGTCAGTTTCTGAAAACCCAAGGCCCCCGGTCATGAATCTTGAGCATTCGCCGCCGCCGAGACCAGTGCTACCTGCGCAACCCAGCCCAGGTATAAGCAGTCTGCGCAAGGTTATGAACCCTTACCTGAATGAGTCAGGACGCCCCGGAGACAGAGTCCCGAGAGATGAACAGTCCGGGGATGACGTTGCAGACAGCGAGCGACCACAGGGCTTCTCTCCTACCTATAAGCCCCACAAGGACGCGGCTGTCCGCACGGTCAACGCTGACGCTCCTGGCAACGATCAGACGCCACCGACATCTCGCCATGAACAACTCAAGGCTTCTCATTTGAATAGTGCAAATACACCCAAGCTGAAACTCAAAATGAAACACGGCAAATCAGCCGCCCTGGCTCCACAAGAAGACAGCTTCCTTGCGGATAGTAGCAGCGGTAATGAGGATCAGAGTGGTCGTGCAACACCAACGGGAGAATGCAGCGGTGCAGATGATGTGCACAAAGCGAGCATGGGCCCCACCTGGTCATTGCCCAAACAGGCAGAGGGAAGGAGCAAGCCGTCTAATGATCAGCGGCCCGACCAACTATCACCCCATGAGAACCCAACTTCAAGAAACGGATCTGTTTCACAGTCGGCATCCGAAGTCGAGGACGACGGCTGGATCATTGCCGAATCATCAAACATTGTCTACTCGTCGGGCAAGAGGAGTGCAGCTTCAAAGCGTGTATGGCTCGACACTACTGTACCGGATACTCTCGGTGATACTACTGACGACCTGAAACTTCCACTCGAAGGCACACGTTCATCCCAGCTCTCACTTGAAAAGTCGCTGCCTTGCTCACCTGATACCCGGACACCAACCACGCCTAATGAGATTTTCCACTCTGCGACCGAACTTCCTATAGTACAGGTAGAACGCCGAAACTCTGAATCCGACACCATGTCTGCGGCTGTCCAAGACCGATCGATGCACAGTGAGCCCACTGACGCGGAGCGTGGGCGTGCATTGCAAATCTACAGCGGAGACGAATCTTCTAGTCTCAAGGCACAGGCTGCTGCCATGTTGGGTGATGTCACCCTTTCAAGCACACGAACCCGAAAAGCATTTATGGATCTATTTGACTGGACTGGATTCAATATCCTTGCTGCCATGCGGGATCTTTGCGGCAAGATTATCCTCAAAGCCGAAACTCAACAGGTTGATCGCATTCTCATGAGCCTTTCAGAGCGCTGGTGTGAGTGCAATAGCAACCATGGTTTCAAGGCAGTCGGTAAGTTGCCTACACACCTTTTTGTCCAAATAGGCACACGTAATTAATCCCATTCCAGATGTGGTACATACTATTTGTTATTCCATCTTGCTTCTGAACACGGATCTGCATTTGGCCGACATCGAGTCGAGGATGACCCGTAGTCAATTTGTTCGCAACACGCTTCCCACTGTTGTGCGTGTATGCCAAGACGCGGTCAAGGCTGCTGGTGAAGAAACTCTAAGACCGCAGTCCACCCATTTCCGTAGACCTTCTTTGCCCTGGAACGAGAAATCGGAACCAAACTCTCCCGGTCCTGAAGCCACCAACTTCCCTGGAGATGCTTCCGAAGAGCTCCCCGAGGCTAGGAAGACCCGTAGTCGACTTTCCATTCGACCCCCTGCTAAGAGCGGCAGCGAAGCACTGGTTTCTTATGATGGTACAGGATCAGAGTCCAACACGCTTGTCAACACTCCCTATAATGGGCCCATGAAGGGTTGGGAAATGCAGATTGAGACAGTGCTCAAGGAATTTTACGACTCCATTCGCAAACAACGCCTGCCACTCCATGGATCTTCGGACCTCGTTGTTCATCACCAGCCTTCCAATAACAATCTTTCGGTTACTGGGATGCTACGTCGGACCCCAAGTGTGCTCAGCAAAGCGCCTTCAGACAACACTAGTTACCGAGGCAGATCACAGAATGATTTGCGTAGTATGGGCAACCGCTGGGCTTCTAAGAACCGCTCAAAACAGCGACTGTATCCTTCGTCTACTGTTGCATCAAGCCGCACAAGTTTGGACGATCAATCTGTATGGAGCCCTGCTGGTTCCAGCACTTGGAGTCGGTACTCGTACGGAAAGACTGGCACGTCAATGTCAGTGGATTCACTTGGCTCTCATTTCGCGCATGGCGATTACCAGCAAGCTATTGGCTTTGCCAATGCTCTTAGCCAGGCCATTATTCGTGAGGAAGGCATGACTATTGCCAGCGACGAAGAGTTCTCTCGTGTCGCTCCTCTCTTGGAAGATGAGACTCTTGAGCTTGTTGGGGCGCCATGGGCGAAAGAAGGTATTCTCAAGCACAAACGACACCTCGAAACAGTGGGTCGGAAAGCTAAAGACCGTACTTGGAACGAGTGCTTTGCAGTGGTTGAGAAGGGCTGTATGCGCCTGTTTTCTTTCAGCATGAACTCTAAGGCAGCGAGACAGAAGAGCAAATCGAAACCATCAACTGGTGGTGTCGTAGGTGGTGGTAACTGGATGGACAATGCCGAAGCCTTGGACAGTTTCCAACTCCGACAGACGATTGCGAGCGCGCTGCCGCCTCCTGGATACTCGAAGACCAGGCCACACGTTTTCGCTCTTTCACTTCCCAACGGCGCCGTCCATTTGTTTCAAGTCGGAACCCCTGACATTTGCCGGGAATTTGTGTGTACTGTCAACTACTGGTCCGCCCGTCTTTCCAAGGAGCCCTTGACTGGTGGTGTCAGCAGCATGGAGTATGGCTGGGGCGAGAACGTCATCAACCCAGCCTTGATTCGACGGGACAGCACGCCGTCGGTGCAGGGGCACATGCCTCGTCCGAGTGTCACAAGCTCCCTTCGTAGTTCGATGGACCATGCCACTGGCGCGCCTAAACCCAGGCTTCCTGGTGACAAGGTTGTCCTCTCTGACTGGAGCCCACCAGCGTCGAGCATGATGGCCAGCACTCTTATGGAAGTGGATCAGCTCAGAGCCTTGACCGATTATGTAAAGAACATTGAGAACGAGCTGTCCCATCACAACGAATTGAGAGCGCCTTTGCTCATCGCGGTAAGTCTTAGCATTTTTTGTATTCGGAGCTGCTACTGACTAACAAAACCAGTTCTCACCTCGCCATCCCAATGCGGCAAAAGCCATGGCCAACTGGGAGCGCAAGTCGCAGTACCTTCTCCGGGAAATCGTCAAGTTCCGAACGTACATTGACACTCTGGCCAATGCACAGGCGCAGAAACAGAAGATCTATGCCGAGCGCGAAGCTCGCGAAGCAGAAGCGGACGAGACGAACAAGGATGAGGAGTCGAGTGGCAAACTCAATGAGGATGATGGTGCGAATGAAGCCTCCAAGCCTTGTTCATCCGAAACCTCGCCCAATCCCGCCCTGACTACTGCCTCTTCTTCCCTTTCGCATGCATGAAAGCCATTACCAAGTGGTTTTGTGCATACTGATGATTAATCTTTGTTATGAACAGTTACCCCTTTAAGGTGCACAGTACGCCGTTTGCGACTTCTCCATTCGTCGCGACCGAGCTTGAGACAACAGCGCCCGCATTCAATGGCTTGATGCCGCTCAACACTTTAATGTAATATGTACGATTTTGTACGTTTCGATATGTTTTCTTCTTCTTCTCTTCTTTTTTTCACCCTTCTGATTCTCTTCTCTTTCTTCCTTTTCTCTTTGCTGCTTCCTTTTTTTCCTCAACCGATTGCGTACAATGATCGTTAGAGCTGTTAGAATTGAGACGCCGACCCCATGTATCGTTTTGTTTCCTGTTTTTTTAGCATTGCATCGGACTAGGGAAAGTTGATGGTGCATATATGGTATCTGTTTTTCGTACTGTTTGGTTTGAGCGTTTATTCATATGGACGAGGATTGGCCAATAGGGACGAGAGAAGCTTTGTTCGAATACTATATACCCCATGTTGCGAGACCCATACGATTACAGGCACTGCCCGCGCGCTTGACAGCTGGGTGTGATACCCAAGATGCTTGTGACATGTCTATGATCTAAAAATGATGGATGACTGCATTAGCAAGCTGTAGGTTATACCGACGCCGTTGGTCAAGTGCATCGAGTAGGGCACATTGTAACGCTCGGCTATACTAGCTCAAGACTAATCATTCAGCTATGATGGTTCAAACAAAGGCATCATGCACCCATGGGGACGAACTCGTACAGAGCAAGAAAAAACGTCCCAATCAAACGTGTCCGAGCCCTCGGCCCTCGCCGTTGGCGTCGAACAGGCAGCGCAAGCCACCAGACGGGCTGGACCCTTTTAGCGCCGTCCTAGAAGAGGTTTTCTGGATGGAGCTAGAGCGCAGGAAGGGTGTGCGGCAGTTGGATTCGGTCGTATGAGAGCGTGTGTTTGCGAAAGGGTTGGATGAAAAAGGTGAGTTGGCATGGAGGTTATGGACGGATTGGGAACTGGAGCTGAGTTGAATGGGTGTGTTGTGTATGCGGGTACCTGTAAGCGGATATGGAAATGTAGCAGGGACAGGGGGGTTAGAGGCGTCGCTACGGAGGTTTGGAATCGACTAGGGGGAACGGAAATAGGCGGACAGAAACAGACGTGGGTTGTGTAGGGCGAGGGACGAGAGGAAAGAAGGGCCGATGAAGATTGGGAGGTTTTGTGGGTGGAGTGGATTGGATAGGAGGGAGGGTTGCGAGGAGTGGGAGAGTTTGGGTGCTTTGGTAGAACACGACTCGATGTCTACAGTAAACACTCCAGTTGTGTGCTACCCACCGAGTCGGTAAACATTAAGCATAAGCAGCACAACCCACCCTCGGCTTTTTCAGAATCGTTCCAACGGAAGGCTCGCTTCGCGCTCGTCGGCGAGGCCGTCTGCTCCGCCTTGTGCTACGACGTCAAGCCACATGGAGGCTTGACAGCGGCCCAATGCACACACACCACGAGTGTAAATTAAGCAGACCGTGACAGTGGACGAATGGCAATGCAGAGGTCGGATGAGGCACGGCACTGGGGCATGGACTTGCAGATGGTGACACACACGTAGGATCGCGCTGGATTCAAGGTGTTTTTTTTTTTGGGTCGAGCGACGGGACGTTGGACATGACATGGACGTAGTCTACTTAGTCTACCGGTATTGGAAGAGACAGAGAGAGTAATGGTAGAAGAACACGAGGTAGGTAGACCGGTTGATAGCGAAATATTGCAAGTCGTTGGCTATGCTTGTTTCTGTTGCTCTGGCGGGTCGAGGTTGGAGTACATTCTTGGGAGCATGGCTAGTTACTGCATCTAGATGGGATTGGAGATAGCGGCATGCAAGTCAAGTCGCATCTTGCACCAGGGGAGGAAGCGCCATGGGCCCACTGCATGTCGTCGGGTGGCTGTGGTATTCACGTCTCTGGGTCCATGTTGTGCTCGTCAGGCGATGCTCGTGGCGTGGTAGTGGTATATGTTTGTTGCTTGTTGCTCCTTGCTCTTCCTCATCCTGCTCCTCTTGCCGTCTTCCCCCTCGGCTTCTCCACCTAAGTTCAGCCGCCAAGATACATGTGTGTGTTCATGTCTCGAGTTGGCCCAGGGGGTTTGGAAGCTTGTTAATAATTCGGGTCGGTGCTGGTCAGAGCTTAGGCCCTACCTAGCCACTCATCTTATCCCTACCTACTGTGTTCGTAGCAGCAAAAGACCAAGCCCGCCGCCCCGCGCTACCCTACCCACTCCAAGATCATCTGCCGGCCGAACCGTCAGCCGCACACCACCTTGCATCCTGCGACTTTCTCTGGCTCACCCTACCCTCTTCATTTCCCGCTCAACCTAGCATCCCCCACTGCGACGATCCCTCTTTAACCATTGACCCATCCTCCCCAATCGGGCATTTCTTCGACGATCGCTTCGCTCAAACTGCGACACGCCAGACTTCCACTCTCCACCTCCTCTTAGCTCGCCATGTCGTATTATCCCGGACAACAGTATCACGGCGGCGGCGGTGGTGGCTACGGCGCACCACCGCCTCAAGGTGGCTATGGCGGACCTCCCCCGCAAGGATATCCACCGCCACAGCAGAACTACGGCGGCCCTCCGTGAGTGGACATCAACTGGCTGCTCTTCGACAACTCGCTGACGTATTTCAGGCCTCCACAGCAGTACGGAGGGTACAACAACTACGGACAGCCTACTCCTCCGCCGCAGCAATACGGATACAACCAGGTACGTACAGCACTTGGTCACGAAAGCATCAAGAGTCACAGTGGTTTTTTGATTTTTGATTTTGGATATTGAGATTGAAACCGAAGAGACATACTGACAAGCATAGGGACCACCACCACAGCAATACGGAAACTATGGAGGCCCACCCCCACAGCAGCCTCCGCAGCAGCCTCCACGGCCAGGCAAGTTCCCAATCTACCCGGACCAAGACGGTAGAACTGACAGTCGCACACAGGCATGATGCCCACAGTCAACAGCAATCAATGGACGCATGGAAACCATTCTGCTCCTCCTCCACCGCCCAGCGGCGCTCAGAACTTCGGCCACGGCGCGCCTAACGGCTACTCATTCCAATACTCAGCATGCAACGGTCGGAGGAAAGCGCTGTTGATTGGTATCAACTACTTTGGCCAGCGAGGCCAGCTTCGAGGATGTATCAATGATGTCAAGAACATGAGCACATACTTGAACGAGTTCTTTGGATACAAGCGAGAGGACATGGTCACTTTGACCGACGACCAGCAAAACCCTATGAGCCAGCCGACCAAGGCGAACATACTACGAGCGATGCACTGGTTGGTCAAGGACGCACGGCCAAACGATTCCTTGTTCTTCCATTACTCAGGTGCGTTGCGCTGAATTCGGCAAATCCAACCACAACATACTAACATGCATGCAGGACACGGCGGTCAAACAAAGGACCTTGACGGTGACGAGGACGACGGCTACGATGAAGTGATTTACCCAGTGGACTTCCGCACTGCTGGTCACATTGTTGATGATGAGATGCACCGTATCATGGTTGCGCCTCTCCAACCCGGAGTCCGACTGACCGCCATTTTCGATTCCTGCCACTCCGGTTCCGCCCTCGACCTCCCATACATCTACTCCACCCAGGGTGTGCTCAAGGAGCCAAACTTGGCCAAGGAAGCCGGCCAGGGATTGCTCGGCATTGTATCGAGTTATGCGCGCGGTGATATTGGCAGCATGATTGGCGGCGCCACCAGCTTGTTCAAGAAGGCGATTAATGGTGACGAGGTGTACAAGAAGAACCTAAGGACAAAGACCAGTCCCGCTGATGTCATTATGTGGAGTGGATCCAAGGATACCCAGACTTCGTAAGTTTCATGCCATCATGATGAGTACATGATACAGAATACTGACCTGAACAAACAGAGCCGATGCAAGCATTGGCGGTGAGGCCACAGGAGCCATGTCATGGGCTTTTATTACTTCACTGCGCAAGAACCCCAACCAGAGCTATGTACAGCTGCTCAACAGCATCCGTGACGAGCTCGAGGGCAAATACCAACAGAAACCCCAATTAAGCTGCAGTCATCCGCTTAGTAGGTCTTGTAGGCCCAATGGTTAACCGAGGAGACATGCTGACTGGTACAACAGACACGGACCTCCTCTACGTTATGTAGATGTGCGTGAATGATGTAGAGAATGGACAAGGGAAAATATGAATTAAACGGCCGTTTTATTTGTAAGGGCTGCAGCATTTGGATGGATATTTTCGCATAATGATACCCCTAGCACCCCTTTTGAATAAGGAGTTGTGGGTAACGAAATGAAGGCACAGAGAATTAATAAAAATGACTATAATCTAATCATTGTGTGCACTTGTGATCGTAAATGTATATTTTACGTGACGGCGTGACACGAGGGATGTCCTATCACTCGTCATGACGACTAAAAAAGCGTTTCTCTTACAAGCATTATGTTGCTTTTTTTTCTCGTAACGAGACCGAACCCTTTTTTGGAGAGTTTCTTTTTCACAAAGAAGAAACAAAAAAACCGGAATGGCATCGTTTGTTTTTTCATCATGTGCCGACATCGGCCAGGAGCACTTGTCAAGAGGCATAATTCTTCTGATTTGATTTGTCGTATCCATATCGGCATGTTCCGCCGCCTAGCTCGGTTGGTAATCGCCGTGCAATACTGTTCTATCCATAGTCCGGTATATCGTCGCCAGAGTCAAATGATCTAGATGTATACGCATGGGGGGGGGGGGGGGAAGCCTCTATATCAACGCCCAAAAGAAAGAAAGAGAGAAAAAAGTGTAAAATGTCAGGAAAGAAACAATGTCCAAGCAAAAAAAAACAAGGAAAAAGTTCATGAAGCCAAATACTACTCTGCATTAAACTCTCTAACCTCGTTATCGCAATCAATGAGCATATTTCATCTGCTCATCGACCTCATCCCGCCATGCCTTCCACTCATCCCACGCAAGACTAACCTTCTTCCCTTGATACCTCACGACCTTGATCTTGACAGCCCTCCACTCGCTCTTGCGGCCCCCCCATCCCGCCTTGCGCATCAGGCTAACAATCGTTTCTTCCTTGGTCCACCCTTGCTCGCGCGCCACATCAGGCAAGTACGTGCTGCCGTAGCGGCGGCCCTTGTCCGTGAAACTGATGCGCAGACCGTGGACGCCGACCTCCCAGTCCATGGGGTCGTCAACGGGCTCAAAGTGCGTGAGGAGTGTGACTGCGCACTCAAGGGATGCGAGTTCCTGCTTGTTGATGGGTGGGAAGCGTGTGTCGTCAAAGGCAGAGGTGAGGGCGTATGAGGAGAGGCCTGTGGAGAGGGGGAGGGGCTCAAAAGTGCCGATGCAGCCGCGAAGTCGTCTTTCGTGGCTTCCTGGCGAGATGGTGTTCCAGGTTACGAACAGAGGGTGTTCTTCTTCTTCTTCTTCCTCGTCATAGTCTGAGTCTTGCTCTTGTCTTGTCGCCTTATCATCTAGGTTGGTTGTGCTGCTGTTTTGGCTTGTCATGCTGCTGTTTGTTTCACTGCTGCTAGCTCCACTAGGCGTAGAACTCGCACTCGGCAGGCTTGAGGAGCTGCTTGATGAAGATGGCGAGGCCAGGATACGTGATATAGCAGCGGGCTTCAACGATGCGCCTGCTGCTTCAACGGGCTCATCTTCCATCCCAGCGTTTGATCTTCTCCACATGATTTCGGTTTGCGCCAGGCTCAGAGCGGGCCGCTTCTCGAGGCTCGCAACCAGGCTTTCAAAGCAGTATGCGCAGTGGGCTTGAGTTGCCATGGTGTATGTTGTTTGCAAGGCGTGACGGAAGATCGGGCGTAGGAATAAGAGGTAGGTGATTTGGAAGAGAACAATAGCAAAAGTGAGAGAATGAACAGGCTGCAATTTTATTTGCGACAGAAAGAAACAAGGTATGATGACGAGATCCCAAGGTACGAGGCGGGTGCTGGCTAATCGGGCTGCGAGAGGGCTGTGCAACCAGACCGGGAACCGGAACGGACTCGGCTGACCTACCTCTGCGGCGAGACGTGCAAGAGCGTGAGGAGCGTATTATCGGCGGTATACAGTCTTGACGCTCTTGCATCGACTCTGGAGGGTCAGCAGGGGCGGAGGGATGGCGGGATGGGAGGACGTGAGAAGAAGAGTAGATGTTGAGGTCACTCGGCTGCCCCACCTGTTCGGCAATACACGCGCTTGGAAAATCGTCATTACCTCAACCAGCAATGCCAAAGGGCCAGATAGTAAATCATGTTTCATATTAATTTTGAGTCTTCGTACGATACTTTTCGGCACCGTCTTTACTTGTAAAAGCTGTTCTGAGCCAGAAATAATGTAACACCATCTTCATGCACACGTGCCCTACGGGTCAAAGGCAGTGTGTTTGGTAATGATGGGGTAAGTTGTTCTTGCCACGATAATTTTCCTTCAGCAGGTCGAGCATTGAAGAGCTCTGTTGCTGTACACACTAATGGCTGGGTTGAGGTTTGCACCTCGGTCACTCATCTCACTTACCTGACTTTACGTTGTCCAAGGGTCGGCCAATGTAACACATCACATGGATAGGCGTGCGCTGGGAGAACCGAGCTGACTTTTCGACTTATTCATTGTTCATGCCTGCGGTAGGCGTGAAGCCACATGCTTCTATCCCTTGAGTTCGAAGCTGTCAAAGAAAGTCCGAATGCCATTGACGCCGACCAGATGTCTCATAAAGGAATCGAAAACCGCCATCGTCGCTCGCTCGTAATCGTATCGGCCTTTATGCGCTCTCGCGCTTGCCCTCCTTAACCTCCTTCTGTGCAGACGTTAGCAGGCCGAAGCAGGCCTCGTGCAGTGCATTGTTGCTACGCACCAGAGCGCGCATGGTGCCGTGAAGCGCATGCCTGTGGTTCCTCCTGAACTTGGGGTCGGTTCCCTTGAGCGAAGGGTAACGGTGGGTCTTAGGCTTCTTGATACTGTAATGCAATCAATCAGTCGTTGCTCTTAGATTCATGCATCGACAAGTGTTCGATCCAACGAGATGGACGGGCCATCTGGGGGAATTATGGCACGCGTGCAACCGTGATAAGGGATGCGTACCCGTTTCGGTGGTTCTTCTTGGACTGGTTGTGCTGAGACGAGTTCTTGGATTCTGCGCAGCTGTGTTAGTCTTGTCGTACGCTCCATCGCGAGGCTTCGTCAACGTACTGGCCATGGCGACGGTTGTGGATGTCGATTTGGCTGTGTGGTATTGTCGAAGAGCTGAGGTTCTGAGCCACGAATTTCCACTGTGGTGTTTAGCGAGTAGAAAACCGCGCTAGCAACATTTAGCGCGGCTCTCAACATCGACCGCCTTCCACCATCAGCTCAATGTGGCTATTTCGGATATAGGTAATTTTTGAGATAAAGAGAATCAATTTTATTTTCAGGAAATTTTGGTTTTCATATGTGATTGCTGCTAAAATTGAACTAGCATTCGCACCCAATTGGCGCTGCTCTAAATCTGCTTCTGCGCACCCATTTCGCTGAGCTGAGCTGGCTGCTAGTGACGCTCCAAACAAGCTTATACCCTCACTCTCTACCGTAAGCGCCCTCACATAACCGCACAGTTTGTTGCAGGCTTGTCAGTGTACTTGTACTTGTAATGGCTTTTGTGCCTGCTTCTCTTGCGCCTGCCGTTCACATAATACCCATTGTCGTAGTATCTCGGTTTATTCGGAATGATCGCTGGTCCATCTGGCCCTGTAAACCTATGGTCGTGTGTGAAGTTTTGTGTCATATTGTCTAGATGAGTCGCACTGCCAGCTGTTGCAACACAACTAATCGCAGCGCTCCTTGGTCCACTTAGAGCCAGTTGAACATTACCCCATTGGCCTGGAATTGCATGATTGCCCCCAACATGGTTTCGAAGTAACTGATTACAACCCCAAGGGCCCTGGACCATTTCGATCGTTTCTTGGTCTGCAAAACCGCCATTGCACGTTGGACATGTGTACGGTGGTGCAATCAGAGTCTGGTAAGTCTGGCGATAGGGACAGTTGAGGAAGTCGGAGAGAAAGCCACAAGGCTGACTCATAGAAAGCCAGGAGTGACCGCATGTCGGCGAGTCATAGAGGGTGCAGCCACACATCTTAGATATCTCCAGGTTCGATGCCAGAAAAGCTTTTGGTGATACTAGGTCGAGTTTTTATGCGCGAATACTTCTTCGGGATCAGGCAAGATGCTGTACCGGTATACAAACACCAGCAGTCATTCATGTAGGCAATGAACTGGGCCTCGAGACAGTGATATCGTTGACGCCCCCGGATAGCAGTCAAGCAGTGATAGCAGGAACGGATGCAGAGGTGTCGGGATATTGTAATGGTATTGCTGATATATAATGCATCTCTCTAGATGCGAGAAAACGGAGGATAATTGCATGCTGTTCACGTCTCCGTTTTGAGGTGTGAAGTTTCTAGCGTTTGTCTCGGAACGGTCGATGCGTGGCATAATTCAATCTTTCGCAATCACTTTTCCGTTGAAGGCTTCTTGTCAAGCATTTCCACTACTCTCGCGTCTTCGGCATCAGCGTCTTCATTTGCCTGATTCTTAATCTGCTGCATTAGCTCATACAGCTGGCCGATTTGTTGATCTAAGTTTCAATCAGAAGAGCCTCATGCAGAGAGGGCTAATACATGCCGCTCATTTTATCAATTTTTGCTTTGTCCATCTTTGCGTCTTTCCATGAATCTCCTTCAAGCATTTGACAATACGTTTGCCACTCCGACAAAAAGCCGATCTGTGAATGTTAGTCTACTGGCATTGCGGTGCGCTTTTTGTGAAGATAGCCTGACTCACAATCTGCACGGGGTTCTCAACGTCCCTGTGGGCTCTAAACTCGGCCTTCACATACATGTCGCCTAGCAGGCGTTCCTCTGGGCCTAGCCTCTTTCGATGTGACCTTAGCAGGCGCCGGTAGAGTGGTATTGGCGGCAACAGAGCCGCAGGTGCCGGCTTGAAGGGTCTCGATGCACCTGCATCTGTTGCAGTAGCTAACAATCGTATACAAGCTCTCATTTTGGCAAAATTCGCATAAAAACAATATACGGGGCGTTGCGGTAAAGGAAATGGGATGCACTGAAGAAGTGATGACCTCAGCCTCGGCTTTCTAGACTAGAATGCTCCAGATCTCCTTCCATTCCAATTGGCCCACACGCCACACCTCCGATCCGGAAACAAAATCACAACCATGCTGCCCACGCCCTCGACATCGCACGTTTGTTTCGATCGTGTCTACGAACCGGCTGAAGACTCATACTTGCTGCTCGACACAATATCATCTGCATCAGAAACCACGTATCTAAAGGATCGATTTGGTGATGCGTCTTCAACCCCGCCGCTGGTGCTCGAAGGTATTGTCATACCAACAGTATCCAGCATTACCATATCGCTAAGTCTGTGCTCGAAGTGGGCGTAGGATCAGGGGTTATACTAGCATTCGTTGCTGCAAATGCGCAAACTATTTTTGGTCGGCATGACACACTGACACTTGGAGTTGATATCAACAGCTTCGCGTGCAACGCTGCTGCCCACACTGTTCAAAATGCAATCCAAGAAAGAGAAAAGGAACGCTCGGTTTTCATGGATGTTGTGAATGGCGATTTGGCGAATGCAATTCGTCCAGGTTCTGTCGATGTTTTCATCTTCAACCCGCCATATGTACCAGCTGAACTGCCTGATCTGTCAAGTCACGAGAAGTACAATATGATCCCAGAAGGAAAAAAAGCCACCTCATTTGAACAAGACTCATACCTTTTGGAGCTATCCTACGCCGGAGGTGAAGATGGTATGGTGGTAACGAACAGGATGCTTGAGCAAATCCCGGACATACTGAGTGCAGACAGAGGAGTTGCCTACCTACTGCTGTGTGCACAAAACAAACCCGAGTCAGTCAAGCAGCGGATAAGAGAATGGGGCACAGGATGGATGGCAGAGACTGTAGGATCGAGCGGCAAGAAAGCAGGCTGGGAGAAGTTGGTGATTGTGAGGATATGGCGTGAAGCGCGCTAAGTATGTACAAAATGCAGATCGAATATCAAACGATTAGCAGAGGAGTTCCCAGTGGTGTTTTCATGTATCGGCGGGGAAGTCGACCTCTATAACAAGATCTGTGTTGCTGCCAACCTTCTGGAGCCTTTGCTCCACACCGAGGCTCATGCCGCGCAATAATGATTCTGCAGTGGACCGCCGATTTGAAATGCTGGCCGACTGTCGCATTACCTACTTGCACAGCTCATCACTACAAGAATGAGCCCTTGGGCTAAACTTTGCGCCTGCTTTTCTTTCGTGGATATTCGATGCTTCGGCGGCGTAATCCATCTCAACTTGGGTTGGAAGAGAGCGCTTGCGGAACGTTGATAATGCATAATGTAATGCCATGCTGCAGCTCCAGAGTTCTAAGGCGATGACCAGGAGAGAACATGGGAGCGGTAACAACTAGTATTCATGTATGCTCTTCTTGTCGAGGCCGACGCCGTTTGTTCAATAGGCTGTGTCTTAGCATTTTTACGGGTTATCGATGATCGGTTTGGCAATGGTTGGATTTCTCGAATCCTCCAAATAACTTACACACGCCATTTTTCTCGTATCATGTTTCATATTGTACATATTCTTATACATATGCTGTGCCCAGCTTCCACCACTCTTCACTTCCTCTATCCTGATATATGCTACCAGAACTTGATATTCTTCTGATACCAGTATCTCCAGCTTCTTCTCCTTTCTTCCTCTGCCCTCTGCTCCCTCTCCAACCGGTCTTGTTCCTCTCGCGCCCTCCGCCTGGCTTCCTTCTTGGCCTCGATACTCGCGCGCTTCTTCTCCATGAGTTCTTGTGCTTGTTTTATTCCAGCCTTTTCTTTAGAACGGTAGTACTGGCATACTTGATAAGAAACGACAGAAACACCACACCAAGTTGCCACGGCCCAATTTGAAGCTGTGATGACGGGCTCTGTTCCGACGTTAGCATTGTATTCCACCTGGCCTTCGCTGAGTGTCAGCCTGAGCAATCTTGACGTACTGCCTATTATAGCTGCTAAGCTTCCTCCTGCAAAGCCAGCTGTTAACCCTTGCAATTGACTGTCTCGTACACACGGTCGCTTGTGAAAGTTGAAGTAATATTCTGGCCCTAGACTTCGTACTGCGTCGATGTATGTAGGACCGGCATCTGATGTCTTTTCACCGCCTGCTGTATGCGCTGTACCGCCGGGCATAACATTTGCAGGCGCGCGGGGCTTTGGTGGAAGCGCATTTAGGTCAACCGTTGACCTCGAATCTTCGGACATGGTGGGGCGAGAAACAGGCTGTTGGTATGGTGTGGGCGAGTGGAATTGGGCGTTGATAAGTAGATGTTTCGGATCGAGGTATGGCGCCGATTTTGGAGTTGCTATAGGCACATTCGGTGCAGGAGGAAGATGTTGGTTGCTCACTTTCTGATGGTGCGGAATAGGGCCGAAAATATCCAGCATCCATGATTCCACGATATGTGCACGGCCACACTTTGTGGCTGAAAATCAATTTGCCGGGAAAGTGATAGCGCGTAACACGCTCCAACGCGTCGCGCTTGACATTTGCAGATCCACATCCGCCCTTCACCTTCACCTTCACCACTCCCAGTCCCTGCGCACCACACGCTCCCTACCAATTGCCGATTCTCCGTCTCTTCTGTCTTTCCGCCATACCTATGATACCCTATTTTGCATAGTTCTCATAATTCGCATTTAATAATCTTTTCTCTTGCACCCCCACCGCACAGTATGGCGCCCCGACGCGCAGGCCAGCCCTTTCGCCGGGTAGGCAAGAACGGGAACGCATCCTACGGCCCACGCAAGCCCAAGACAGTTGACGCCTCTACATTACGAAGCGGAGAGGCTACTTCACAGAATGAAAAGCTGGAATCTACACGCCTGGCGCACCGTATCGATGAGACTATGGGTTTCGCACGCTTCGATTCGGGGAAGAAGAGAGTGGGATGGCTCGTCAACATGCACTCGACAACAATCGAAGATGAAGATGTTCCAGGTGGCCGAGCTGGTGTTGACTTCTACTTCATTGGCGAGGAAGGCGACACATTTAAAGCGACCCTCGAATACGACCCATATTTTCTGCTGGCGGTCAAGAAGGGGAGGGAACAGGATGTGGAGGAATATTGTAAAAGAGCATACGAGGGCCTGGTCAAGACGGTGAAGATCATAGAGAAAGAAGACTTGAGCATGCCAAACCATCTTACTGGGTACCGAAGAAAATTTCTAATGCTTACCTTCGCGAACGTCAGCGATCTTCTTGCTGTGCGGAAAGGCGTTGCTCCGATAGTAGAGAAGAACAAAAAGAACGTCAACGCTATGGATACATACGCCGAGGTGGCCAAGTAAGTGTGGCTCGCTCTTTATGTGACGCATCGCTAACACTACCCAGTGGCAATGCCAACTTTGATTTTTTCGATAATGAAGATTACGAGTACGAGAAACGACTTACGACTACCGTTGATGCAAGCGATTTCATTGTAGATATTCGGGAATACGATGTTCCTTACCACGTACGAGTAGCCATCGACAAGGACGTTCGAATCGGAAACTGGTACACAGTTGAGGCCAAGCATGGCGTAGTAAGCATAACGTGTATAGAGGATCGCCTGACGCCTGCGGATCCTGTGGTAATGGCCTACGATATTGAAACGACGAAGCTCCCTCTGAAGTTTCCCGACGCAGCCATTGACCAGATCATGATGGTATCGTACATGATTGACGGTCAGGGATTTCTGATTACGAACCGCGAGATTGTCTCAGAAGATATCCAGGATTTCGAATATACACCAAAATCAGAATACCACGGACCGTTCATGATTTTCAACGAACCAGATGAAAAGGCCCTGCTGGAACGATTCTTCGAACACATTAAAATAGCTAAGCCTACAGTCATGGTCACGTACAACGGAGACTTCTTCGATTGGCCTTTTGTGGAGGCAAGAGCTAGTGTCCAAGGTATCGACATGTACCAAGAGATTGGGTTCAGGAAGAACAGCGAGGACATTTATCAGTCAGACTACTGCGCACATATGGACGCCTTTGCTTGGGTCAGTCGAGACAGTTATCTTCCACAAGGTAGTCGTGGTTTGAAAGCTGTCACAATGGCCAAATTGGGATACGATCCAGACGAGCTCGACCCTGAACTCATGACACCTTACGCAGCCGAGCGACCTCAGACTCTTGCGGAATACTCCGTTTCCGATGCCGTCGCAACTTACTACCTGTACATGAAGTATGTCCACCCCTTCATCTTTGCGTTATGCAAAATCTTGCCCCTTGGACCGGACGATGCGCTACGTAAGGGTACAGGTACTCTCTGTGAGATGTTGTTGATGGTGCAAGCGTACCAGAAGGGCATTGTATTACCAAATAAACATCAAGCGCCAAAAGAAGCATTCTGGAATGGCCATCTGCTTGAATCGGAAACTTACGTTGGAGGTCACGTTGAAGCTCTGGAAGCTGGCGTGTTTCGAAGCGACATTGCGTACAATTTTGCAGTCGATCCTACCGCTATCGATGAATTGGTCGGTGATCTTGATGCTGCGCTCAAGTTCAGTATTGAGGTGGAAGAGAAGAAAAAGATGGAGGATGTTACCAATTACGACGAGGTCAGGGCCGAGATTGTCAATAAGCTGATGGAGCTCAAGAACACTCCAAATCGTAGCGAGCGACCTCTTATCTACCACTTGGATGTTGCGTCCATGTATCCGAACATCATGACAACTAACAGGTTGCAACCCGACTCTATGATCAACGAGTCCAACTGCGCGGCTTGCGACTTTAACCGCCCTGGAAAGACATGCGATCGTCGTATGCCATGGGCTTGGAGAGGTGAATATCTCCCAGCTAAACGCGACGAGTACAACATGGTTCGCAATGCACTGGAGAACGAACAATTCCCTGGAAGATTTCCCAACTCGCCCAAGCGGTCGTTTCAAGAGCTCTCAGAAGACGAGCAAGCTGCTCTAGTCAGAAAACGCTTGACCGATTACTCTAAGAAGATCTACCACAAGGTTCACGATGCGACGACAATTGAGCGCGAGGCCATCATCTGTCAGCGTGAAAATCCATTCTACGTTGATACTGTTAGTGGTTTCCGTGACCGACGATACGACTTCAAGGGCAAGCAAAAGGTTTGGAAAGGCAAGACAGAAGCGCTAAAGGCGGCAGGGGCCCCGGCAGCTGAGATTGAGGACGCGAAGAAGATGATTGTCTTGTTCGATTCTATGCAACTGGCTCACAAGGTTATTTTGAACTCCTTCTATGGATACGTCATGCGAAAGGGATCACGCTGGTACTCTCTGGAGATGGCTGGCGTTACCTGTTTGACTGGTGCTCGCATCATTCAGTTGGCGCGTTCCCTTGTCGAGCGCATCGGTCGACCCCTGGAATTGGATACCGATGGTATTTGGGCCATCCTACCAGCAACTTTCCCAGAAAACTTTTCTTTCAAGCTCAGCAACGGCAAGAAGCTAACCATCTCTTACCCATGTACCATGTTGAACCATCTAGTACACGCACAGTATACCAACCACCAATACGAGACGTTGGTAGACCCTGTGAATTTTCGATATGAGAAGCACAGCGACAACTCCATCTTCTTCGAAGTTGACGGTCCTTACAAGGCTATGATCTTGCCGACCTCGAAAGAAGAGGACAAGAACTTGAAGAAGCGTTATGCTGTGTTCAATCACGATGGTAGTTTAGCAGAGTTGAAAGGTTTCGAAGTGAAGCGTCGTGGTGAGCTGAAGCTTATCAAGAACTTCCAAGCTCAGATTTTCAAGTTTTTCTTGGAAGGCACCACTCTTGAAGAGACCTACGGTGCTGTTGCCAAAGTAGCGAACAGGTGGCTCGATATTCTGGACACACGCGGAGCAACTTTGGCTGACGAGGAGCTGATTGATCTTATCGTCGAGAACAAAAGCATGACAAAGACACTGGAGGAGTATGGAGCGCAAAAGTCAACCGCCATCACAACCGCTAAGCGTCTGGCCGAGTTCCTCGGCGAGCAAATGGTGAAAGACAAGGGATTGAACTGCAAATACATTATCTCCAAAACACCAAGAAATGCGCCCGTTACCGAACGCGCTATTCCCTTGTCTATCTTTTCGGCCGAGGAATCAGTAAAGCGATACTTTTTAAGGAAGTGGTTGCGAGAGGATCCAGGAGAGATGGATATTCGGTCAGTTCTAGACTGGGATTACTATCGCGAGCGTCTGGCTTCTGTCATCCAGAAACTCATTACCATCCCTGCAGCGTACCAGAAAGTTCGGAATCCCGTTCCTAGGGTACCACATCCCGATTGGCTTGACCGTAGGATACGTCAGAAGGAGGACAAGATGCAGCAGACAAAGATGACTGACATGTTCAGCAAGAAGGTCCTAACCAACGGTGACGCTAATGTCGCGAACAACAAGGTCACTGGTGATTTAGAAGATTTTGGCTTCGCCAAATTGACGCAGAACCAATCGCAGATGAAAAAGGGAATTGTTACTAAGATGGTCGCAAAGCGCAAAGAACCTGAGCCTGCAGTGCCAATTGTCGATCCTTATGCTGCTTTACCCAAAGTCATGCCGAGTATCGATGAAGACTATTCCGGCTGGTTGGTGTACCAGAAACAAAAATGGAAGATTCAACGCGAGGCACGAAAACGCCGACGCCAATTGTTTGGAGAGAAAGCTGTTGACGCATCTGACGCCATTGGTAGCTTCTTCAGAAACCAGGCGCAATCCCTCTACATCAGCACGTGGCAACTCGTACAACTTCGGCCAACAGAAACACCGGGAGAGGTCAGAGCCTTTGTTCTCATCGACAAGAAGATCCATGCTCTCAAAATTATCGTACCGCGACAACTGTACCTCAATCTGAGAAGTGAAGATCTTCCAGATGTATCAATCAGTGGATGTTCAGTAGAAAAGGTGGTCAACCATACTTTGCCGAATGGACATCCTTCGATTCATCTGTTCAAACTCCAGATGTCAGAGGAGACCTATGTCCATGAAGCTGATAGCATCTCGGCTCTGTTCAATCACTCTAGTGTCGAGGGTGTCTACGAGAAGCAAGTTCCGTTGAACATTCGGGCCATTCTTGAACTGGGAAGCGTTTGCACATTCGACGAGTCCCAGAAAGGTGTTCTCGGAAAAGGTCTTGAGCATGGATTCGACCTCTCCGCACTGCGAAAAGTGCCGACTAAGGAACCATATCTCGCCGAAGCACCCTTCAACTACGTGTATCTGTACCATGTCAGCAGCGGAGACCGTAATATCTATGCCGTTTTCTCAACATCGAAGAGCGATGCCCACATAATCATCCAGAACAAGTCCAAAGACTCGCAAGGTATGCCGAATGTCGATCGTATCTATCGCGATGCCCTACAACGACGAATGGGAGACAACGACGGTGAACCATGGCAAAACATGATCAAGTATCAAGAGGACCTTCACTTCAAGACGACAACAGTGACCACCAAACGCAAAGCTCTGCTCGAGATAGGCGATGTCATCAAGAGGATGAAATCAGATGAGACTGGACCAATCATTGCCGTTATGCAATCTCCGAACCAGGCCCTTCTCTCACACGATGTCCCTGCTCTGAAAGACCTGCCCATCTTGTCACTCAACCCCGACGAGTCTGACAAACAATTGCCACCATTGGGCTGGCAGTCTTTTATTGCCAAGCGACTGGTAGGACATTACCTTGATCTTGGGTCTTGGGTTGCTCATCTACTGGAGCTTGCTCGCTATGGAGACATTCCGCTCTGCAATCTCGAGAGTAACGACCCACGCTTCCTGATTGATGTCGCGTATGCCAGAAGGCTGCAAAAAGACCGCGTGATCTTATGGTGGTCTGGCCAAGCGAAGCCAGATCACGCTGGATACGAGAAAGATGATGTCCTCGGACCTCTCGAGACGGTAGAAATGCCATCGATCAACAACCCCGGTACCTACTCATCTGTGTGTATCGATATCAATCTACGCAACCTGGCCATCAACACCATCCTGTCTTCGTCTCTTATCAATGAGCTTGAGGGCGCAGATTCCGTTTCCTTCAATCCTGCTGCACCATCATACGACTCGGCTAATGATGGGTCCAATGTCATCTACTCAGACAATGCCTTTGCAAGTGCAGGTATTACAGTCCTTCGTGAAATGGTGAAGGCTTGGTGGGTTGAAGCTGTCCAGGCTGGCCACGGCTTTAGTATGGCCGATGTCATGGTACAGCACCTTGTCCGTTGGGTCAGCAGTCCTGGATCCTTCCTCTACGATCGCTCTCTGCACTACTACGTCCAAATGATGTCGAAGAAGACACTACAGCAACTCATGACTGACTTCAAGCGAGTGGGTTCACACATTGTCTTTGCCAGTCCAAACCGCCTTCTCCTCCAAACAACCAAAGCTGAAATTGGCAATGCATACGCCTACAGTCAGTACATCATCAAGACTATCAAGGCGAAGCCACTGTTCCAGTTTATGGAGCTTGAGATCAAAGAGTTTTGGGATTATCTTGTTTGGTATGACGAATTCAATTACGGAGGCAAAGGTTGCGACAAGGTGACCGAAGACGAGGTCCAACCTGTGGAGAACATCATGTGCTGGCAGCTTGCCCAGTTCTTGCCACAAAAATTCCAGCCGACCTTCAACGACTGGGTCATTGAGTTCATTGAGCTCATGCACTCACGTAAACGCCCAGCTATCACTGAAGATGGTTCGACACCACGACCAACTCAGATCCCTCTTCGACCTTTGACTGTGGACCCCAATGATCAGACACAGATACTCCCGAAGACATTCACAAAGCCACTGTCGAAGCAGATGAATGCCTTTGCGAAGAAGCAGCATGCGGAGGTGCTGGATCCTCTATTCGCATCCGAATACGTCTTCCCAGAACTTCCAGGCTCCCACCTCAAGCTCACAAACCCGGTCCTCCAACTCGTCAAGAGCATCATGCAGGTCCTGAGTCTGGACCGTGCGATATCGCTGGAAGCACGCGCGTTGCGAAAAGAACTGCTGAATCTCTTCGATATACGCGAATTCAGCGCAGAAGCAACATTTACCAACCCAAGTGCAACACTCGTTGTTCGAGGCGTCATCTGCGACGACTGCACATCCTCACGCGATCTGGATCTCTGCCGCGACTCCTCACTTCTCCCCGTCATCCTACCCGACAGCGACTCCGCCCCCGTCATGCCCAAATGGAAATGCGACAACTGCGACTCTCCATACGACAAGCGCTGTATCGAAGAACAACTCGTTGGCGAGGTACAAAAAATGGTTCTCGAATGGTGCACACAGGACCTCAAGTGCGGAAAGTGCAAGAGGCTACGCAGCAACGAGTTTATGGAACATTGTGCCTGTGCGGGAGAATGGGCGCCTACTAAGAACAAGGCTGAGATTAAGAAAAAAATGGGCGTTTATGGTAACGTGGCTCGGTTCTACACCCTGGGCATGTTGGAGGCGGTTGTGGAGGAGTGCTTATCGAGCTTCTAGGCGCTGTCAGCTTGGCTACGTCGGGATGCCTCAAAGGCAAGTTGGGTCCTTGTAAGTTCTTAGCTTTTGCACGTGCATAGGGTGTCATCATACGGCATCTACTATGTGCCTTGCGAGCGTTTGGCGTGTTAGGCTCGGATGTTTTTTCCCGTTATCGTCCGATCATGTTTGGGTGTTATCAGCGTCATTGGGGTAAGGGCAATTTTGTTTGAGGGCGACTGGGGTGACTGCATGGGGAGAGGGGAGTGAGTGGGGTTGTTCGCTCCGCAGTTCCTAGTACGCTACATATAGTACTTGTTTATCTCAACGTCTATCTATCAACTCTTTGTACACAACGAATGATTGGCCCCGATCCCCTCACACAATCACGGTGCTATGACCTCCAAGCAATCTAGTAGGAAATACGATAGCCATGTTCATGCACCGCCGTTATGATATGCAGTTTCATTGTTGCAGGTTGAGGTCATAACAAGCACGGCAAGGGTTGTTGTTGTTGGAAGCGGGGGTGGGTTTGCGTCTCTTGCGTCAATTGTACCCCTAGATACGTGCGAGCACGCCATTTTGCCTAATTTGTTGCCAACGGGATATGCGCGGTTGCATTGCACCACACACACACACACACACAAACGGCTACTAATGGGAGTGTCCCGATCGAGGAATCCGAAAGGTTGGAGTAAGCAAGTGAGGGGAAGGGACATGTGTCAGTAGAATGCTTTGGAGGGGTCGGGTCGGGGGGTGGTATGATGATTATGTGCAGGGTATAAATAGGGTATACATAAAACGTCTACGCTGCGCCGTTTTTTGTTTAGATTATTAGAATTGTGTGTACAGAGAAGGCAGCACCTGTTTTTTCTTCAACAGAAGAAGAAGAAAAGAAGAAGAAAAGAAGAAGAAAAGAAGAAGAAAAGAAGAAGAAAAGAAGAAGAAGAGTGTGTCAATTGGAGTCGAGAAAAAAAGTCTCCAGCTTATCAAATTCCTACCCTACAACCTTCAACTCAATCAATCAAGAACCAAAAAAAAAAGAGAAACCCCCAAAAATCAAGAGGCTACTACACTTCAACCATGGCACCAGCTCTAACATCCCAAGCGCCAGACGCTCCTCACACCCTCTCCTCTACCACCAAGCAACTCTCCAAAACGCTCTTCCCAGACGGCCTCCTCACCTCAGGCCAACACGAACCCATCCAATCCCTCCTAAAACCGTACTCCTCCTTCCCGAAAACCATCACAGGCCCCACAGCGTGGACCAGTTCGGAGTACTCTTCGAACCCCGAACGGTGGACGCACGTCTTCTCCACGTCGGAAGTGTCGGAAATCAGTGCAGCGGCAGATGGGTTTCTTGCAAGCGGCACACCGCTCACGGGTATTACGTGTGAGAAGTTTCGGTTGCCGGAATTCTCGAGGTTCTTGGCGCCGCTGCGGAAGGAGCTTATTGATGGCAAGGGCTTCATTCTTTTCAAAGGGCTGCCGGTGCAGGAGTGGGGGAATAAGAAGTCGGCGGTTGCGTACATGGGCTTAGGCACGTATCTGGGTTACTTTGTGAGTCAGAATAGTCGGGGCCATGTGTTGGGGCATGTCAAGGATTTGGGTGAGGATGCGACGGCGATTGATAAGGTGAGGATTTATCGGACGAATGCAAGGCAGTTTTTCCATGCCGATGATGCGGATTTGGTGGGGTTGTTGTGTGTGGCTAAGGCGTTGGAGGGGGGTGAGAGCGATCTTGTAAGTTTTTCCTATTCCCCTTCTTTCGTAGTTTGAGGATTTCAAAGACTAACAGTGTTTTGAATAGGTCAGTAGCCACACGGTCTGGAACTATCTCCAGGAGAACCATCCCGATGTCGCGGAACTGCTTACACAGCCAATCTGGTATTTCGACCGGAAGGGTGAGACGAGTAAAGGGCAGAAGGAGTGGATCCAATCGGCAGTCTTTTACCTCGAGACGGGCGACAACCCAAGAGTATACAGCAAGTAAGTCCTGCTCATCTCCTCCCACCGAACCAAAATAGAAGCTGACATGGAAAATAGATGGGACCCGTACTTTGTCCGCTCCCTAAGCCGCTTCTCTGAAAAGGGTCTTGTTCCTCCTCTCTCTCCAGCCCAGGAACGCGCCATTACCATTCTGGAAGAAACATGCCAGAAGTTTGCTCTGCACATGATTCTTGACGTGGGCGACATCCAGTTCCTATCCAACAACCACATTTTCCATGCCAGAACGGCGTACAAGGATTACGCACCACCTGCACCGCGGAGACATTTGATGAGGTTGTGGTTGAGCACTCCAGAAGATGAGGGCGGTTGGAAACTACCGTTCCATGATAGCAAGGAGAAGAAGAGGGGCGGTATTCAAGTCGACGATACACCGCCAGTGGCGCCCGAAGATGCAGAGTAAGATGTAAATAAGTTCGATGATGCAAATATCCTCTGGATTCGTGGCTAGTCTGTAATTTGTGAGCATACAAAAATGAAGAGTCCCTAGATCCCGGTTGCAAGTGCCAGATTCTACGTTTCAAAGTGGTATCATTCTTCTTTCGAGGTGCTGCTTTCTGCACCAATCCTGAACTGCCAAACGCCGTGCATGCTATACCATCTGTACAATCATCGCCGATCCAATAGCCATCTTGTCGCGCTTCATTCTGGCATCCTGTGTGGGCCACTCGCCCATGTTCTGGGTACCCCAGATTCCGCTTGCGCTGATTTTGATCGTGCTGCAATCTTTGTCCCAACACTCTTGCGTCATTGCGTCTCTTGCATCCTGATATTCTTCCTCAGCCCTAGAAGCCTCGTCCACGTCCCCTACCACCGCCGCCCCTTCCGCGACCGCCTCCACGTCCTCGGCCACCTCCACGGCCACCGCCCCTTCCGCCACGGTCACCACCAGCAACTTCTTTCCTTGCTTTGTTCTTGGGCTTCGGCGCATCGTCAATGAGAAGTGTGTCGAGAGGTAATGAGTCGGGAAGTATGATGTAGCGAATCGTTGAACCGCGGACAGTCATTGTATCAAGGGCTACGGTATCCCGAGACTTGGGCGTGTACTTGACCGCTCGGAGCGCGACGTTCATGAGAGGTGAGACGGAGGTAATAGTTCCATTTACAATCGTGCCTGTGCATGTGTTAAGACGGTGTCTTTCTGGTGGGAGTATGAAGTGTCTGGGTAGGACATTGCCTGCCTGCGCAACTCGGTATACGACGCGCTCGGAAGCAAAACATCCGCTGGTTATAGGCGACTCGAAGGAGACAGACTGAGAGATTGAGAGTGTCTACTTACCGTTCTTGAGCTCAACCGTGACCGTCTCATTCTGGCACTTCATGAGAAACCTGCGCGAAAGCGTGAGCCGCAATTGTATCATTCTGTTCAAGGCCATCGTACCTGACGAGCTTCATGTTTGTTGATTTTGAGTTTACGCGACAAAAAAGGTGGTAACGTGAATCGTTCAGTAGTGAAATTAAAGGTAACCTTTCGTGTTGCTGCTGGTTACCAAGGTAGACTCGCGGGGAAGCTCCGACTAGGAAATTGCGATGGAGCTTCCCAGGTTACACGCATCATAGTTGATCCGGCCGCAGTCACGTGCGGTCACAATCTCTCAGTTCTAACCCTCACTCTTTGAGGGCCCAAAAGTGGACCAGTTTTTGGAGATTGCACTTTTGACTTTCCGATTGTTTTTTGTCTAATTTTACAATTTGCTGTATTTACAATGCACAATTAGAGTATCGTGCATGTGTAGGGTATTTATCGTAACCCTCCCTTCTATCCACCAAAAGAAAATGCGCCCGCTTTCTTCAAAGATTTATATCCCTTGTAGTTAGCTTTAGTATTTGTATGGCTGTTTCCCGATGGCTCTAGCCATACTTGTTCCTGGGAAGGCGTGAGGTCCGCCATCATAGCTTGTTGCATCTCGTCCGCCGACGACTGGGCAGTGGATTCCGCGGGAATGTACTCAATTGGCTTATGTGTGACATCGAACTCATACACCTCCTTCAAATATTTGGCGATGCCTGCGTTCTCCTCCTCACTGCCATTGCCGTAATGCCGCTTCAGCTCCTTTGCGACGAGCGTATCGATAATGTGACCTTCGTCGAGAGATTGTCTGACTTCTTCGTCGGCAGAATTTTGCTTTGGTAGATTGACTGTTGCTCTCCAGTGTATGCCCATAGCAGCAAGTCTATCTTTCCTCGACCACGTCGTAGCGCGCAGTGGAGCTGTCTGGACAAACCGCTTGACACGCTCTTCCAGATTGTCCCAATCAACGTTCCAAACAAACCAAGGCTGCAACATTTCGTCGATAGCACGTGGAAAATCTCGGAAGTGCTCTGTAGAGTAGAAGATGTGTTTGATTTTGCCCGTCAAGAACTCCACATCCATACCTGTGATCGTAGGGTTCACGCCAAGTCGGCGTAAAGACTCACACCAATCAATGTGAATAAGTTTCCGGAACTCGGTTTCAGAATAAATCTGTAGCCGATTGATGATCCGGCAGAGAACTACACGGAGTTCTTCTTGGCTCACTTCTCCAGAGATATCTATTGCCGAGGCATCAAAGAGCGAAGGGTGAGTTTGGGTAAGGAGACGCGCGCGACTCTTTTTGAAATATAGAGCATACAATCTCTTTTCACCAATGGCCAACATTGCGTCTTCAAAAGGTTCTTTCAGTGCAGCCGTATAGCTCATCTTTCGAAGATGTTCCCGTAGACGGTGCTCAATTTGCTCAATCTTTTGTATATCTTCCCTCGAAGAGTGCCCAGGTTCCCTTTGCAGCTCAAACGGTGGTGCTAGATTCGCAGCTCGCAGAGGTTCCATAATGTCGCTAGGCAAGAAATCTCTACTGTTAGGACTGACGCCCAAATTGTACAAGAAGAGGCGGTAATTTTGTGACAGGAAACGTGAGTCTGTTGCGATCAACTTCGTGGCTCGGTCTACAATTTGCTGCCTCATAGATGGTGTCAACAGCCCGTAAAAGTCGCTGAGCACTTGTTGACTCTCCTGCCCGGACTTGATTTTATTAGGGAGTTTCTTTTCCTTCCTACACTCTGCAACAAGTAGCTCCACACTTATGCCGAGACTTGCTGCAGGATATGCTAAATTGCTTTCAATGGTCCGATAAGTATCTTTGGTTGGGTTCTTATAGTATGTGGGATTTGCCTTTATCATGTTCTTGATCTCATTCATGTATTCTCGTCGCTCCTTGTCGCCTGGAAACAGAGGATACTTCCAGAATGGCGAGACACCCTCGATAGTGGTAGACGTTTGTGCTCTTACCGAAGAGTAAACAATCTGACCCATGGGGTTCCGGTATCTTCTGTCAATGTAAAGGATGGCTGATCCTTTGGAAGCTTTGTGTTCCATACTATCGACTTTAGCAACGAGAATAACGTGATCACCAACGGGGAATTCATGAGTGACTTCGCATTCCATTGCAGCCAACACACAGTCACTCAAGATCTGTGGTGCGCAAGAGCGTGTCGTGGAGGGGTGCTTTTTGTCTTTGGGCTGATGGAGTTTCAACATCTTAGCTCGCCGATTGTATGCCTCAGCATGATTCCCGTGGCAGAAAAGATCCACCAGATTGGCGCCTCCTCTTTCAGCGGCCGGAAAGTGGACACGGAAAAGGCCATTTGCAGCTCGGATTGCATCAAGAGTTTGGGACGGCTCTTTGATGTTGAAGGAAATAGTAGGTGGGTCCAGGGTAACGGTACTGAGTGAAGAGACAGCGACGCCCATGGGTACATGCTTTCCGGTCTCGGGGTCAATGTGTACGACAGTAATGACTGCAACAGAGCTAGGCACGTTGCGCATTAATTGGCGGACAGAATTTTTCAACTTCGCCTGCTTGAGCTCCGAATCAGAGAGTTCGGGTAAGATGCCGTGCTCTTCGGTGCTTGGTTGGCTGTTTGCTATTTCCTCCCGTATACTGTCTGCTGGTCGAAGTGCTGGTATTTCGGTTCCATTTGCCGTCCCTCGGACATCATCACTAGAATTGATAGCAGGCTCATCCTGCACTTGCGATTCCGATTGAGTTTGCTGTCTGAGAAGACGAGTCGTGTGGTAGTGCTGCGGGAGGCTGATGCGGTTGCGGTAGTGTGAGCTATTCAAGACACACAGTTGTGTGTTTCCTGGGCCCGGTGTCAACAATGGCTCGTTCAAAAGGACGCAGGCATATCTTACGAGTGTGTACCTCCCATCTGTAGAAGGCCGCAAAGAAGCGACAGGCCGAGCGCTGCGCAAGCACCATTTTTGCAATCAAGACTGGCTCTTTCTTACCGCATGCGCAGGTAATTTCCAACCCTTTCGTGTAATTGGGACTATGGAATTATGAGAATAGAGGAAAAGAGGGGTGCGATGCGAATGACGATGGTTTGCGCATTGAAGATTGAATCGACTGGGATGTCGGAATCATTAGCGCCGCCCAAACCTCCGTGTCTTCTCCGCAACTTTCTATCTCGACCCGCCATTACCATCCCAGCACCCTACCAACCACCATGGCGTCTCCGGTACCCTCAATGAGCGCATTACGTGCGCTGCGCCGATCAATTCAGCCTCAAATACAACAGAAAAATCAAGTGCGACACGCGACACTGCTCCGCCGACCGAAGCGACCGTATACCTTCACACAACTCATAACCCTCTCCGACGGAAGCGCCTTCACTGTGCGAACAACGAACCCCCAACCCGTCTACAAGAGCGCAAAAGACATCCGCAATTCGCCGCTATGGAATCCCAGTTCGCAGAAGCTATTAAATGTAGAAGAGGATGAGGCTGGAAAATTGGCTGCTTTCCGAGCCAAATTTGGGCGGGGATGGGATGCCGAGACCGACGCCGACAAGGTAGGGGTTTCTGTCAAAAAAGGGCGCAATAGGGCAGAATTAAGGGTAATTGTTAATTTGTCGTATAGGGCAAGCAGACAGAAGATCATCTTTTGGACCTCATCAGCCGCCAGGGCAAGAAGACAGCAGCGCCACCGACAGATGCTACCAAGGCCCCGCCTGCAAAAGCGCCGGCATCAGCCCCAGCAAAGCCAGCGGGAAAGAAATGAGGGAATGGTGTGTTTTGGATGGATTGGCATTATGTATATGCCAAGGCACTTTTGTACAGTAAGCCACAACAAGATGGTGAATTCTATAAAGCATCTCAACAATATATCTTCCCTTGCATCACAACCAAAAACAGAAGAAAACATATCATTAACCCCCCCCCCCCCAAAAAAAAACCCCCCACGAATTTAGTCAACTTCCCACTATTTCCAGCTTGCATTGTCATAATCAAAAGAATCTTATCACAACCAAATGATTTCCAAGCCCTTGGAATTCTCTTGAGCAAAACCCGACCCATGACTACCAACACGGAAAAACCCGCCTAACCAAACTAGAACACCGCGTATATCGAAAAAAAAGGGACTGTACAGAACAAAGATAAACACCCTGCCGCTTCCCCTGCGCCCACCCACCACCCACCGTGCAGCGAAAGAAAGAAAAACGGGCCGTATGTGGCACAGTATTTTAGCCCACCACCCTCAGACACGTAACGGGAAGGGAAGGGAAGGGAAGGGAAGTGAGGGGGGGAAAGAGATTAAGCAAAGGTCAGCGGCAGTCAAACAAACCAATCAGAGCAATTTGAATTCCAGATTGGCATGAGGCGCGGTTGCATGTAATATGTGATAATGATGTGATGTGATATGGAATCCGCGCCTCAGACTAGGTAGGGCGGGATAATGAGTCGTTATTGATGCATGTGGGGGAAGAAAGAAAGGGCTAGAGCTAGGTAGCTAGCTAGCCACCAACACATACACACACACTCTCTCTCTCTCTTCTGAGTAAGTGATAGATTATATGTAAAAGGTTGATGGTTGCACAATATGGGAGTGGAGGCGCAAGGACAAGGGTAGGAAAGTGGGTAGAGAACAAAGCGAAAGTTTTGCCTTGCGTGTGTTGTGTGGTTTTTTTTGTGGGCGGCCCCAAAACCAAATCTGAGCGCATTTTTTTCTCTCTCAAAACCGGAAACACTATTGCGGCGTTCGTCAGTCAATACATGTTTTAGCGGGGGCTTGGCGGCCGAATGTATGTACAAAGTGCGAGTTGTTCATATGCGAAGAGCGGTTTTTTTTTTTAAAAAAAAAGACTAAATTTAATTGTCAGCTTTGGCTGCGTTACGTGAGATGGTTTGATGTTTTGATGTTTTGTGGCATTCAAAGTTTTCATGCATATTTTTTCTTATATATGGCCGTAAAATACATAGCACTTGTCAGACAATGATCTTAGCCGTCGGTTAATGCCAAGGTGAAACAAGTAGCGGAAGAATGGATAATTGGAGCTCTGCAGCGTTTGTTGCAGCAGTGTTTGAGGCTCAACTGTTCCTGGCAGTGAGGGTACGCGTATACGCGGAAGAAATTCCGCTTTCGGTTGACATGTTCCGTGGTAACGCGTGTAGCTGCGGTTTGCTCGGACGAAGTCCTGTCATGGAAAGGCGAGGGGGTCTGCAACGGTGTTTGTAAAGTCAGTCCATGTTACCGGGATATGGCTGCGGTGGTAGTTATTGGAATTTTATAACGTTGTAGTGCATGAAAGACAGGGGGGTGCCGTGAGGGCATGGGCACTGGTGCCGAATGATAGGTAAGGACTACAAGAACGGTACGCCATAGCTCCATGAACAGCGCCTGATTAATAGCAAACATATAGTATAGCACCAAAATGTGCATGTGGGGTATAGCGGGGTGTATAGTAGGCACGAGAATGCGCCCAGGTTCACTGTCGCCTGACCTGATCTGGCGAGCACGTGTCGACGGGCGGGAGCAAGCGCTGGTAGGATTGCTCGCCTACGATGGTCGACTCTCTGTGCTCTAAGAAGGTGCGGATGCGCTCGTCGCGGTTACCGCTGGCGCTCAGGGTTGCGTTCCTGCTGCGGCGGTACTCGATGCTCGCCTCTCGGTGGATCTGGTCGCGGCGCTCAATGACCGAGTTGTTGAAAGAAGTGAAGCGGGTACCTTGGACGACACCGCCAATGCTTACGAATGCGAAGAGGAGGGCCATGAAGGTGAAGTTTGACATTTGGATGGTGCGGGCATCCGAGTCTTTGGCGCCGCTGTTCTCGTGGTGCCAGCGCTCCCAGTCCTCCCAGGTTGCATTGGTGCGGGGGTCGGTGGTCCAACGAGGTGCGTCATAGTCCCAGTCGCTGTGTCGTGGGGCAGTGGGCGTGTGGTGGTGGCCTGCCCAGCCATGGCCCCAGGCATCATACGCCTTGCGTTTCTCAACATCCGAAAGGATATCGTGTGCAGTGACGAGCATGCGGTAGCGCTCAAGGCGCACGTGGAGAGGCAGCTGGGCCATGGCAGGGCAAACATGGGCGCGGTCCGGGTGGTAGAGCTTGACGAGGGCGTAGAAGCGATGTTTGGTATATGCATCGCCCTTGCGGCACTGGAGGATCTGGTAAGGCGTGGGTGTTTTATGGGGCGTCTGGGGCTCGGGCCACGTCAGCAGGTCGGCATCGAGGTGTTGGGCATATGTGCGTCGCTGCTGGTAGACGGGGTGGTGGTGGTGGTGGTGGTGATGATGGCGGGCGTGGTCGTGTTGGTATCGTGGTCGAGGGTGGGCAAATGCATGACGGCATGACTGGCTGGTGTTGGAGCAGCCATTGCCCCGGCCCAGCGGGCTGAGGCTAGCATACGACGATGCAAAGAGCGGGCATTTCCTGGACAGCATGGTCGGGCGACAGCTGCCACGGGCGGGCGTACATTTCACAGGCCGTCAGTTGGTCGGTCGGTGCAGCAGCAGGCAGTCTGTCATCACGCAGGCCATCGGTCGGTCGGTCGTCGTGTGGGGATGGTGGCGCTGATCCATTTCATGCGCCGCGCCGCCGTCTGCGCTAAGCCTATCCGGGCCACGATGCGGCGTCTGGCCGTCTGTGTCGCTGTCGCTGTCGCTGTCGCTGTCGTCGCCCTTTGCTGGTCTTGCACACGTCGAGCGAGCACCAGGGCGGCCGCGGGCGCCGTCGTCGCAGAGCAGCCAGCCACCATGCACGCGCGGCCAGTTCCGCTCCCCTCGAGTTGCTCGTCAGGCGCGGCGTGGAGCCTCGTAGAGGGCGAGTCAGGCCCCGTTTGACGTGAACTCCTTGGTGCTCGCTTGCGCATGCCATTCAAACGCCCCCCCTGCACCGACACCGACGGCTGGGTCGGCGTGCATGAACGGCACGCTGCGACACATCCACCCGCCGACCCTTCTTGTCCTCGTCAACGTCCGCGAGCTGGCCGGCCCAGTGGGGTCCAGAGGCCGCTGGCCGGCCATCAAACATGGCCCGTTTGCTGCCTCCCACTCTCGACCGCCGCCTCTGTTCTCGTCTCGTGCCCCGGTCTTGGCCTTTCACTCCGCTACGCTCCTGTCCGCCCGACACTGGCTTGCCCTGCTTGCATTTATATCCTGCCAGCTCCCCCCTCCCTGCCTTGACCACCCGCGCTCACCGCCTCCCCTCCCATCACCATCCAGCCCTGTCCACACGCACCCGAAGAGCAATGGCAGCCCTCCGTGACCCTCCCCGACAGCCCCGGGAAGGCTACCTCAACTTGACCCGCCGCATGGAGAATGAAGAGCACGACCAGTTTGACGTCGACCTGACCATCCTCGACTTTCTCGTCTTCAAAGCCACCGGCCTCATCTTCGAGTGGAAGTCAAGCAGTGACCCCTACCATTCAGACCTTCCCAATGCCCTCGTCAACATGACTGCCGGTATGCCCAACTCGTCTTTGCCGTGCTGACCCCAAATCATTGACGCCGAGTAGATTGGAGGGTCTTTCTTGGCCACCGCCACCAAGGCCGCTGTCTGGACTCCAAGGCCTCATTTCGGTCGCGCCTGCTGCAGTTTGCTCTACTCTTCACCCACCGCCTGCACCACACCGAGACATGGACCACCGAAGCATCCCTCAACAGCCTGCGCGAGCAAAACAAGAACCGCGGCGAGTACTGGCGCCAGCGGACCCAGCACCCACCCGCACTCGACCAGCCCTTTGACCAACACAAGGACTTTCCCCTTTCAGATGGCGCCCTCTACCAAAACCGCTCCGAACTCGCTTCTGCCCTAAGGATGCCCTTGGACCAACGCCGATGGGTTACCGACGTCGCCAACACTCCCTCTCTCCACTGCCTCCTCCCTGTCTTCATCGAGCTGACCGCCGCCCGCGCTACCCTCGACGATACCTGGCTCCCCACGTCCAAATGGTACGACCTGGCCGCACAATTCATGCTGCAAGCCGTCATCGGCGAGTACCTCCGCAACGGCTCCTACGGCCCTGAAACCTTCAACACAATCTTCTCCTATGGCTGTCCCGGCGTCGAGCGCTGGGCCGATGAACCCACCGATGTCTCCGCCATGCGCATCCTATTCAGCGACCCGGATAACCAGCGCCAAGAAAATCGCGACTGGACGCGCATCAAGCGCCGCTACATTGATGAGTTGTTGCCCAGAGATCGAGCCCAGTCGAGCCTTCAGGCCCTACAGGCCGCCCAGCAGCGCTTCCCCTATGCAGCCTTTGAACAGGCCTTGCTGGCCTTCTTGCACTCAATGCATGAGGGCTTGGTTAAGCCTGATCTTGCCCAGGTCGAAGAGGGGAGGATCAATATCGATGGGAGTGAGTTGTCAGAAGCAGAGTCGAGGGCTATGATTCGACGCATGGGGTTATGATACCCCCGACCCCTTTGTCTGCTGCTACTGCTGCTGCTTCTTTTTTCTCGTCTTGACTACCCCTTTTCGCATTTCATTTTCTCCTGGTTTTGGATGAGGCTTGTTCCATTCCAATTTCCACACTGAGGCTGCTTTTTTTGGTGCTCGCCTTGGCCTTCTTTCTTTCTTTCGGATATCCTCGTTCTTGTCCTCCTTTTTCCCTTACTTAAGCGAGAACTTTTGTCTTTTTTTTCCCAAGGAAGGAAGTGTGACTTAGCGAGAGTGGGACTTGTCCCATTTCCACATGCCCACCGAACTACCCTGGAGACCCCTGCACTGTATCATATTGTTTGTCAACTGACTTTGTTCTTTTTTTTTGGTTGTCTATATCCCTTTGTTCTTCTTCTGTTTTCTTCTTCTTCTTCTTCTTTCGGTATTCTCTCTAGCTTTCTCGGTTTAGCTTGGCAAAGAGCCAGTGTGTAGTCTCTTGTGTGGATGTGTGTGTGTGTGTTTTTTTTTTACTTTTACGCTTCTGTCTTGAGAGAAGCGACGACGGCCAGATGCGATGTTGCTCACGAGATTGTGCATGGGCGGGGATGAGGAAGTGGAAAAATACCCATTGGGATATCCCTCAAGGCGGTAGCTACTTGAACCAAAAAAAGTTTACAACTCAAATCATTCTTCCCAAGTTTTTCTCACTTTAAATGGTTTTTTTTGTGATTTATTTACATTTTCATAGTCTGTATCTGGAGAAAAGATCTGTGTACTATGAAGAGAGTGAGTTATACCTTGTCCTTGCACGACAATAAAAAGACGCCAATAACCACAACCACCCTCATTTACACATCCCCTACATGTCCAGAGAAGGAGAGAGATATTCACACATGAAAAACTGCCCTAAAAGGCAATCATAAAATACACAATACGGTATCCAATCAACCGTAGACCAAAAGAAAGACGAGTTAGTCACAAAGCAGGCCTACACAGCAGAATAAACCGCCGTACAACCCCTTCCACACTCAACTTTTTGCTCAAACTCGACCGTCCTACCCTTGAGCTTGACCTTGTTCCTCGGCGTAATCTGGAACCGATGCATCTCCTTTTCTCTCAGCTGCCTTGCAAAACCACCCCCAGTAGCAGACGCCGCTCTCTCCTGCTCCGCCGCCTGGTCCAGCGGCTGGATATATGCCGGTGTCGCAAGATTGCTGCGCTTGCCCGATCCAATCTGGTAGAACTCGTTGTTGCCCCAGAACAGGATGTCGCGGCCCCAGTTGGTGTCGTTTTCCGTGAGTCTGGATTTGCGGCCAGATACGGCTACGCTGGCCACGTTGTCTAGAATGGCTGCTGCGTGCGAGGCGCCGACAGAAATAGTTGAGAGCCGGATGGGGATGGGCTTGTTGTTTGCTTCATCCCATTCAAACAGGCCCGAGAAGGCCGGTACCTTTACCGGTTCGGCCTGGGCGTGCACCCACCGGCCCACGCCAAGTTGACCGGTCAGTCCAAACCCAAACGCCCACGTGTCTGCCGTCGTCTTGTTGCCCTTTGTTGCTTCAATGGCAAGGAAAGATGTGTTGCCACCAGCAAACACATTGGTCACCTTGCCTTGCTGTCCAGAGTAGAATTTTTGCGTTGGTAGCAGAGACGGTGCGTCGATATTTTGCGCCTCTGCATTAAAGGGGAAACCAAGTTGGCCAGCTGTGTTGTCGCCAAAAGTGAAAGCGCGTCCCTCCGAGTCGCACACCAGGCTGTGGTAGTCGCCAGTTGCAATCTTCTTGATGGGAAAGCCTTTGAGTGTCGTAATCTCGTGGGGAATGTCAAATGCACCAGCCGGCCGGTTCTCCCACGTAAGTCCAGGTATGCCGAGTTGGCCTTTGCTAGGGAAGTTTTGGGAGCCTGAAGCAAAGGAAAAAACGCGACCGGATGAGGTGAGCATGAGAGCGTGCTCGAGGCCGGAGCAGATGTCTGTCACGCGCTCGTTCCATCCCAGATTTCCAGGTGTGCGTTCACGGTACGAAATGTCGTTGGAGCCTCCCCAGAAGGGGATCCACGATTTGGACTTGGGTTTGGGTCCTTCCTTTTGCTCTGCCTGGGACACAGGGATCGAGTATACCGAGCCGTTATTGGAGAGGCCAATGATGCGATCGCGGGAAATGGCCAGCGACTTGAGATTCCGCCCTGTCAAAGTTTTCACAGGCTCCTTGACATCATCGGCGTATGCTGTGCCCCATTGCAAGAGATCGCCCTTCTCGTCTATAGCGGCCCCAAAGTTTTTGTCCAGCTTGATATCCCTCAGCAGTTTGCCATCGAAGAAGCTTAGCCGCCGTGGAGTCTTGATGTACTTTTCGTCGGAATCGGGTGCGACAACCTTTCCCGTGTTTGAACCCCATGCGTACACTCCGGGGTTCTCCCAGCTCTTGATGACCTGGAGGTGCTGGGAACTGATTATGTTGCGATTGTCGTCGCTGGACGTGGCCTGCCGCCGCGGGGTCTCAAACTGCAACTCTGGTCCCTCTATCGCCTCTGGTTCCTCGGCATGGGCGTCTCTTAAGATTGACTCGCCATTGACCCACTGCCATGCGGTGGCAGTGGCCCAGAGAGCACCGACAGTGGCGATGGAACGTACAAAATGCTGCTGCCGCCGCTGTGCGTATGGGTGCGCGGCGGCCCGAACCTGAGAGCGCGGGGCTCTGGCTGATATGTTCCTACATAGTCGCGGGGTGTGGCGTGTGGGCAGTGTCGTGCGAGAGACACATTTGGTGCTGAGCATGGTGCAGCGTGATGGACGGCGTGTGGGGTTTGCGTAGTACAAATGAGAAGAAACGACCCAAGGGTGTTGAGTAGGATCAGGAGAGCATCATTTGCAGATTGTGCGTAGGTCCGATTATGGCCACCGGACTGGTCATTGGATACGCTCGATGGCTTCTTCACATTGCAGCCGGCGGGATCGATGACGCTTGGAGAGTTGGCGTCGGATCTCGTCTCCACCTGCTCGAGCTATACCCGATACCGTTAGTATCACTTGAATCCCCCCACGACACGTAGACCGAGCTCCGACGTGCAAGCTGGCGTGTCCGCTTCTGCAAGGCAACGTCAAGGAAACCACCCCAATTGGAGAAAAATAATGTACGAAGGAGACTCGTGGTACAATGCCTTCGTCCCGCGTGTGGCAAAGCCCCAGGAAAAGGGCAATCGTCGCCGGCGGGAGAGCCTGCTCAAGCAGGAAAGCGTAAGCCCACCATCCGCTGCATGGGTATGTTTGAGCACTTCTGATGATTGTTTGTATAGGAGAGTCAGGCTGACTTCGAGCGCGCAGAATCCATTGTAGAGACTGCAGAAGAAGAACGCCCTGGCAAGCTCAGCGGCCCTCCCCCGGCGACCGTAGCCCGGCGCGCAAAGTCATACAGCGACTTCTATAGCGTAGTGCGGGCACACTTGAAGAAGGAAAAGGCATTGGAGAAGAAGAAGTCAAAGGAAGATATCAATACAGAACTCGAGTTGGCGGAGTGGTATGGCGGAGTCAATGACGAGCTACTGGAAGCCAGCCATGAAGAGTACAGGTATGCCTTGCCAGACTTGGATGGCAAGTGAGTTACTGACTGATGACCCCCAGACGCTATCAGGACCAGCTTCATATGACGCGAAAACACCTTCAGACCATCATCTCTGATACCACATCCACTCTCGACATCCTCTCGTCCCTCTCGGAATCCTTCAAGATTGTTGAGGCGCAGACCAATGCGTTCCGCACGAAATGTGAAGGCCTCATCGACGACCAGAAGCGCATCACTAAGCTTGCCGATGATATGGAGGAGCACCTCCGATACTACCTATATCTCGAGCCTACGACTAAGCGACTCAATGCGCCTGGCGCAGGCAAGATTGTACGGGGTAACGAGTTTGTGGAAATGCTGGCCAATTTGGATAGCTGTCTGGAATACATGCAAGCACACCCCAAGCACCGCGAGGCGGAAACGTATCGCGCAAGGTACCGCTTGTTGCTTACTCGCGCTCTCACTCTTATCCGTGTTCATTTTACCGAAGCCCTGCGAGAAATTGCAGCCGACGTAGCGAAACGGATAGCTGACCGACAGCTTAACGATACGACAATGTCTGCGCTGTTATACGCCAAATTCCGTGTTGGCGCGCCAGAATTGAAGAGCATTGGCATGGAAATACAAAAGCGTGCAGTGCTGCCCCCTGGTGCTGCTCCAGGTGCAGAAGCGGAATATCAGAGTTTGATGAACGAGTTATACCAGAGTTACTCAGCAACCCGCGGCCGCCTCATTCTCCCCATTATCACAAAAAAGATCGGAGAAATTGCACAAGCCCCGAGCACATCGACTGACTTGGTTGCATTTGCTCGTAGCAGCATAAGCTACATCCGTGGCATATGTTTCGACGAATGCGGCCTATGGCGTGAGTGGTTCGAAGGCGATGGCGGGCTATACGACTTTCTTGAAGCTGTATGTGAGCCCTTGTACGACCATCTTAGACCGCGGACTATTCACGAAACCCAAATACTCAAGCTGTGTGAACTCTGCACTCTAATACAGACAAGGTATATGGAGGAGGAGGAAGAGGAAGAGGTCTCTCCAGTGGAAGCCAACAAAATTGACTTCTCTGTCATAGTGCACCCCGCACTACAAGATGCGCAAAACCGCCTCGTGTTCTTATCTCTAGCCATCCTGCGGGATGATATTGAAAGATACAAACCGAAGCCAGAGGATCTCGACTACCCCGCGAAAAACAAAAAACAAGCAACCTCCGGAACAAAGTCAAATCAACCAGCCTTATCTGGAAAGAAGCAACCAAAGTCCGAAGGTCCTCCTACGCCATTACTACCAAACGCACCCACGATTGTTGACGAAGACGATTCCGATACTCGGTGGAATTTCAATACTGAAGCTGCATTCAAAGACTGGTATCCAACCTTGCGAAAGGCTATTTGGTTACTCAGTAAAATTTATCGGCTTGTGCATGTATGTGTTTAATCATTTGCCATTGAATTTTGTGCTAATATCGCCCATAGTCCTCCGTCTTTGACGACCTAGCTCACCGCATCGTTCACAGCACTACCCTCTCACTCACCCAAGCCGGTTCACTCCTTGCCAAATCAACATCACCTACAGATGCCGCCTTGTTTCTCATCTCGCATTTGCTTCTCTTGAAACAACAAATCGTAGCTTTTGACATCGAGTTTGTTACACCGGAGACTGTGGTTCAATACAACTTCTCCAGCGTAACGAATACCTTCTGGGAACTCCGTGCACGAGGTGGTCTTTTCAACCCGCGCAACCTGGTCGGCCTGTTGATTCCCAAAGTCGTGGAAAACATGCTGGATGCGAAGGCAGAAGTAGACGCCCGTCTACGCCAAGCAATCAATGATTTTACTGGTCAATTCGTGAACAGGATGACCGCGCCGATCGATACAAAGAACAACAAAAAGGTGCCAATCAACGAAGCTCCTGCGCGCATCAGTAAAATTCGGCAGAACGTTGAGCACGAAACACCGTTCCTACGCTCAAAACTGGAGGAATACATCACAGATGCGAGGACACGTGAAATGCTTGTCGCAGCCGTCATGGAGTCGGTAACCCAGACCTACGAGGACTGGTACGATACTTCGTATGCACCCTCTCTCAACAATCAGAACGGATCCGGCCGGAGCGCCAAGGGCAAGGGTAGGGAAGATGGTGTCTGGGACCCCGACATGTTCAGTGAGTGGTGCAGTAGCGTCTTCAAAGTAGGAACGCTGGGGTTGGGCATTACAGATAACGATCAAGAAGAATATGGTGATGGAGATGATGGTAGCGACGCGGATAGCATGGGTGCTATTAGTGGGCGTACAGGCACAGAGAGAACGGGCACTACGGGCTTGAGAATCAAGATGTGAAGGATTTGATATTACAGGCAGACAGCTGTAAGAGACCCTGGTAGTCGGTGTAGTGTGTACAGTAATATTCATTATACCGTAAAACGAATCCAAGTGACGGCTACTTCCTCGGCGCCACCCGCCGTACGCTACATACAAATAGTTGGTTATTTGAGATACTAAGTCTGTTCATGTATGGGCATTTGAGTACTGCTTTTGTGGAACTTAATGTAAGGAACCGTTATCAATCCAGGCCCAGGATAGAGGCCAACTTTGCAACAACCGCTATGGCACCTCGCGAACTTGATAAATATTGCATCAACACATCCAAAAAAATGAAGGTGCACAGCAGTACTGCAAAGTCACAGCGAGTCCTAGCATTCAGCGGCGTGGGCCAACTGACGCTAGTCGGGAACTGAAGTAGCCGGTCGATCGTGTTCGTGCATCAACCTGCATCGCGAAACACCACTCCAAACATCGACGTTTGATGATTTCAGAACACCCAAAGCACATCACTTGAAACGCCATCGAGTCAGCAGACACTCCTCATAGCAGTCCTCTGAACTGAAGGCAGTTTTTTGTCTTCTCGAGCAGACTGACGCTCTTACTGCAAGCAACAGTCTACCTATGCGACTTTCCTGTGGAAGGTGGCATCTGAGAGCTAACGTCAACACTTGTGCTTTGCATACAAACCAAGCTTCTTTTGTCGGCCGCCGGCCGGTGATACTCGGCAAAAGCTTGTTTTACGAGACAAGTTCCCAGAACAGTCCTGTTCTCCGACATTGATCTAGACCGTCTCGTCATGCGCTGGACAGTATCATAGGCCACTACTAGGGTTCATGTCCCCGGCAAATACGTTCCATCCCTACAGCAGAAATGTTCTGCCTGACGCTTGAAACTATGTTTGCAGAGAAGCTTCACTGTTTCCATGAGGAATCTCTTGGCCGACACCATATTTGTAAGGACCATGGTCAGGATGGGTAAGATAGTCGAATGAGACTGCTTCAAACAATCTCAGGTGGGGGGCCTTTGACTACGGGGCAGCTCAGTATGCCTAGAAGGTATGCAACTCTGCGCCACAGGTCATTCCGCTATCCGTACATGTAGTAAGACTCGAAACTCTATGGACGGCAAGGAGGTATGCCGAACCAAGTCGTGAAGGCTTGGGACGAAACCACAGTTATTCATATTAAAAGTGAGCGCCACTGTTGAATATTGGAGCATCTCACTACCACAGCAAGTCTGTTCAACCATCTTTGTTTTCTTCTTTCTTCGTTTTCTTAGTTCTTTTCTCTTCTTTTAATTAATATTTCTTCATAACGCCCAGGTGGCTTTTATTATCTTCAAAATGACGTCCGGTACTGTCACTTCTCTTTTCCTTGCCTTCTTGAGCTGTACACAGGTGTTGGCTCAGTCGCAAAGTGTCCAGTACAACCAAGTACTTAATGTCAATGGCGATGTAAGTAAACAGTCGTCCGGTCTTATGGATATCTTCAAACTAACAAGCCTAGATGAAACTTAACTCCTTTGTCTTCCCCGACCGCTCCAAGGTCGAGACCTTCTCCCAAAAACAACAACAAATTATTGTTAATCAGCAAAATCCCTCAATTCCCGCCAACCAGGTTGTTGGTACGACCGGACAGCCTTTTGTTGCCGTCTCACCCCAGTCAATGACCATCAGCACCAATGGTGCAACTGACTTGGTCGGTGGCCAGATCGAGATGGCCATGACAATGCAGAACCTCCAGGGCGTAGCAGTCCAGCCAGACAACACCTACGTGGCCAAGCTTTCACCTGACCGACAGACTTGGATGATCCAGGAGACGATGAGGATGGTCAACAGCACCGACATGACTGTCCGCATGGTCAAGCGTAGCCAGATGGATGGCGAGTACATGGTTGTCGGTCGTCAGACCGTTGAGACCAACACCGTTGTCGTTCCCTTTGGCAGTGATGGCAGCACCTCTGTCGGTATCCAGGGCAGTGGTCTCCAAGAGAACGAGTTCCAGGACGGCTTCAGAATGTCCATCCGTGCTACCCAGCCTATGACCATGAACGTCGATGTCAAGGATGGCATTGACAGCGGCATGTTGTCTGCTCTCCAAGGCCAGAGCTCCGTCAACGACTACCGCTACTCGGTCACCACTAATCTTGGTGCTGTTGTCCCTAGCCTTAACCAACAAGTTACTGTCGTTCAAATGCCCAGTAAGTCTTCCTGAAACTACTTGTACACCTGTTCACAGGCTAATGACTCTTCCTAGTCAACGCTGTCCGCATCCAGAAGATGATGCAATCAATGGGTGTCCCACCTACTGGATCCGTCGCCATCGCTGTTGCTCAGAGGAGCGTTCTCCAGAACCCCGGTGGTGCAACTGGCAGCCTTGGTGGAGCCGCTACCACGCGCCGTGGCCTCTCCCGCACTGAGTTCAGGAAGGAGATTGCCCGCCAGGTCCAAGGCACTACTCCTACCACCAACCAGCCCAACCCCGTCGCTGCTCAGCTTCTTCTCGCACCTACCTTCACTCCCGTTCAAGCTGAGGCCGTCCTCGACATGTCCAACATGCGTATTGCCATCCCTGTCCGCCAAATCGACGGAGAGTACATCCTCACCATGCAAGTCATGGGCGGTGCCGCTGGCGCTGCTGGCGCTGCTGCCCCAGCAGGAGCAGCCACTCCTCCTACCGGCTCAACTGCTACCCCCGCTGAGGCGCCCGCTGGCTCCAGCCCTGCTCCCTCTACCGAGTCTCCCTCTACCGCAGCTCCCGCCACCGAGTCCTCTGCTGCCACTCCCAAGGCCTCCGAAGCCGAGAAGCCCACTCTCCAGGCCCCTACCAACGGCACCGAGTCCGCTGCGCCACAGTCTGCTAAGCCCGAGGCCACTAAGCCTGAGCGTCGCCAGGACAACAAGGACAAGTACGGTGATGTCAAGGCTCCTCTGGGCTCCGTCATCATGACCATGAAGCAAATCGATATAATGGCCGAGATGGACATGTGGGGTGGCCAGGTCCCCATCAGCAAGATGATGAACGACTATGTAAAGGCACAGACTGGAAAGGATATGGATCCCGTGAAGAGCGATGGTGGTGATGCTGCCGCTAAGCTCGTCGTTGCATAGATCATGTAACAGGTGATAGGTGAGGGTTTGGTATGAAGGAATTGGGGGTTTTAGAGGCGATAATATGTGTATATCTGAATGGAATGGATAGATATTTGGAAGGGAGGATTGGTGGAAAGATGTAATAAGGCTGTGAATAGTGGATCTAAGGGGTGAGTGTACCTTGCTGGTTTTTTTGAGATAGTCGAATTTGGTACGTGATAGCTAGTATATACATATGTTATAAAATTCAACGACAGGAGTGTTACAAATTGTGTGGCTTTGCATCTTTGGCCTTTGCTTGTGAAGACTTGGACACACTTATACTTTTTGCTCACACATAAATCATCTTGAAGAGATGGGAGGATCGTCTTATGTTTTTCATTTCTTCGTCTCATGCTGATGCTAACTTTTCAAATCCTTTTCACATAACCTCAAGGACTGGACACAAGGGTACGACTCCCCAGGCATTTATCCATTAGGTGATCCACGCTTCTTGTCCTCTATCGACTCCCCCCCTTCCCTCTCCTTCCTCCGCTGCGCAACATCCCAATTGTACACACGTGCGAATGCAACTTCAAGCGTCTGTAAAACTTCATTAGTCACTCACAACCCCCCGAAACAAGAAAACAACAACAACAACTTCATAGAAATCAAACAAGAAGAAAAAGAGAAAAGAAATACATACCGTAATTTGTTCACGCAAGAAATCCAAATCCTCTTCACAAGTACTCAAGCTGTGTCGTGCCGTGGCCAACTTCGATTGCAGCAGCTCCTCCGCCTCAGGTATGGGGTACGCGAGCATAACGTTTGCGCCAAGCCAGAGATACACTTCATCTGTAGGCGGGACCTCTGCTTTCGCGTAGAGCGTATCGTTTAGTTCGAACGTTGTCTCCAGCGGTTCAGCATCGTCCTTTCGCGACTTGAGGAAGCGGACTGTTTCGAGTGTCTTTTGGATATCGGGGATCTTGTCTTTGAGACCGGCAGCTCGTCTTTGTGTGTTTTGCTGCATGAATTGGTATTTTCTGGGGGGTTCGATGGATTAGAGGGTAGGTTAAGGTGTGGGTATAAGTGGAGGCGTACGAGATCATCTCTTTGAAGTTGTTGATGGTGGATTCCACTTCGGAGCGATCGGTCACATAATCTTCTACTCTGTCGATGAATGGAGCCACAGGGATGCCCCGCGGGTTTGCTGTAAGAGTGGCATTATGTCAGAGGGAGGTCGTGGTAGAGAGACACATCGGTATACATACTCGCGGGCTCGCTGTGGACATGTTAGCTCTCTTCGTATTCACTGGCGGCATAGAAGCTTTCTATTGTTACTGACCTCCCGGCTTTAGCTACGTCCGCCATTGCACCTTGAACTTGTAGACTTTAGCAGTGCGCGTTGTTTGTTTCGCGCATCGGAAAAACTGCCCCGCCATATCCGCTCTTGGCACCTAGTATATCTCCACCCCGCTTACCGTTTACTCTGCCCGCCCCGCCCCCCAGCTCAACTTACCTTCTCGCTTATACAACGGGCCTTACAAGGATCCCATATTTACCTGTTTAGTCATGTTAAGCTAATTATACTGTGATCTCAACACTTGGCACCCGACATGCTGACCCCTGGAGCAGACATCCTACGCTACCGAACGTTGCGCGCCCTTGGAAGGAGCGTCTCCACATCATAGTAAGCATCAGAATTACATAAAGACTTTTCTCCGGAAATCCTCAAATCTCGGATCCTTTGATCTGTAGGATCATGACACGATGAAAGTGCCGCTTGCAAGTACGTTATCTCTGAGGCGCTCACTTACAATCAATGTCAATGCGGCCCCCCACGTACGTGGCTGGACCTTTCTAGCATTCGAAGAACTGTAGGACCATGCCCAATCCTGCATATGCTAACAGCCGATAACCTAGCGCGAATAATGGGCATACCCATGCGCCATGGAGACAGTAGCCGCGTCCCCGATCTTCGCATCACGGACTATCGAAGGCTACTGCAAGGCCGACGTGAGGTAAGATGTAAGCACATATGCTGATGGCCCGCCTTCAGCCACGCTGAGAACCGATCCAATTACGAACGAGTTCATTATCCTTGACCAACCCACAGACCTGTTTGTAACAAAACACGCCACAAAATTAATCATCAGGGAAAAAAACGTCACCGGTTTTCCCGTGGTGGTTGCGATTAGCGGCTGCATCCGCGTCTTTCGCACCACTTGAGGAATAGCTAGTATACACGACCTTGGCCCTGCACGTTCGGGCCTCCTCACTATTCTCCGAACATATCAGCTCGCGGCATCCTCGCCAACTGAACCTTCTATAATCGCATTGGGTCTTTTCCTCATACCATGCCAAACATGGCCCAATCGTCAATCCGGCAGCATCCCATCACACACGTCTTGACTCAGCCTGCTACCGCCATCACACCAAGATAATTTCAGCACCTGCGGATACACCCGGAGCGCTCCTATGTACGCGCCCTGTCTCAGTTAATAATAGCAGACTTGGGTTCTTTGGTTCTGCATACTTGATCGTATCACCTTTTATTAGGAATGCGGTATCATGAGTTTCTTGCATACGAATCACATGTAAAACAAACCGTTGCCGACCAGACTGTGCTCTCCATTATCCATTTTCGGAAAGTTGTTTTGCATAAGGCTAGACATTCGATATTGATCGACATGATGATCCGCGTATTCCTTCAGGCATGCAGCATTCATAGCAGGACAACTGTCAAACGGGTTCTGGGGATCCCCACAATCAGGCCTTGGAGATGATCGGCGAATTCGCTCCCTTGAGCTCTTCTACGATTTCATTCAATGATTCATGAGAAAAATCGGTCCTACTCGGTATCATGTCTGCGATGAGATGGCTAGGCAGTGAAGCTGTAAGGCGTCTCGTACTATGTTGTGCCACCTGCATGACGTGGCGTACCCTCGCTTGCGAGCTGAGCAGGGCGATGTGATAACCAAGCATACGAGTGTATACAGTGGAGCTTAAATGCGCCTAACGAGGCTATGTATCAGGCAACCCAAGTACCGCTCAGGCCTTGTACGGTGACTTTGCTGTAAACGCAACCGCTTCCATGGTACCACTCTCTCGTACTTGAAACCGTTCAATCGGTGAGTACAACGACTCATTGAGCTGACATGCGCTTGTTGAGCTTCGCTTCGTATACCATGTTCTGAGAAATGGCCTGAGTGTGATGTGACACTAGTTGCCTTAAGCGTGACTGCATAGACGGCTGTTTAGTGACATGGTTTACGAGGTCACGTGGTCAACCTGTCTTCTGGAACGCGAGGCTGACCGGAAGCGCTGTGCGTCGCAGTGCTTGATCGGTAACTTCGAACCGAGCGCCCGGTGAAGGGGTTTTTTGGAACCACGCGGCTAAGGTGTTTTGCCTGAACGACCTGGGGAAAGACAAATTGAAAATCCAGATGGACATTGAGACAGGTTCGGATTAAGAGCAGTGCAGTGCCGGAATGCAAATTATGGCCTGTAAATTGCTCATCTCAGTATCTTGAGACTACATGCTGTGGCGCAAAGTGGTGGCGAACAAGGCACATTTGCGATCGTTTGTATACGAACAAGTCCTTCAAAACAACTTGTAGTATCAAGTTGTACAACATGAAACCAAAAACCAGAGTGATTCCCGAACACTCGGCCCAAGAAGTAGACCCTGGGGTCGTTGCCAGACAACCGAACTGCACTTCATCAGGATCGATGCTCTATCGCTCAAGCCCCTATATGCTGGTGTGATAACAAGCAAAACCCAAACCAGCATATTTTGCGAGGGTAAATTACATACTACCAACCCAAAAACCCGGAGTAGCGTTGCATATCAAACCCCGACATAGCACATACTACTTACAGCCCATGGAAAACTAAACACCACAGACCCGTAGATCTACTACTCCAACACACAGCACAGCAAACGAGGTCTCGCACATTCGTATCCCCAAATACCCACCCAATCTAAACCCAACACCATACGATCCGTCCCGCCCGTCCAAATGGCCCCATTCCCGACGGACCGCATCTGCATAGATGAAAGGCTGCATGGAAAGAAACCCTTCACCTATCCCGCAACTTACGGCATCACCGCAAGAGATCCTATCCAATACACCTCAAGTCCATAAAAAAGCCACAAACAATCTAATCCCTTATAGCCAAAACCCTACACCTCTTTTACCGGGCGGCACCCGGGCGATCCAAGCGACCCGAAATAAACAAGCTCTTCACCATAGGTAGCGCGCGCATCGTATTCGTATCGCAGAGGACAGGGCGGCTTGGGGGAGGGGAGGGGGAGGGCATTTGCAGCAGGAAAAAAAGGCAGGATCTGTGTGGATTTGTTGGAATATGCGGGCATTTACCCGTTCGCTTGGGCTGGTAACGAGGGTACCTGCAGCCAACTTTTTAGAGAAGAGGTCCTTCATGCAATGCGGGGTGGGGAGGGGGGGAATCAGACTGGCTGGGTAAATTGTAGATTTGCCACGAGAGAAGGAAGGAAGGAAGTGGGGATTGAGGATCATGATGATATTTCCGTGAGAGCGGCTTCAGTGTGTAGCTGGCTGCTTGTGAGTGTGTGTCCCGAGGACCTGGGGAAGAATGGCCGGTTGGTGAGACAGGTGCCGTGTCTTGGTACGATCATGTATGCGGTTTGCGGAGAGAGGGTGTGGTAATGCTATGTTCTGGATTTGGACATGGAAATGGTTTAGACGAAGGCGTGGGGGTTGCCGTGACACCATGATAGATTGGATCACTTGTCACCACGATAGAGCTTGGGAGGATGTGCGAGAGAATCCGGGCTGCGGAGCCGAATGATAGAAGTGATTGACTATTCTGTGCAAGATAGACGGAAGGGTCGGTTACCGAAACATGGTGTTGGAAAAGAGCGCATGGTACACCGCGCGAGTTGGATCATGCTGTGTAAGAGTTGGCGAAATAGACAGCTCTACAACCAAAAGATGATCAAAGGCAGCAATCGCATGTCACGAGGCAACAAAGACCAGATTTTATGAAGTTACCCTTGCATTGTGGAAGCCAAAACATTACGTACAGAGCGAGACTATCAATAATCATAACGATGCGTGAACATAAGAAAGAACATAAGCCAATCAAGTCGTGTGCGGGAGTGTCGAATCAAAACCCAGAAGATTCAAGTCCCCAACGCCATCCAGTCAGGCCATCTCGCCAAAAACTTTATCGTGACCCCGAAACCTGCGCCATGTGATATCTTAAATGCCATACTGACAAAGAAGTGAAGAAAATTCCAACGCCAACATCTCATTACTCAACACTTGAAACATAACGAGATGCATGCAATATGCGGTGATTACAATCGAGAACATGGAAGACACAAAGTCATCATAGCTTCAGACCTTGCTGGATGAGCTTTCCAAGCGTAACACCCTGGGAGATATGTTAGCATGATATGGGAGGAAGATGGATAGCGAAGTGACTTACGTGATCACCCTTCATCATAGTGAAGTGGTTGCCACCCATGACGGCGTACTGGAAGTTCTCCTTGGGGAGAAGCTGGGCCCAACCGTTGTCAGAGAAATCAGTACGGTTATTGAGAAGCCACTTCATGGGAGCTGGGTCCTCTCCCTCACCTGGGGGAGGGCGGGGGTCCTCAGGGTTAGGGCAGACACCATCTGTGCACCAGATGGCGAGGACGGGGGGAGCGATCTTGGGGTCCATGGGGGTCGGGTCGTAGTCCTTGAGGTTCTGAATGGCAGATGCGAAGTGAGGAAGGAGCCATGAAGGAGTACCGCCGGGTTTGCCAGTGCCAAGGAGACCAATCTGATCGAAGAAGATGTGAAGACGAGCGGGGAGAGGATCAAGAGCGACTGGGCAGGGAGCGTCGATGAGGACGAGGCTCTCGACCTTTTCACCAGCGTTCACAAGTTGCTGAGCGACTTCATATGCCATGACACCACCAGCAGACCATCCACCAATGAGGTAAGGACCAGATGGTTGACGGCGCTTGATCTCGTTGAGGTAAAGACGGGAGACGCCCTCAACACCACAAGTCCATTTCTCAGGGCACTTCATGAATGGGCAGTTGAGCCCGTAGACAGCCATGCTAGGAGATATGTTGGGGATGGAGATGTAGCTAGTTGCGCTGCCGGAACCGTCAGGGACCAAGAAGAACTTCTTGGTGGCGGTCTTAGGGTTACCCTGGAGCAAGACAGAGGAGGCAGGAGGCAGGTTAGAGACATCAGGTAGCGAGGCGAGCTTCTTGTTCACCTCAGAGAGCTGAGGGGCCTTGGAGGAAGCCTTAGCGGCAGGCTTCGCAGCCTTGGGCTGAGGACGCATGCCAAGCGCAGTCTCGATATCTTTGATTGTGACATTGACAGTAAGGAAGTCGGCAGGAAGATCGCGGCCGGTAGCCTCACGCATAGAACCAAGGATAGTAAGACTCATGAGAGAGTCCATGCCGATGTCAGTGAGGTCAAGGTCGTCGGTGATCTC